GGTGTACCTAGTCTAGACAACCCCTCTTCAAGCGCCGTCTTGGTCATCGCCACAGAGGTCTAGGCAGTCTTGGTCATGGTCTTGGCTGGGACTTCGGATGCTGTAGAGTCCATACTGTATGCCGGATCAATATCCGAGCGGAACAACTTTCCGAGCGCTAGATCACCCAGCCCTGCCAAAGAGGGTAGTTTCCATTTTGAGCCGCCATGCGAATGACAGTGATAGTATGCTAAGCCATTATCAGTGCTTTTCCCAATCACATTGCAATATTGCTCCGAAATTGGTGAGCAGGAGATGCTAAATCTCGAACGAACCATACAAGAAGTCATGCGGAGTGTTGAGCGAGATGCTCCGTCTTTCGTGTTTGTAATTAAGACGTCTGAGCGTTATGATCTAGATCGTGGATCCGACCACCTATTGATACGGATCGAGCCTATGAGATCTAGACTTCACCAAGATACTTCTCAGGGTCTTCATGAACCGAAAGTCTAAATCTTGTCATAGCTTATTCTATGGAGCTTCTGGCCATCAATGCTGGTCAGATGAAATCTAATCCCTGTCTTCACATTTTTGACAGACCGGGATCACGTCAAATGAGAAAGAGGAATGAAAATAAACTTTGCTAAAAAGATCAAAAAAGAAACGAAAGGAAAAGAGAAGAAATATATACTACTATCCACACAGAGGGATTGACGCGGTTAAACGCTAAAACGCCAAATGAAACCTCTTGTGACTTGACCTTGTGGAGGCCTGAACCATGACACTAAGTACTCCGCAACAAAAACCGTAAATGTTTTTGCTTTTTCGATCATTGGTGCATGACTCAGATATTGCATTAGGTGATGAGTAGAGGGATCTGTGCCGAGTAATGCATCCAGCATTGCCATGATGTGGCTCSTACTGAATCTATTATTTTKATGTGAACCTGAAATGAGAGGATCCCTTATCAGAGCAAGAGTTTCCGTGTTAGTAGGAGGAGAAATATGAGTCAATCCTACAGTTAACCTACCTTAGCGTATGCGGAGTCGACTATTCAATACAGCACATTGGAGTGACGATCGCATGCACACTCAGACGTTCTTAGCTGATCACTGGTATGTTCAAAGTTACCTACATCTAGAAAGTACACAGCTTTGATACCAAAATGGCAACCTTGGCAGTGATGACCATGGTCCCGAGTGATTGGAACGAGGCGATAGTTTCAGCTGTCATCCGAGGCATTGCTTTTCTCCGTCCGTCCGGGTTAAGTCCAATAGTCCATGTTGAGTGATCACCATGATTGGTACTTGGCCAAGCATGTGCGCTCATTTAGACCCAACTGGGAGTCCGAGCGCAGGATGATATTCAGTGATTCACAAGTAGGCTAGTACCCGGTCCGCCGGTCCCGTATCCACAGCCTCAGGGCTCACGAAGTACCTGATCTGATCCTGGTTGATCATGGCCTAGTGCCAATTTAAAACACCGCTTGGCATGTCTAAGTAACCTTGAAATTTTCAAGATCCTAAGCCTGGTGACAGTCCCAAGTGGCTGGGCCGGTGAAGGCCTTGTGACAATGGGAACCCTCAATTTGGGAAATCCCTTTCAAGCAGAAAGCAAGACGAATGTGATCCCAATCAATTTACGAGACTAATACGAACAGCGGGACTTTGACACTCTGTAGCTCCGCCACATACATCACTGATTCGCAAATCCATTGGACGATGCTCGATTCTAAAGCTTAACTAGAGCAATGGTGATAGCTACACGGTGGTGCTTGTAATCGTTCTCCAGTTTATACTTCCGGCCTCTGAGATGGCGTAGATCTTCTGTTCATAAGTCAATGATCCGAGGAAAGTCGAGGTATAGAGAAAAGTATGGCTGATATGTGGAGAATTCAAGTGGAGATGCTGAGTTGAGATTCAAAATCACCCGAATAGGAAATATTCTTTTTAGGGTATCTATTCGTACAGATGACAGTAGGATACCGTACTAAAACATGATAAGCGTAGTTACGCCCTTACCTCGGATAGACTAAGCTCTAGAACGCACAACATCCAGTATCCGCCGTCACTTTCCTCATCAATGAGCTTCGCAAGTCGTGAATCCACATGGTTGGGATTCGATCTTATCCATTAGTAATTGACTTTTTGAGATATGCCGTACAGATTTCGAAGCCACAAAATGAGGTTGCTTGCATCTACAACTGTTTTCATCAACTTGCATGACATTGACCTCTCTTTTGAAAAACGCTCGTCCTAAGAGTTTTCTTTGCTTCAGTCTTCTAGTACGGAGTATGTACCTCGTACATCCTGTGCTAAGACTAAAGGGATTTCTGTTCCGATGTTCCTCCCTTTCTCTTTTTTTTATAATACTCTATATTAAGAAGCGGGAGTCTTTGGTCTGTTTCGTGTAGAGACGGCCTAACCGAGTCCGACATACACGCTTAAGGGCCTGGCCGATCGCTGTGGCTAGTCAGAGTCATCCTCTAAACATCACTGAGCTTACGCCTATTGCCGATTATCAAGCCACTGGATCTTCATGGACCTTGTATTCACCATTAGTTGCTTGTCATTAGAGGCCAGCCATAATTCTAGCCAATGATCATCGCCGGGGAAGCATCCTGAATCTCCGACAGATCGGACTAAGCGTCATTTAAGTCCACTGTCCATGAACCTGCTCCATGATCTAGTATATATTTATTGGCGTAATGGGGTTATGTAGTTTCCGATTACTAAAGCCCCTGAGCATTGACCTTCGTATCCAAGATTCAGTGACGTCGTGAAACCCCCGATTAGATTTGATTTCTTACTCCTTGATGGTCAATGCTAAGCGGTACAGTATCATCAGACCCCTTTTGAGATTATTCAGACACGAGTTGCAGAAAGCAAAACTGAAAGTGTATTGTAGTCGAAAATCATTATACTGGTTCAAGTGCATCACCTTCAAGAGCAATGAGCGACTGACAACGTTGAACGGCCAGGATCTCTGGCTGCTAGTTACAGGGATGATCCTAGTACAGCTAATCAGCTCAGTCCTACAGTAATGCCTTGTGTGGGGGTTACGTGTTTGAGAGGTTCATTTGATGAAGAAGGTATTGGCATCGAATACACACGGGGGTTCGGAACGCGAGTTTACTAAAACTAAAGAATTGGCCTAGCTTAAACTACAGCGAAACAATTTCTGTAGAAAGACTCAAATACCCAATGTTGTGGATAACTCTTAGTCATTTAACTTTAGGACTGACAAATCAGTCTGACTACAGGCTGGGAGAAAGAGGGACGAAGAGATTCTCATTTAGCTCCAAGGTAAGTCGCGCTACAGAGATCTACGGGTGGAGCTCTATCACAGCAGTGGTTATATTACCATTTCATTATGCTTCAGAGATTCAGTAGATGCTGCAGACGCCACACTTGGGATGGTCTTTTCTGCATCAAAATCTTCAAGGTCTATGCATACAACCGCGATCTTAGCGAAATCCGAAAAGCACATTGAGATCGGACGCTGCATGCACAATTAATAAAACTCTACAGTCCATGATGCCGTTTGTTCAAGGCTGAGGCATGTTACTCTGGAGTATGTGCAGTGCCGTCCGTTTCTTACCCTACTAATAATTACTATTGTATAATGCATAGTATCATTGCCGTAGCCACTATATACCCACGCAATACATTCCCTCATATTTGGAATATTTAAGAGGACTAGGGGACAGAAAGGCCTATTCCAACAAGAGAAGAGAGTGCATATCTAGTTCAACCGGATTTACATTCAGCTGATATCCCTCGCTTTGGTTGTTGCATGTATCAACCTCCAATTGGTTGGAATCGAACCATAATTTCGAGGTTCAATAGAGCCTACGTACTGCGTTTGTACTTGTACTGTAATGCAAAAAGCACTTCATCTTCTCACTTCCCCTTTGGTGCCGCAACTGTGGCGGTAGAGTATCGACCGCGTTGGCGTCCGTAGCTGGCCTGTCAGTATTAGTCTCTACTATACTCCGCGTAAATCCGTTGGCATGATGCGTCGATAGGCCCCTAGTGTAACCCCCTTTACCCTTGTCAGTTGTCGCTCATCCGTGATCCCTGTACCCGAGCCCTCTAGCTTGAGATCTAGTGGCTCTATGGGGCCCGCAATTGTCGCGGGAAGCTTTCAATCTGTTCCGGAAAGGCTTAAGAGACCCTCGGACGCCATGGTACCGCATCACTTTGTCTAGACTCGTCTTTAGTCTAATTGATTGCTTTTAGTGTACCCTGAATCTGGGTGTTCTTTTTTGCTTTTCCCCACCGATTTCCTCAACCCAATGTATGAACACTGAGACCCATGAGGAATACCTGCGACCTGAGATAGCGTAGTGAACTAAGGTCGCTAAAGATTAGTTTATACGTACCATGGTTATCGAGGCGGGTCGAAAAGGGCCGTGCCGTCGATAGAGACACTGTCATTCAGCCCGACATCTTCTAAGTAGTCGAGGGCAAGGTATATCAATCCCATGCCACCTCACCCCCAACGACCTCATTGTTCCGTTTTCCAGTCAATTATCATCTTACTATCTTCTGCATTCATCTACTTAACTGTATATCGTTGCTTGAACATACTTCAAACTCTTTCAAGGTTTCTCACCACTTGAGTTCTTCAAGGGCCTTCACTATATAAACACAAAAGTTTCCTGACTTGAAAACGGTGTTCTTGATCAAGTGCTTCGTTGAGCTTTCAAATTTTGTTGATATCGTGGGTGGCCGTTGTGCTTATTGCTATTTGAATGTACCAAATCTGTACGTCAATTTGCATGCTGCATTCTTCTTTTTCTACCTAGGTAGAGATCATTCTTGACTAATTGCGGAGAGATATACAGGAAACCATCTTTTCCGTCGAACAACTTCTCCTCCCAACAAATTACCATACTTGATTAGAACAGCGTTTTTTTGGCATCAACGACTGAAGCACATACGACCATTGCTCATAGCAGCATCTGTTTGTCTTCATATCCTGTGGACATCCAGGATACACGCCTCGATACAACCAAAATGACGATCCGAGATTCTCCATCCACCCGCGATGGCAAAAAGCTAGCAGATACATGTGCATCTGTCTCAAATCCGGCTTACAGACAGTTCGAAAGTCTCGAACCGGTTGGTATTCTCCTTCTTTATCTCTATTCGCACCATACTGACGGCACCTAGGATATCGTCTTCACTGGCACTGTCCCCACGCATTGGGCTATGATGTACGTTGACAGATCTGGAAATGTCAGAGAAATGTCAAATCTACCTACTCCTGTTTTTGATTCCCGTGCGCGAAACGCATTTGCATACGCTCAAGGTCTTTTGCCAAATGGGCAAAACTCTTTGCCTTCTCCGCATACAGCCTACCGTCCCGGCCACAGGGGCCATTCTTCACGGGCAGGACGATCGAAGCGACGAAGAACTGGATTCCGCGAGGAGCCTCTTACTGTTGAGGTTGTTGAAGCTTTTGAAGATCCAGAAGATCAGATCCCTCTAGAAATAGGGGATACGAAGAAAGTCACCGCCTTTTATACAATGGCTTTCAAACGACTGCAGCAGATCAATTGCCGTCTATTGGCTAAAAACATGATCAAAATCATCGAGCCTCGTAAGCAGGTCAAACACCCATACAACGGTGGAAGAAAACCGGGCGGAGCACCTGGTGAAAAGGGAGATCCCGAAGACACAAAACCTGACTGGTGGCCTCGCGATGTCATACATAAGGAGCCTGACCATATCAAGAAAGAATGTAAGTACTAGTGTTCACCCAGTGTCATTTGACTGATTTACTGACCAAGAGAATTGCAGATCGTGTAAAGCTTCTCGTTCATCTCGTTCAAAACCTTCTCCCGATGGGAATAACAGCAGATTGTCTCGAGGAAGCTGTCGGTGACACCAGGAGACATCTCGTACCTGAAGATAAAGCCCCAGAAAAAGCAGCGATATTAGAAGAGATCATCCGTGTAAGAAGGATTGAGGAACGGTATCTAAGGAATGAGATTGGTATGTACAGCAAGATTCGTGGAGCGTACAGAGAGCTGACTATATCCAGATGGAACCACACAAGTTTACGTTACCGACCACGACGGAGCTAGGAGAGGAGAAGATGAATCCGATGATGATTCGGATCCTAAAGTAATCACGCCTCCTCAGAGTGTCACTTCCTCGCCACAGATGCAGCAGCTCGAAGCTTCTCAGAGTCCTCTAGAAGTGACCAGTATACCCCAGCACGTATCGCCACTGGAAACTACATCGGGCTTTCAAATGCCTCCCGATCTAAGCTTTGCGAACCCGGGACAGCGCACACCAGAATATATATCTACGCAGCCAGAGTTTCATCGCAACTTGGCTCATACACCACTAGCAGGCCCGCTGCTGACTCCCACCCACAACCAATTCATGGATCATTCACAATTCGCAGAGACAAGTCCGACAAACCATCTACACGCTGTTGGCCCAACTCATGCACAAGCAGATCCTTCTGCACCATTTACCGGTTGGTCTCCCGCGTTTCAGCAAAACATGTTTTCGCCAGTCGATTACACTAATGGAGCTGGTCGTCAAATTCCACATATGGTATATCCGTCATATGGTTCATATTCCTCACCTCAAGACGTTGCTCAACCTTATGCAGTCTCTGAACTACAACGTACTCGAGATTACGACATGGCAAACATGTATAACCTGCCTTTCCGAACTGGTTCTTTGAGTCACCCACACATTGTACACCGCCGCGATAGTGACGATGTCAAGCCAGGAATGTAAAGAGTTTAGATGTTTCACATCTAAAATCTCAGCAATGCCTAAGATCCTTTTATCACTTCTCATCGGTCTGTCTATGGTTACATGTATATGATATGAACGTTTCGGTCTGCGTTTTTGGCGATTCGGTTTAGTCTGCTTTCGTTGAAGATATTTCAATTCTTGTCAATAAAGGGTTTGTCGTTTTTGCTCTCTTGCTTCCGCTCACACTTGTTTTTGTTTTTGTTTTTTTTTTCCCTTTTGTACAGACCTCTTTCCCATTCATGGAGGCAGCGGATACGAAAAAAGAACTGGCCCAACAGTACAGTTTATCGTTAGTTACGAGAATATGATGAACATGATCACAAATTTATCTCTTGGTACAACCATATTAAACCGAGTAGTTCGAGTGGTCTATACACAGCTGGACGGGCAGGTCGCTGGGATAGGGCTTCTCATAGCGAACTAAAAGCGGAAATTAGCCGACAGCGCGGTCTGATTGGCAATTAGCTGTGGGTTCCTGAGAAAGCTGGGGTACAGCAAGAATCCCCGCAAATTCCTTCAGGAAATTCATTTTCGTCCTTCATCCGAAGATCGATAAGACAGATTTGACGTGACTGTCGTCGCTACTGATTGTCATTACTGTCGCGACAGTCTCCTATTGCTATCAAATACACCGAACTCTATTCGGATTGGATCGTCATGTTTCATCAATGGCAGCAGCATGACCCTGAGCAACGCCCCCGTGTGGCGAGGACGCGAACGGGGTGCCTGACATGTCGGTAAGTACCACATCAAGCTGTAGCACAATGCGACGATGAAAAAAAAAAAAGGAAAAAAAATTACGAGCTCTGACTTCTAACAACGATAGGCGGAGAAAAGTCCGCTGCAACGAAGTCCACCCCAGATGTGGACATTGCTCACGACTACACCTCTCATGTAGTTGGCCACCGGATTGTTCTTTCGTTGTGCCAGGTATTACGAAAGTATCAAAGACAAAGTCGAAGTCGAAGCAAGAAAGGCGAGAGAAAAAACAATCACAACAACAAGCACAACCACAACCAAAGTCGCGATCACAATCGCCACAGAAACAACAGCAATTTATATCAGTACAAGAACAAAGAGTGCAATCGCCCTCAGCTACACAGCCACTATTGGCACATGTAGAGACGCAGCCAGATCAACAACAGCAAATCATTCCGGAAGCAGATTTCAATGAGATCTTCAACTATGCGAGCTTCCTCTGGGATAATGATTCCCCCACGATTTCCTTTCCCACGGGCTCATCGCCCTTGGACAGCTTGAGTACTCCGCATGATCAACTGCAACTATCCATGCCTCTAGCTGTGTCGGAGACCATTAAAAGAACCGCTTCGACAGTCGTCCCACCTTTGTTCATGAGTGACAGATGGATTGGTGATAATGGCAACTTCGTACCTGCCGGCTCTAGTGTCGATGTCAGCGAGTCCGAATTGTCGGACTATTTCGCTCGGTCTACTGCTCCACCTATTCTGGCTCCACTAGAGACAAGCTCTCGATGGTCGCGGATGCGGAAGATGTTGATATATATGTGCAAAAAATCAGAAATGGTCAAGAATGCTGTCATGGCTTTTGCTGCCTTGCAATTCGAGTCTCCGCGCTCAGGCAGCCGAACCATACATACTCAATACTATAATATATCACGAGATATGCTCACTCGAGTTCTTACCGAGGTCTCTACGGATCAGAAACGTCTTATGGTCGAACTGAGACATATACTGGCTACCGTATTTCTGTTGACTTACATTGATCTTTTGGATGATGATGTGTTCAAGGCACATGGTAACTTACGAGATGCCTTTCATGTGATTCAACGGGTCCGGATTGAAAATCTTAGCCTAACAGGTTTGTGACACTATCATAATATCTATTGTGTTTCGTGATAGCATTACTGACTGTTCTTTACCAAAAAGAAAAATGTCTAGTATCCTGGTTGCGGCTCCTCGATGGCCGCGCCGTGAGTGCTGGAGGAGAGGGCCTCTTTCTGGACGAAGATGATCATAATATACCACCTGACATGGAATCGCCTCCTGACACCGTTGAAGGTGGTCTAGAAAACGCGGAGACTATACTAGAGGACGTTCTCACGCGCCCGGCTTCGTCCTTCTTCCAAAAAGTGCAATCCTTCATGGGTCGCATTTCACGAATCGACCCTTGGCACCGCTCGCGCGGCACTGTGGACGACGAGACTGAGGTCATGATTATTGCTCAAAAGATTAGCAAGGATATCAAGGCCCTTTGGCACCAACGACCGTCACTCATGGACCATGCCGTTGCATGCAAATTAGTGCCGCCATTACTTTCTCCATCGTTAGCAAACACATTATCGAGAGCGCTGATGGTATGCTACGCCAATTATCATGCTTCTTTTGTGCATCTGCATCGAGTCGCGTATAAGAGTAAGCAAAACCCCATTTAGTGGTCGTCGAATCATTTTTGGCTAATCTTACCCGAAAGATCTTCCACGAACACCGGACGTCGAAACAGCCCTCTGCGCCATTCAGGAAGTCACAGAGAACCTGATGCGCACACCACACAGTATCCAGGACATGGCGACCACGAACACAATCGAGCCCGTTTCGGAACTTACTTCAAGCAGTCCCCCCTTACCAATTAACATGCTCTGGCCTCTCTTGATGCTCGGCGTGGAATCAGACGATGTGCACCAACGGGCATGGGTCGTCGCAGCAATGAAGAGCATGGAAAGCATCGTTTCCAATGCTGGGATTACGGCCGATGTGCTGGAGGAAGTGATCAGACGACAGGATGAGGCGGGGCAGAGGATGGACATTCGGCAGGTTATGCATGACACTTTTACGAGGGCTTTTGCTATTGTCTAATTCAGACATTGAGAGACCATCCTAAGAGTGAGACACGGTGAAGACATGGATGAAATCCTGGATTTAATGGTTAATGACTTATATGCTTTATACCCCGCGTTTACTGATTGACTTTGAAATACCATCACGCTCGTCGATTTTTATCATAGCTACCAATCATTGTACAAACCGTTCTAGCACGCCGACCTTGAGCACAGTAGCAGTAGGAATTTTCGGCAGCCAGAAAAAGTCCCCCTCAATATGTTATACGGACAGAGTCGGCCTTGATGCCGAACTATCATGGAGAACCTCCGGCTCGCTTACTTTCCCAAAACGGAAACTCAACGCCCTTTTGAGTCTCCAAGAATTTAGGGTCGCGATTATCCGCTGCTTTTTTTTTGGTTTCGTATAAGAAGAAAATGACCTGCAATAATCCTCTTGCTTTGTCCTTTGTTGCATTGGTTTATACTCTCTCTTCCGTCTATAATTCTTGAAATCTACGTTCGACGGCCGACAGAATGGGATCCGTCAGCAAAACCGGAACTCCTTACCCTCCCGGTATTCACGTCCCCAGCTTGACCTGGTTCAAGTCAGACGAAACCCAATCCATCGACTGGGACATTCAGCAAAAACATCTCGAGTTTCTAATCAGCAGCGGCCTACCGGGTGTCGTCATCTGCGGCACAAACGGTGAAGCTGCAGCAGTCACAACCCAAGAGAAAGCAAAGCTTATAAGCCTCGCGCGCTCAGTTGCGCAGAACCTCGGGCGACCAGAGCTCACAATTACATGCGGCACATTCGGTGCTTGCACACAGGCGATTATTGAGGATACCAAAGTAGCTGCAGAAGCTGGTGCGGACTTTGCGCTTGTTTTGGTGCCTTCATTTTTCCACTTTGCGATTGATCAGGATGCCATTATCGGCTTCTTTCAGGAGGTTGCTTCTGCTTCTCCTATCCCCATTGTTATCTATAACTTCCCCGGAGTAGTGAGCGGATTGAATGTGAACTCCGAGATGCTGCAAATTCTGGGTGACCACCCCAATATTGTCGCTGTCAAGCTTACCTGCGGTACTATTGCGTCCGTGGCGCGAACAGCGGCCAAATTCGGTCCCGGTCTGGACTTGAAAGATAATAAATACGCTGGACAGCCTCAATTTGTCGCTCTTGCCGGTCAGAGTGACTGGCTGGTACCTGCCTTGAGTGTTGGTGGCACTGGCTGTGTCACTGGTATGGCAAACTTGTACCCCAAGGTTAGTGCCTTTCCAAATAAGAATTTTCACGATCTTCAAAAATCTTGTCGGTTGCTAATTTGATGTATCCAAAGACATGCATCGAAATATTCAACCTCTATGTCGCCGGCAAAATAGCCGAAGCTGAAGAACTCCAGATCAAGCTCGCCAGCGTCGAATGGGGCTTTGGAAAGGGAGGTATCAATGGCACAAAATGGGTTGTCGGAAAATTCCTTGGATACCCAGAGGAGAGCACATGGTGTCGACGACCGTATCCCAAGTTCATGGATAAAGGAAAACGGGAATGGATTGAGACCACCGTGAAACCACTTCAAGAGATTGAAGTCGCTCTTGTGAAGAGGCGCTGACCTTGTCGTTGAGTTGAGTACGTCGTTTTTGCTGAGTTACCTAGCGTTATTAGATAGAAAGTAGCGACCATCACGACCACAGCCACGATTAGGCAGGCGTCGCTGAAGAGACACAACGAATAGAATGATTCATGGTCCTATGGAGCCCGAAATAGTAAGCGACATTAGCGGAGACTTTAATAAATAACCCAATACTTTTTCAAAGTACCATAACATGAATCAGAATGAGTCAGAAAAGGCCTTGATTGAGGCTTTGTGAAATTCTTGGGACTTATCGGGGACTCTTTCGGGCCTCACGGCGATAACATAAATAAGCCGCCTTATCGCTCGCCCTTAAACTGTCCCGCCACAGCTCATCGCACTCAAACATTTGAACACCACACACAATGGCGAACAACGGATCGCAAACCGAGGACTTGCTGAAGGGGCCTCTATATGGTAAGCACTGATGTTACAAATGAACTGTCGCTGGTGGACTTGATTTCCTGACTGTGGTCTTTGATGCAGTTTACGACCTTCCCTCCAAGCTTCTGTCAAACCTGACAATCAAATCCAACGCGCAACTTGTCGCAACGCTACCAACGGACACAGTCGCTACTCCTATCGAACCTTCTGATCGCGATACCGCTGTTCCAGCGTCAAACTCATGTACACTCTGTCAAACATCTTTTCAAAATGTGCAAGAGCACCGTGAGCACGCTCGATCGGACCATCATCGATATAATGTCAAGGCACAATTGCGGGGCAACCGACTGCTGAACGAGGCGGAATTCACCAAGGCGATCGGAGAAATTGACGAGTCGATATCGGGTTCGGAAAGCTCGGAGTCAGAGGAAGATACCTTTGAACCTCATGCGTCCGATTCAAACCTAGTGGCGCTATTGAAAAGACAGGCAAAAATCTCGCAAGACGAAGGCACGGCGGCACCGCAAGAGAATAATACGCCGAACAGGCAGCCCATAATATGGTTTTCTAACCCCGACCTTCCCAAGAACACGGCCTTGGGTGTATACAAGGCAATTTTCTCGAATGAGGAACAGCAAGAACCAGAGCATATCGTTGATTCCTTGCGAAAGAAGCAACTAGAGCCTATCAAAAGGGTGCTTAACACCGACAAAACTCCTTTGAATTATGGACCACATATCTTCATGTGCATGATCGGCGGTGGCCACTTTGCTGCGATGATTATCGCACTTGCGCCTGAGATACAAAAGCGACAGGGAGGTATCGAAGAACGTCAAGCTAAAGTCCTTGCACACAAGACTTTCCACCGCTATACCACACGTAGGAAACAAGGTGGCGCTCAATCTGCTAGCGACGCAGCCAAGGGTGCTGCGCATTCGGCTGGTTCAAGCCTCAGAAGGTATAACGAGGCTGCGTTGGAAAATGACATTCGCTCTCTACTTAAGGACTGGAAGGCTATGATTGACACAGCACAACTCATATTTGTTCGGGCAACGGGTAATACTAACCGAAAGACTCTATTCGGCTCATACGAAGGACAAGTGCTTCGAAATAATGACCCTAGATTGCGAGGCTTTCCGTTCAGCACCCGTCGTGCCACCCAAACAGAACTCATGAGGTGCTTCAAGGAACTCACTCGAGTCAAAGTTAGTCAAATAGATGAAGCTGCTTTGGCCGCTGCACAAGCAAAGCAGCGCGAGACGAGTGCCAAACCCGTCAAACCAGCTCCTCAACCAGCGGCTCCAAAATTATCCGAAGAGGAGGAGGCTGCAATGCTACATACCTCACAAATCCAAGCGCTTATTCGCCGATCGAAAGCGCCAGCTCTCTTATCCTATATCTCGAACAATGCTATTCCTCCGTCTTTCAAATTCTTCCCCGCAGACGCACTTCAAAACCACCACGCCCCTACTCCACTACATCTTGCCGCCTACTCCGATTCCCCTGCGCTAGTCATCTCTCTTATAACGAAAGCCAAACTTGATCCTACTTTGAAGAATGACGAAGGAAAGACGCCGTTTGATCTTGCTGGAGATCGTGCCACCCGTGACGCGTTCCGAGTGGCGAGGCATGAATTGGGTGAATCGGCCTGGGATTGGGAAGCCGCGCATGTGCCATCACCGGTATCTCAGTCCGAAGTGAGCCAACGTCAAGCGAAGGAGAAAGAAGAAGCCGCGAAAGAGGAAGCCAGCCGTCGCAAAGCCGAGATGGAACGATTGAAAGCTGAAGATGCTGCCAATGCTGCCGCCGTGGAGAAGCGCAAGAATGCCGGCGGCAAGAAGTTGGCTTCTCTAGACAAGACGGCCACAGAGAAGCGAGAAGATGAGATGCGTGGAATGACACCCGAGATGAGGATGAGGTTAGAAAGAGAGCGCCGTGCTCGAGCTGCGGAGGAAAGAATTCGTCGCATGCAAGGAAGTTGAGCAGTTGTTTGACAATGCTTTTTTCCTATCCGATCACACAGCTCGCGCTAGCTGCGTATAACGGACGACCGTTGAACCTCATTGGAGTCATCAAATACTTATATGACACCCTTTGAGATTAGTATTTCATGCAAATACCGCGTCGTTGGCATGCATCTTACTGGGATGCTCCGAATCCCTTGAACCTAGTAGCGTCCACTTGAGACATATACCCGACACGCAATTGACCGAAAATTTATCATGTTTAATGAAGCATATTATTATGGAATGAGAATTTTCAGCGATCAGGTACAGGTAGAAATAGAAATGAAATACATCCGAGGAAGGTGCTTTCCCGAAGGAGTTGGTCGTACCTTCCTCAGTTACCATCTTCGCCTATGTGCTAGGTGCTCCTTCCTGAACAACCACAAGAATCCTTCAACCTGCACTTTTTCCCCTCAATAGCCGTAGATTTAAAACAATCCCCTTTGAAATTGTAGTTGCCAGCCGTTTGTGAACAATGGCGACGCTCGATTGTGTCGGAAAACTGTACCGATGGGATCCCCTGACCAAGCAGGCCACTGGTCCGCACGCAATCTCAGCATTTCATCCGTTGCTTGTTGGCCGAAACAGAAGATCATGGTGCGTTTGCGTCTTTGTATACTTGTCGCTTCTGATGACTGATTTCCTAGTCAATATGTGTTTGACGATGCATGTGTCTCCAACCAGCACCTTCGGATATACACGGTCATATACGATCTCGAGAATCCTTTGAACATCGCTCCATTGGTGTACGCACAGGACATTTCCACGAACGGGACTTTCTGGAATGGGCAGCGTATTGACAGAAGGAACGGCGGTGCGGTCCTTCTTAGCGATGGCGATATCCTTCGGCTGTCTTCAAAGACTTTTCTCGAGTTCAGATCTGAATACCAATCCGCTAGACCACTGAACAATACTCAAGAAAAGGAAATCAAGGTGATATACACGAAACTTTAGTCAGTTAAACCGTGCTAATATCTTATAGGAGTTTTCAAAGGAGTATTTAATCTCAGATCGCATCTTAGGTGAAGGTGGCTTCGGCCAGGTTCGCATGGCCGTTAACCTCGACACCACTAGTCAGGTTGCTTGTAAGATTGTCAATCTTTGCGCGGTTAAAGAGATTCCTCCGAGAAGGGAAGACGACCATGGTACAAATCTATTGGAATTGCAGAAACGAGAGGTGGCTATCCTGCAGAAGCTGTGCCATGTAAGATGAACGATCTTTGTTGCTTGTATCGATTGCGACTAATATGAATATGTTAGCCCAATATCATCGGGGTGGAGAAAGTGTTCATGATGGAAAGTTCATTGTTTGTCCAGCCTCTATACGCAAAAATATGACTTCCCTAACAAAGACAGGTACATTTTCGAAGATCTCATCACTGCCGGAGATCTATTCACATTTGTTGAATCGAAAGGCGGTAGTATCACGGATTTTGAGGCGGCTTCCGTAATTCAGCAGATCTTAATAGCTGTAGACTACCTTCATGAAAACAACATTGTTCACCGGGACCTCAAACCAGAGAACATTCTTATGACTTCTCATGGAGTCAAACGGCGGATTGTGTTGGCGGACTTTGGTTGTGCTCAAGTCGTCTCCCCTGGAACCAAGCGAATGTCGACAGTAGTCGGGACATGGGATTATACGGCTCCGTATGCTCAGTCTAAATGTTCCATTTCTATACGGAAAATGAATCTGATAAGATACAGGGAGATTTACAATCAGGTGAAAGCTGGCTATACGAAGTCAGTCGATCTGTGGTCAGTTGGCTGCATCGCAGTTGTTTTACTGACTGGTACACCTCCATTCCCCTACTCGGCTTCCAGTAATATTGAATACAATGAGCCTGGCGATTTGAATGAGATGTTCATGAATCATAGGTGGAGCGAGGCGAGTAAAATGGCACAGAGCTTTGTTCTTTCTCTACTAGTTCTGGATGAAAGAAAAAGATTGACTGTCAAGCAAGCCTTGCAACATCCCTGGTTTGTGAACGAACAATATCAATCAAAATTGAGACAGCTCTATGAAGAGGCAATTCGGGACTGGCAGCCTCGAAGTGATATTGTTCCCTCCAATAGCGAGAACTGCTTTCAGTTTCTTCATAAGGACTTGGACAAGGCCCCTGGAACTGCGCTCACGCCAACAATGGAGCCTCACAAGTATCGGATCATCAGATCTGTATCTGAGAAACGAATTGCCAATGAGACGGCGAGAAACGATAAATTTGTGGAAGCTAGTTATCCCAGACGCGGACTATACATGCATGAAAGAGCTACTCGCGACAAGATATGTGTTTATCAATTTTCAACGCCATCCTCGAATACCTGCCCCTCTTTCAGTCCACAGGCTTGGAAAACAACGCCTTCTATTAGGAAACTTGCTTCCACGTCTAATAAACCGGGCTTGAACCAACTAAATTTCGACGTTGGTACTCCGAAGAGACCTAAAGCTGAGTTGACTACGGGACATGAATCATGGGCATACACCTCGGGAAAGCTGACTGGCAAGTTTCACATGCCTGCTGGGATAGCAGTAGTGGCCTCCAAGAGTATCACGAGTATTACAGGGGCTAAGAGGAGCTTTGATGAAACACATTCTCAATCACCGGAGATTGGCGAGGTCTACGAGGAGGTCGAGAACAAGATCACTGGCAGAGTGCAACGTATTCCATATCAGGAGAAGTGAGAGGCGAATGTTTGTGCTATAATTTGCATTTTTAGGGATACCTGATCGACTGAAAGATGAAATCAATCTACTGTGTGATTTTCTATTATTGTTATGATCTTCTCCGATGTTCTGAAAAGCAATACTTTTAATAGCCATGTATTATCAATCAAATAGGTCTACTTTTCGAGACCCTTGCATGCTGCACACGATGTTCGGGTTTCAAGAATCAAGAATCTCTATGGAAATGGCATCACGTTATCAATTTTGCTAGAAGGCCAGCTCTTCAGACAGCACAGTATCTGGATTTAGACGGTATAGTGTCTAGAAGTCTGAACCTTTGACACCACCTTACCCATGAGCCTTTGCTTTGTCCTGTACCCTTTAACGGACATATCATCTTACCATCAAGTGAACGCATCACCCAAGCTTCCCCGCCCATCTGCAATATCCATAATTTTCGGTCGAATTGTTGCTCTAGAAGAGCCTGCGCTTCACCAGCATACATGAAAACGTTCCCACCCACCTCCTTCGGGTCCTCTTCGTCCTTGCAATAGACTCAAGGTCTGCAACTGTATACGCAGTTGTCTCATAACACGACAACATTTGAGCTTCATCCTCGGAAGTACGAGATATGCATATCCTGTTACCGCCTAATCCTGTTGCCCATTGATAAAAGCGGGATAATCACCCCATTGCGCGATAGTACAGCCAAATACTTCAGCTTTTCGAAGTTTTGCTTCTTCTGGTAGCTCGATGATTTGCTGTAGTTGAAATGGAACTTTGAGTGTTCCATAGATGAAATAATATACTGGGAATTCAGGAGGAAATGTGTATGCTTTGCTTGTTGTAGTAAATAGTCTTCTGGAGCGGAATTAAGCATAGCATAGAAGGGAGATGATAGTTCCGCATTGGCTGAGAAAAGGCTCAGGAACTTGGGATCTGGGAGGACCTCTGATTCTTGTGTTATCTTGTTAGAGAAGGTGGATTTCCAGCAAGTTCAAGGAGTTTAATAATCAGGTAGACTATAGGATGGTAGGGAATTGTGGATATTCAATCTAAATCCTTTGCAGCCTATGACTACGGCAGATAATACGTGACTAACTGTTTGGTTCAGTCATTTTCCGTCACACGAAATCCAATCCATTTCTCATACATACCCAGCTTACTGGCATCAGTTACCAAGTATTATGATAATAGTCTTGTTAGTTGCCATTGTCGATAGGGAGTTGGTTAAGTCAAAGATCTTTAGATAGGCTCTTCGCTATGCTTTTATGCATGGGCCGCTGTTGATAGCTGTTGGATCAAAGAATTGCTACTACCTAAGAATTCTTAGATTCAATGCTACCGAGTTTCACAAAGGTTTAGACCAGAGGAAAGAAAAAGCGCGAAGATTATTACAGAAGCTGAAGACAGCCAAGACGAAAGCAATCGGGGCTGCCGATGTACATTAAAACTGGTCATATCACAACAATCATAATTATCTATTCATTATCGATATGTGTTCCAATACATTTTAAAGCCTTACGAAATTGGTTCGATCTGCGTATTCTACTCGTTGTATAGTTACCATTCACTCTCCAATACAAATCTCATCCATTGCTATCAGCACCGGTGTCGAATCAGACCACATGAATCGCATTCTGTTTTGGCATTTCCTCCTGGTTCATGAAGTTCCCTCATGGGTGAATAGTCCAGATTGATTTGTGGAGAGTACATCGGAATCCTTAAGACGTCGACTTCAAAAGTTGGAATGCTCCCTTGAGCGGAACAGTATAGGATCTCCGATAATATACGCTGTATCTCGCAGGTTTGTATTGAAATCGCCGTTGTATCGAAATCGCCATTATCACAATAGTTCCCGCAGTAAGGGGTTGTGAAGAATGTCATCTCGAGATCGGACCGACATTGGGCAATTCAAGATGCTGGATATCTTTATAAGAACAAATGAGGGCAGCATTATCGCATCCATCTGCTGGAAATTAGCAGCATCGGTGTTCCTTGCCCACGACAAGTGGTTTATCGCAAGAGTCGTTCATTAAGCCGAAATTTTTTGTTTCCATTCGTTTTCTTCATTTCTTGCTAGATACTCTAACCTCATCTCTAAAATGTTTCGACAAGGTACCCTCTTCGCTCTCTCGACACTGTTGCTACAGTATGCACTAGCAGCACCTGCGTCCCATGGCGGTGATGAAGACTGGGGCGTTCCTGCCAAAGGCAACTGGAAGAATCCCTCAGTGTCACACGGCGGATCTTCTGACTTTAACCACGGCGGTAGCGGTGGATTCGATAACAGCCATTGTAACAATAACGAGGGTGTTGCAATCACCACGACGGTCACAACATGGTAGGTTATGGGACTTCGCTTCATTCACTATACGAGTAATCTGATACAAGTATGTAGCCCTGCAACAAATTCGGCTACGGCGACAAGAACCGTGACCGTTACCACTAATGGTGGTGGCAATGGAGGAACGACCACGGTCATTGAGACTATCAGCTCTTGCACATCATCCACCACCGATTACGTGACCATCACGGCCAATGGAGTCGTGACTACTACCACTGTAACCGTACCGACAACTACGACTTCCACCGTAACAACCGGTGGAACAACTGTCACGGTTCCTGCTTCAACTTCCACGGTCACCTCCACTCAGACGGCAACAACGACCGATACCAAAACGGTCACCAACAACGAGATCGTGACCACAACTGCCACAACTACTAGCACCTTGACCATAGAATTCTCCACGACTATCACTGCCGACAATTGTGCAGCCACTGATCCCGGTGTTCCATCTTATGGCTCATGCTCTGATCCTACAATCAGATATGAATACGGTCTTGATGGCCGTACAGACTATTCCTACACAACGAACAATCAGGCTGACTTCCCATTTGGATCATCTCCTAATATCGACCCGGTGGATGGACTGATCTGTAATCGTCTACGTAGTCCTTGCAATGCTCCGGAGGAGACTGTGCAACGATGCTTAGAGTCAGCGGAGATTGTCAGTCAGCTTTCGGGCCAGGAAGCTGCCGATGTTTGGAATTCATTGATGACTTGATCAGCTTTGTTTCCAGTATTTGGAGCAGATTGAAGGCTTCTTGGCGGAAGTGGATCGTCTTGATACTCGTGGTAGGTGGAAAGCAGCTTTCATCTGGCTGCTAGTCATTTGGTTATGCGGGTAGTGAGATATATCTGGTTTATTTTATCTAGATAATATTTTAATGAATCGTATATTCAAAATTATACAGAACAACACCAATTCCGTGCGATGGAATTTTCTCAAACAGGTAGTAGTATTATGCTTTGGGCTACAGGGCAATTTCATGAACAGGAATCCTGATGCGACGTGTAGGATCAAATTGCACGTTATTACAAACACAAATACAATCTCTAGGATTTGTGTAATTTTCATGATTATATGCTGCTTGGATACAGTTCTATTTGTTAGCTTTAACTCTACGCTTTTTAGGTTGGAACAGCCATAGACCAGTTCCTCTACATCTTAACAATTATAAAATTGAATTTCTTAGGATATGCTACCTAGCCCATGATAGAGCGCGTCACGTCTCTTTTGACTCGTAACTCGATAGCCATCAGCAAGGGCATTGCAAAAATCGGAGATTGATAGGCATTCAAAAGGATTCCATATTTTGATGTAGGCTCTGAATAGGATTGAAGATCTCACAATCTCATTCGAGTTCAAGCTGAGGCTGGCCTCTACTGATGGCGATCGGGCTAGTCCGACCACCTAGAACGCTTCTACTTCACTGTGTTATCATGTCGTTGCATTAAATATGTACAGAAAGTACCACGACGTTTGAATTGACTAAATATGATAAAATATTTAGTCATAACTTACTGGACAAGGTTGAGATAATCCAGTCCGTGACTGCGTTCGTCGAGCTCCCAGGCTGACGATGTGCACGGAAATCCATGAGTGGGCCGTCATGAGCCTCGTCTATTGCAATGTATGCAGTCAAATCGGCAGAAGACCTTCGTTTAAGCACGTCAACGAACTGAATGATATGATCTCGGAAGAGCTCCTCATGGCCACCAGTTACTAAGATGTGGTCTACAATTTTCAAATCCTGCCACCAATTCTCGGGGACATCAAGTGTCATACCCCAGCCGAGACCCTGACAGGTTTCTTCACGCCAAGGTGAATGGCCAATCAGATGATCACCCCATTCACGAATTGTCTTGTAGGAAAGAGAGTCGACACTGAACCGCTGGCGATATGATCGGGTTGTGAGGCTGTTGAGACTGAGAAGAGGAGATACCACAAAACAGCCCCGAAGATGGGTCTCGAGGCTAATACTCAGGTCAACCTCTGGCCGCGGGTGATGGAGGTGAGATAAGAGTGATAAAGCCAGGTGACCACCGGCCGAGTCACCGCCAATAAGGATCTGTTGCTTTGGTATGAGCTTTGGCGCACAGGAAATGATGCTTCATTGGAGTCACGAACATCACCAGGAGTGTATCCGCAAGCCAAAACAGCTTTGAAGGCGCTGATAGCCTGTATCATCTGCCGGGGATAGCGCTGGCTCGGGACCAGATCTTGAAAATTTTATGTCAATATACCAAAAGTACTTGCACATGACAGGATACTTGACACTGACCATACTCGAGGATGGCAACACCAACATTCAAGCCGGTCTCGTTGCATTTTTGAAGTGTGTAATTCATCCATTCAAGATGACCCTCAGATAAAGGCATGACATATCCTCCTCCTGCTCAAGAAGAACGATTTAACTTTCCTTTTCCGGTAAAATGGGTGCTTGTGCAAGAGATATACCATGAAAAAACAGTATTACCTTATTGGCTCCTGTCGATCCAAGCCACAATAGATGGGTCTTCTCATCTTCGAGTACCTGAATCCTAGGTACATTGCTAACAGAGGAAACCCAACGAAAATAGGTGTCTATAGTTGATGGTAGGATAGTTTGGAGATAATGAGCTGGAATGTAAGATATGAAAGAACGCGCGGTTGCATTTCCGACAGCTGCTCCCATGGGAAGGCGCTGTAGCCAGGCTCGCAACACTGCTCGAATGACATTGTACGTGGCTGCGGGAATCACAATTCCAATAATCTTAAACGACAAGCAGATCCTTGCTCCGATTGTCAGGTCCGCGAAAGGCATGACGAAAAGAATCCAGCCGAGACCTGATAAAGCAAGTACGTTGTACTATCTAGGTGTGTATCTCTTATTTCAAGTTTTCATATCTTTCCTTTGCGTACGATCAAGGAAAAATTTTGACGAAACACCTGGCCTGGACATTAATTGATTTACAGAGGTGTATCGGAACCATCCCGGGGTAGCATCAATGAATTTTCGGAGCATTCCGTAAGCGGCGAACATGTGAAATTCGTAGAAGCGAGGCAACATTAGATATTTGACAATAGTAGTAATAATATCTGAGATCTAAAATCTGCATATAGATCCACAAGTAAGGTGTCCAGTGTGTCGAATCTTTACAATCTTGGAAATAGCCTAGATCAAGCCGCCGTCCTCGAAATCAACGACCATGGCCGCCCAGACAAGAGATCATGATTGCAAGCCATTCGAGTCTTATAGCATCCCATCGTACAGTCAGGTTGCTTGCGTTGGCACCGGACTTAGTGCAATCGCACTTGGAGCCACTTTGAAGCGATGGTACAACTTTGACGACATCCGTTTCTTCGATCGTCAAGATGACTGCGGAGGGACTTGGTATATCAACTCATACCCTGGTACAGTATCTGGTTTGAAACATGTTATGAGACTTTAGAAACTAACGGTTGACAGGATGTGCCTGTGATGTTCCAAGCGCCCTTTATAGCTTCTCATTTGCGAGCAACCCCAGTTGGACAAAGCTTTATCCAGAAAATTCGGAGATCAAGAAATACGAGGATGACGTGGTCAAACAGTATGGGCTGCGAGAGAAAATGAGTTTTCGAACAGAAGTCAAAAAGTGTGTATGGCGAGACGATGCGAATCGTTGGCTACTTTTTCTACTCGATCTTGATTCTGGAAAGTCATCCACGCATGAGTGCCAGATATTGTTCGCGGCAACGGGACAATTAATCGAGCCTCGTCCGTGTGATATAACTGGAACCTCATCATTCGAAGGGCATTTGTTTCATTCTGCACGTTGGGACCATAGCGTTGACCTAAAAGGAAAGAATGTTGTCATCGTTGGAAACGGATGTAAGTCAATCAGAAATTTATGAATATCATCTCGTCAACACTTCACTCAAATAAATTTTCCCTTAGGTACCGCAGCTCAGATTGTGCCAGCAATAGTGAAGCAGACAAAATCCTTGACTCAGGTAATTCGGAGCAAACACTGGGTACTCCCAGCAGTCAATTTCACATACCCCAAAGTCCTTACATGGATCTTCCGCTATGTGCCCTTCACCATGAAGCTGCATCGCTTCCATATTTTTCTCTTGGCTGAGAAAGATTTCCTTCTTTTTCCCATGACTAAGGCTGCTGCTAGACTTCGAGCGAAGCGACAAAAGGAGGCAGAGAAGTATATGCGCGATACTGCGCCGGCTAAGTATCATCAAAATCTCATACCAGATTTCGATATAGGCTGCAAGGTAAGGGTTTATTGCTATAATTGATCGCCCAGTCTTTATCAGCCTCTTCCAACCAAGATTGTGTTAACGTTGTTTCATTCTTTTAGCGCCGCATATATGATCCCGGTTATCTTAAATCTCTGAGCAGCAAAAATTTCCAACTAAAAGAAACCAAAATTACTGAGATTTTACCCAATGGTGTGAGAACCCCAGAGGGCATCATTCCCGCCGACGTAGTGGTTTTGGCAACCGGCTTCAAAACAAATAGTTTCATCCCTTATATGACAGTCCGCGGAATCAATGGGACGATTCAAGACCACTGGGAACAATACGATGGGCCTGAGGCCTACAACTGCTCCGCCATGAGCGGCTTCCCAAACTTCTTTATACTCCTGGGTCCCAACTCGGCAACGGGCCATACATCCGCGTTGATGGCTGCTGAAAAGTGAGTATAATCCAAAGCTGTTAGCCCAGCTCCCCGGAGTGTGCTGATCAATGTGACAGTTCAATCAACTATGCTCTTCGTATTTTGAAACCTGTATTGAGGGGCGAAGCGGCCTCGGTTGACCTCAAGCAAAAGGCAGAAGACGACTATGTATACAAGGTTCAAGGCGCTCTGCGAGAGCGTATCTGGAATGCTGGCTGCGCATCGGTAAAACTTCTCGGTCTTGTACACTATGTACTAAACAAGATGACTGATGTACTTTATAGTGGTACCTCAATGAGAAGAAGTGGAACGCCATGTCTTATCCATGGTCTCAATTCCATTATTGGTACCGCAGTACGTTTCCAGTATGGTCTGATTGGAAAGTCAAGGTGCGTTGATTTGAGCATATAACGAGATGAATTTTTGATGCTAAATTTTATGCGCTTTTAGATGGCTCGTAAGCCATCCACGAGACATCCTAGCAGCAAAGTATTGTTGATTGTTATCGGTATTACTGCAGGTTTGCTTCTCAAGGGGTATCAACCCAATTCAAATGCTCTTCTGCAACCTGTACAATTCTAGAGATTACAGAAAAGGAAAGGGTTGTTTTATAATGTATAAATTCCTTATCTTATTCAATATACATGTACCCAGGTACTCTCCACTTTTTGACCAGAGTTGACTTAAGAATATTGAAATTGATAAATTTGAACATATATGACAATATACTGCCAGCATAATTAAGCTATGCTCAGATTATTTAATAGAACTCAGCAGACTTCAGATTTGCATTTATCAATCCACTAATTTGCTACTGCTTCATATGGCTATCCAGCTACCACGTAACTATCTACCAGTGAACTGTGATGATATAAAGCGGAGAACTTATAAGTGCTACTCAAAGTGCTCAGCCGTATACCTGGCTCATATCAACTCAGTCATCGGAAGTCAGGAGCTTTCCGGTGACTGAATCGATTTTCTGTCTTCCTTTGAAATCTACCGTTAGCGACTGTGACTGGGAACGTAGCAAAATTTGAAGCCATTCAGGAGTACCTCGCTAAAAAAGAAATTAATTTCAATGGTTCTAAATGAATCAGAAAACAAAGAGGGGTTCCTCTTACCAAGCCTGCAATGTATCGGAAAATTCGAGGAAGGAAAATCGTCCTACCGTATCCACTGTACAACGTGTCGACAATCTCATCTGCCACCGTCTCAACATGCAAAAGGGGGAAGAAGAAATGGGACTGATTTGTTTCCCCTCGAAAGAGGGGAGTCTTGGTGAAGCTCAGGACAGCTAGTGAGGTACGAACGCTAGGCGCTTTGTGATGGTACTTCAGTTCGAGACCAAGAGCCTGCATTGAAAAAGTAATTAGCTAAGTGAGATATTCCAAAAAAAAAGATTAATAGTGAAGACCACAAGCGAACAGGAGGGGCATAAACAGTCTCACCTCATGCAAAACAACCAATCCCGCTTTGGAAGCACCATAATCAGCCAGGTTGGCTGGAACCATGTAGGCACTCATAGAGGCAATGTTGACAATATGCCCATGATTTCGTTTTATCATATGTGGTAGGAACTCTTTTGTCAAAAGGAAAGGAGCGATAAGATTTGTTTTAAATGTGACTTCATTGTCATGATATGACCCTTCGGCGACACTTTGACCACGAGACAAACCGGCGTTGTTCACTTTAAATATAAATGGATCAGATGAATACACTCATTGAGTTCTATTGAGGAAGGAGGCGTATAGCTACCAAGGACTGTCGGATGCCCAACCTCCTTACGGATCCGGTTACATACTTTCTCGATTTCTGAAGGATCGGACAAGTCACACCGGTAATAAGTGACGGGAAAATTATCTGATGGGGGATCAGCTTCATTCTTGGTGTTTGATTCTAATAAAGAAACAACAAAGGTCAGACACACCAATGCTGTAAGTAGGACTGATGACATCGATCACAGCTACACGAACACCGTCTGCTGCGAGTTGTTGAACGACGCTGCCTCCAATACCACCGCTACCTCCTGTCACAACGACTAGTTCCTTCTTCCAGTCCCAATCGCTGTCAGTAGCCCAGTTGTTGTGACTTCCATCGCTGAGGAAGTCATTGAACCATAGCACAAGCCCTAAGATGCTTCCATAAGTAGCCGCCCTGCCCCAAAGCGTATGTCTCACTTCGGGGCAAAGTTTCGTCAAGACCAGGATCAAAATATTCAACGCCGGATGGAAGATGGTCTTGCGTGCTAAAGCTACGATTGGGTCTATGTAAAGACCCTCTCGCGGCAGAAGATGTCTGCTTCTGCGTGGCATGATCCGAGAACCTTGATTGTTGATTCTGGTATGCAATGAGCTAGATGAAGTATTTTGTGTCCTAGATCTCAAATTATCAGCCGACTAAACCGAACGTAGTTCAGTATTATATTGTGGATAGACTAACGATATGCATCTTACCTCGGTTTCGGGCTGTGTACATCACTTAGGACATTGATCATGTCTCGTACACCGTCACGTTCGGAACGGACCCGGTGCGAGCAAAGTAATGATAGTATTGCAGAGTCAGCTTCATAATAATCTCATGTTTAAGCGGTGTAGAATAGAGTGAAGCTCGTAAGCTTTCTTTGTACTCCTCATTTTGATATACATAGGTATGTATAGATATAGGCGCCTACTTCAGTGAATAGCATACATTTCAATTACATGTCTTCTGGAGTTAAACAAATTCAATATAAAATTCTTAAATTACCTCCGATCACACCTATATAAGAAACAAAATTGAGCATTATTCATTGAGCGTTGGAAGCCGTCGTGTAGTATGATGACCGCAATCGACAGAGACTTTGATTATGCAGGTAGTGCATGTCAACATTTGTTTGTGGTTAGAACAAGTCGTTTCATCGAATCTCCTCCACAGTGTCTTAAATTAGAAAATGCTCTCACTCTAATATTCCGGCCTCCATTCTGGGACCTTCTCGTATTCTAACTTCGCTTCTTCATACACGTCTGCTCTCTTTGCCTCGTCTATGATCAACTCTCGATGAGCCTCACTCCTTACCGTCGGCAGAACCGGAAAAGGTTCACCAGTACTCTCGTAATTCAGATGTCGGCTATCATAAGGACCGGTCTGCAGGCACACGGGCAGGTTTGTCAGTAAACATACAGTTGAGATACACAATTCGAAGGGAAGCAAGGCAGTCATACCGCCTGATAGTCAAAGCAATACGCCAGACGCGCGATATTCAAGAAAAGACTTCGGTGGCCAAGCTTGTAGCCCACACAAATCCTTCTACCGCCACCAAATTGCCATAAACCATTTGTGATGTCGGTCTCGTTTCCATCTAGCCATCGTTCCGGTATGAACTCAGTGGGTGACTCGCATTCGTAACCTACAGCAACCTCGTTGATAGCAAAACAAGTACCTGCAGGAAATATGTAGCCCTCAAACTCAAGATCCTCGGTAAGCATATGATCAGGTGTCGAGATGAAGATGGGCCGCCATCGTAGAAGTTCTTTTGCAAAGGCGTGCACGTATGGGATGTTGTCAATGTCTGTTAGCGCAGGAAGACGCTCTGCATTACTACCACATACTTTGTCGACCTCGTCGCGCAGCTTTTGAAACTTGTGAGGATAGCACAATGTAGCCATGACAAAACAATTCAAAACCTCCCGTGTAGTATCGCTTCCAGCTTCGATCAGCTGCAAGGTTACGTACATAGCTTCTTGTTCATCCCCGGAGAATTTTGCATCGGGGCTAAGAAGCCCGTCTCGCGCAAATGACGGGGGTGCAGTACCCTCATCGATATGTTTCTTTACCGGATCCCACCAAGTCCGATAAACATCGTAATGGAATTGTCCAACTTTTTCCCAGTAGGGCCGCCAGGGCTGCAAGAACTTGGGCAGCTTGGCCAGAGCCGGGAACCAATCGATTATGCTTGCCCCAATGCTACCAGTAAATTCGGCTACCAACCTTTGCGTATTTACCAGATTTTGCGCTGACATGACAAATCTTTCTCCAAGAGCGATGCGATGGACAACTGAGTTGGCATAGCGATAGTGATTGCGGTACCAATCTCGCGGCTTAAAGAGGTACTCGGCCAACATTTGAGTGCTTTCCATTTCTTGGAATTCTCCATACTTCTTCAAGGCTGATCCATTCAAAAGATGATGCATGACCCGTCGCTTTTCGGCCCATTTTGCAGGAGGAAGAACCAGTGAGCGACCATCGCGACTGACGATACCACTTGCAATGGGATATTCGGATCGACCGTTAGTTATGCTGCCTCTTTTGGCGATTATTTCTTGCGTGACACGATGCGTATTGAGGAAGACCCAGGTTTTTGAACCAAGATGCACAGTAGCCATCTCACCATAGTTCCTTAATTCCAATTGCTGCATAATTTTGTTCCCTTGTGTCAGCCTGGATGTGATCAAGGAAATCATGAAGTACATAGGCTCACAAATTTATGATCAACATCATGTCGAGCTTCTTTCAATTGTAGAAGATTACCAAATATTGGAATGCCTGAGGGACCGGGAGGAAGACGATATCGACTGCCATCTTTTCTTCTTTTCTTGTGTGGTGGTTTCAAGACTGATTCGCGTAGCCAATGGAAAAGAAACAATAATCCACCAACAGACAGAATTGAGACAGCATGATATGGATAAGCGACGATAGCGCCGCGGAGTGTCTGACGCACTATTAAAATTAAATCCACGACAGACGACATCTTGCTGGCTGTATAAGATCGAAACTGTCGCGACACCAAAGGTACGCTAGCTGCAGAGTTTTGTTTTAAGGATTTTCCATCAAACTTATCTACGGATCAAGACATTTCCTGAAGGTGTGACATCTCCTGAAGTGGCTCTCATCTTGACTACTATCGTCACTTCAGCATTTACTGCCATTATTCGTTGTGCATAACCGGCATAGTTCCGAGGGGTAGAAAAAAACCCAAGCGGGAAAGAATTGGAGCCGGAGACATTCCGGTGGGCTTTAGGGAGTCTTAGAAGTTGTCGATAAGATTTGATTTACTTCGATTGAGCGAATTCTGTAATTACAGGTACTTTGACTATGTAACTTGGATAAGGATCATAGTTAAATAACCGGGCATTGTCTCGAAATGATCTGACAAATCCTTATCAAGGAAAGCACCACATCAGTGGTATTCACGTCTGTTCCAATGGATATTTAAGTATCTCCCTAGATGAAACCTAAACATCGCTATTGTTCAACGTTCGTGGAGGATGGTGTATCGTCATTATTACTGAGGTATCGTATTCTCAAACTCTGGCATTCCGACAATATCCGAAAACCACCTCGAAAAATCAAGAAAATCCGATGTTCCGAGAAATCCCAAGTCGTCAAGGTCATTTATGTCCATCATAGCAATATCACTATTTGACATTACATTCTCGGTGATGGGAGCAAGGTTTTCAAAGTGGTCTGTCCATTGCGCGGTGTCTGCCGGTGCTGTTTGGTGAGCACGATCAAGTTCTTGGTGAGTTGGAGTTTCCCTGAATCTTCGGTGATTAGATGTGGACTGAGCATATAGAGCCTGCAGAAAATTGAGAGTGTTGCAAGCAGATGAACTAAAGGTGGTCATGTAACTGAGGATGTCATTGCACCTTTTCCAGGCCTCCTCTATCTTGTTTTCACCAACTTCTGACATGATAGGTCGGCAGGAGAGAGACATCATCACGACCAATCCAGCTGTAGATACATCTGTGGCCGTAGAGTTCACTTCTTAGTACTTTATTCTCTTTCATGTAACGTTGATTCCAGTCAATTTCGAAAGCCGTAGGTACTTACAGAATCCATTGTACCACCAAGCGTCTGTAACTTGAGTTTGATGGGTATTGTATATGAGCGCTATCAGATTTAATGCAGAATTCACACATTCAGCAGCACATTTAACAGTAACAGATGAATACAGAAGGCTATTAGTCAAGCTAGAGGGTCGATAAATGACGGAGCTATTGTCTGTAGTTTTGGGTCGAGAATCGTCAAGTTGACTAGAGCATATTTGAGTAAAAATAGGTCGATAGAGCAAAAGGCAAAAGTAGAGATATCTAGTCATACGATATAAGAGACGAAAAAGGAGGAGGAAAGAAGATAAATACCTGGCGTGTAGAACATTCCGCTGGCGTCCCGCCATCTGCGTCCACGGATTTTCATTGTCTGGTTGAGCTGGTGACTGCCAATTCAAGAATGATGGAAGTTGTGTCTCATAAGAAGAGAGCTTTTCTTCAAGCCTTATAATAACATCCAGGCTACATTGTTTCCGAACTTCATCGGATTTTATGGCTTCGCTTGGTTGACCTCGCCATGTGTCGTAGACTTCAGAGAGTATCTCATCCAGAACTCGATGTAGTTTGATATTAGCAACGTAGAAAGTCATTATTGAAGCGTATGTCTCGTTTTCTTCCGTTTGTTCTAATGGAATTCCAGGTAACGGCACCCCGGGCAGATGTGCAGTCATACATGGCCGACCATGGGTCATGCTGACTGTCCTGTGAAAGAGAAAAATTAGCTAATGTGGCACGAGTTTTCCAAAATATTAGAGAAAACCGACATGTCCATTGTAACACATCCATACCATGTACAACGGCGAATTTCAAGTTCCAGTGGATCCTTGGTGACATCCCCGAAAGCCTGATGCAGACCTAGCCCTTGCGCCACTCGACATGCCACTCCTATCGACATCCAGCATCGGCTAGAATATGGCGTACTTTGAAGATAAAGTGTAGTAAGGAGAAAGGACTGTACAACACCAATCGTTTTGATATCGAGTAGGTCTAACCCTATGTGTTTTTTACCGCGCAGAAAAAAGGTGTGTGATAATGCCTGTCGTTGCGTCTCGGAAACGTCAGCAAAATGACAGCCTAAAGCAAAGATGGCGTTCAGAGAGCTTTGAAAAACCGGGGACTGGAGGTCGGAAGCCCAGATACTGCCGAGACCAATGTCCGATCTTGTAAGCTTTCGGTGAGGCTGTCTGTGCGGGACCCATAGATTCTCGTAGGCGTCCTGAAAACTAGGGCGATGGAAAAATGGGTATAAACAGAAAACACGATCCCAGAAGCATTCCAACAGATGGTCTGCCAATGCTCTAGGAGGGAGTGGGGTGTCTTCGAATACAAATCGTGTAGATGGCGTGCAGGCTTTTCGGATTATTGCCGACGTATGCGACTCGGGATGTGACCGACTCGCGTGTCTATCGGCTTCAGTAGCACGGCGATGCCTGATGGACCTGCGAGCTAGGCGCATGAACTCAACGGCCGACGAACTTCCATAATATTCAGCGTCGGGAGAGCGTGCTCCTTCATCAACTTCCGGAGCTGAAATGGTACCCATAGCGGTGATGTTACTTGTGAGCTCAAAGAGTGATGATGACTGTCTACGCTCCCGCTCAGAGTCAAGCACATATGGGGTTTGTACGTTGGTGGCATTTTGCACATTCGACTGTGGAGTGGCCAAATCATTCATTGAGAAATCACGAGGGGCTATTGGAGTGAGGGTATTGCGCACGTTATCTCCGGAGTTTCTTGAGATAGCTGGTCTTCCGGCTTCTGGAAAAGACAAAATTTGTGAGTCAGGATAGTAAACGAAAGCAAGACAATCTTTTCCAAGCCCGAATTCTCACCAGTGACATTATCAACAAAGGTCGAATCGTTTCCCATCGGTAAATCTCGCGTGGAAACATCATCAGCTAAAAGCCCTAAATCCGCAGAGTACGGTGCAATATTGGCCGCAATACAAACACCCTCTAAGTGTCGAATGCGAGCGTGAAGACTTTGAATATAGCTGCGACAGGCTGCTCGTTAACATTTTACGTTACCTACCATTGGAGTTATAAGAAAATATGCACGTACGCCGCGTTACTTTCTGTGCGAGCATTATCTGATGAATAGACACATTGCTCCAAAGGCAACGAACGTCGTTCACAAGCCGCGCATATGGGCATCTTTCCATCGCAGCGTGACTTGCGCTCACGACACGGATCGCAAGCCAATGGCACCTTGCGGCGAGCCCGGCTCTTTCTCTCAACCCTGCGGGGGTTCTGAGGAGGAGCTGGAGATCCCATATTGTTGCTATGATTCTTGTTGCTGCTGACAACGCAGGCGACGTAAGCGTCCAGTTACATGGGCGATAGTTAGATGTAGTTCGGATTTGGTGGCTAATCTGAGCATGGCTTATCTTACCAGCCCTTTTGTAATGTGCTTACGGCTACGGTACATGGCTTTACAATACCTAATAAACATGGCCTTCCACAAAGTATGAGATCAAGTCTCTGCTCGGCATCTTTTACGATAAATAAGGTCGGCGGTCGATCTTGTTACTTGTCCGAAGAACTCAAACCACAATTCAAACTCATTTACAACAGAACCCTCGTATCCTTGTCCTTCTCATTCGGGTTACGGATGGTGATCTGTACGTAAACTTCAATCATTGAATGATCGCAAAACGGTATCATACTGTAACGGCACCGGGCCGATTCCGATGGTACAGATCGGAACAGTCCGAACTCATACTACGTAACCAGCCTTACATCATATTTCCACAACTATAACTACGAACATGAGTCTCAATACGGCAGAGAACAACGTGAAAAAGAAACAATCACGATAGTGATGATCGTTCAATTGACGATACTCGTGAGCCTTGTCGCCTGTGTTTCTTATCTTCGCGCTCGTGGAACCTTCTCCAACATGGTCGACAACGTTACCGATTTCTTGTTGGAAAAGACATTGGGTTGGCCTTCCGGAGTTGAAATCAATAAGGTGGACACGCACCATCACTATGTGCCATCGTTCTATGCCAAAGGTAACTAGGTCTACCGAATTCCATTCCTAGTTGCACGGAATGCACCGATGAACTAGACAAGAGCGTGGAGCTAACGGATTGTAGCTGTTGAGGATGCCGGAGGTACATCTATTTTTCTTCATTACCGCTATGATTCTTAGGCTTAGGTTGTGTCTAATATTCAGGTGACCCTAGTGGCTGGCCAACGCCGCATTGGACACGCCTGCGATCCGAGCTACTTATGAAGCATATGGGTATCCAGACGGCCATCCTATCCGTTACAGCCCCAGGTGCATGCATCCTGGAAAGCCAGGCTTCATATGCTCTGGCGCGGAAGCTGAATGAATCGGGTGCCGAAATTCGTGACAGTGATCCGCAAAAATTCGGGTTTTTCGCATCTTTACCGAGTCTGCTAGACACGGATGCCGCCCTGGCTGAAATTCGATACGCGTTAGATGTTCTTCATGCGGATGGAGTCACACTATTTACTCGTTACGGTAATGAGAATACATACTTAGGTCATGCAGATGTTGAGCCTATCTGGGCAGAGCTCAATCGTCGCAAATGTGTCGTGTTTGTGCATCCTACTCATCCAGTTGATACCAATAAGGTCAATGTGAAGTTACCCCAGCCGGTGATTGACTATCCTCATGAGACGACGCGTACGGCAATGGACATGATCATGATGGGCACTCGACGGAAGTATCCAGATTGCAAGGTGATTTTGTCGCATGCTGGTGGCTCACTACCATACCTCATCAGCCGGCTGGCAACCCCTTTGCGAGCAACGCCAAATTTCGCCGCCTCTGCTGCCATGGGTACGAACCATGATCAGACTATGGCTTCCTTTCGCAGTTTTCACTACGACTTGGCGCTGTCGGCATCTCCTCAGGTGTTAGATATACTGTTGAAATTGGTCCCTCATGATCATATTTTATTTGGTGTAAGTATATTATTTCCAATTCCCTTAGGATCTGCCTCTTTAGAAGCTTCAAAATGCCTTCTAACTATTATACTTGCCACCTGCAGAGCGATTTTCCGTACGCACCACCCCCAGCTTATCCTGGGTTCTTGAGTGACCTAGAAGAGTATCCGCTGAGTAAGGAAGTGAGAGACATGATCAACTTTGGAAATGCGCACGCTTTATTTCCTCGATTGTTAGAATCGACGTCCTCAATTTGATTAACTTTGAACAAGTTGCAAATAGGAGTTGAAGTATTCTTGGAAGGAATCCATAATTTATGCAACCAAATTGTCGCTGTAAAAAAAATCGATCGATCACTCTAGCGTGAACCACATAACAAAGAAGTTTTCTTAATGATATGACAGCTATCTAAAAACCTAGAAGATTTCAATGCGGCCACCATATTTATACAAAGCAACCTTACTATTTGCTATCAGCAACAAACACGGCAGCCGCTTCAGTAGCAGTAGCTGTCACGCTAGGGGGTGCAGTGCTTTTAGTCACATCACTATGTTTTCCATGGTCAATCTGGGAAGTAATAATATAGATATATGGAGTGCTTACAGTCCAAGGAGCCACTGAATACCTCCATAGATATGATTTCGAAAAAGTGTATCATGAAGCCATCTATCCCGCTCTGGCGTAAGCCAGGTTTACTGCATGAATGATGATAAACTTACGTCTCCGTCGCATGGCCTAACCCAGTCTGAAACAATCGGCCGTGATGCGTCAAATCAGGGGTTAGCTGGTGGCCTGGTTCACGAAACCAAGCAATCGGTTGAGGAGAACCTCCTGGGGTGAGTTGAATTGTGGAAACAACATCTCCACGAGTTTCGGTCTCCTTATAGCTGGATTGTATTGCGGATAGCAGTAGCTTTAGAATAATAGCAAAAAACTTAGTATTCTCCCAAAACGTCGTTTCTCAAGATAGGACCCACAGTAACGTTGTTCTTGCGCGGGTCTTGATGGTATTGATCTAAATGTGCTCCATGTTAGTGCTTCTCTCCTTTTCATCTTCATATATGAAGGAGCTTCAACTTAAATATCTCGTCATAATGCTCCCATGTCAGACTATAGAGTAAGCAAGGAGTCGGAGTGGCCAAAAATATCAATTATTTCGTAACTCACGGTAACATAGATACCGCAGGATGTGTCGGATTAGAGACCTGATAGCTGGCATTCTGGATCTATAGACATACTTTCATTTAGCGACGCTTGATAAAACCCAATGGCTTCTATCATTTTCGTACATCGGGGTGACCAGAAAAGTACGCGCCGGTAAGATTGCCATAGAAGGACTCGGTGGTCAAAGCATTGGTAGCGGCATGGCTTGCTCTCCTATTAGTCGAAGAAGCATTTAACTCAGTGTCAAGATACATACATTGAGGCGAAATGACCACCATTCTGGAGCCATCTCCTGAAAGCCGTTACCTGGCTGCCAGTGATAATTTCGCCCGTGCTAGACGGCATAGTGTAAGTAATTCTTTTTTTTCGGCGTGTCCTTTACTCTTGATCAGTGCCTTACGTAGAAATCCAGACAATCGCCTGAAACTGGGATAAGCTCTCATCGGTGAATATAGACGGGCTAGAAAGCAGCGACCTAGATCAGCGTCATTGAGGTTAAAGGTGTAGTGATATGAGATTTACTCTTCAGTATGGACTGAATTCCATAAGCCTGCTGCTGTTCCCCACTCAGCGAGGACTGTAGCTGTATATAAGAGGCAAAAATTAGCGCACAGTACTCAGACCGTCCAGAAGCTTAAAATAAACGGTGAACCCTACCTGCCACGGAGGTAGAGTCATGGCGATAGCCAAGGGCACGAGTAAAGATGAGGATCTTCGGGATGGATTCCGTATTGTTGCCTGACATCGTGATTCAAATAAAGTATCTCCCTCTATTTTGTTTACTTACAACAGTCGCTCAGTCTGCTAGTGACGATAAATCATGAAGGAATGGGTGCATTACACAGCATACAGGCGCGGATAAATTGGCCGATACCTAACCCGAACCCCGCATATGAAAGTAAGCCAAGACGTGTCTATATTTAGCCATTTTAGATATAGACTATGCATTTCGTTCATTTCGCTCTCATCGAAATACCTGCTACGGTTGATTCATCGGCAATATTTCTTGTAGTCATTTTTCAATACCGATTGTAGGGCACGCTGTGCCACGTGAGGTCACAACGTCACCGTGGTCAATTAGCACGTATACTTATTAGTTACGTAGAATAGCGGATAAGGGCTAGAAGCATGATTGAAGGAACCGACTTACATCTTTGGGATAAACCTAGGTATGCTTTCAATATGCTACTAATAACTTTGGAAGCGTTCACGGTTCAGGGTTATAGATAGTATTGCAACATTAGGCTATATAGCTCACTTGTAATACTCACGAGTCATGTCACTCTTTCGCCAAATAAGATGCATATATATCGTCGTTAGAAGCCATCCTCGAAGATCTCTGAAAGCAGATAATGTATAAAAAGTGGCCGTTCATGTATGTCTGCCGTCAGATGAAATTGATCCGAGACGGATCGAGTTTCACGAATACCGTAAAGCAGCCTATCCAGAATACCGAAAGTGTTTGTTTTCCACGTCAGTTTCATCCCGAAGACCAGAAAGAACGTCTAGGTTCGAGTTGCCTGTTGCATAGCTGACATCGCTAAGCGCTTTCTTGTCTCGACGCTTGTTTTCGATGCCCATGAGGAGCCAGGTTGACATGCTTGTTGTGACGTAGAGCGACAGGAAGCTGTTCAAAAATGTGGTCAATTCAGGTTTATGACAATTTTGACGAAGAGACAACATACGCAAGTACAAATCCAAGTCCGGTGTGGTAGTAAGGAGCTTCGGAGCCCTGGAAAGTCTGAGGTGTGATGATATTCGTAATGCAGTACAAGAGAAACGCTGTTGATGTGACGACTTGTTTCTTGGTGAAACCGCCCACATTTGAGGAGATAACGGACATAATAACAGTATAGTTCACGCCCGAGAAGGAAATCATAATACAACCGGCAAGTCGACGGTGCCCGTACTCCATTAATGGGGGGGTGATATAAAGGATGGCGACACCAGCAACGGCGACGCAGCTGGATAGGCATGCGAGAGGCTGCTTCCAGTTACGAAGAGCGGGCACGAAAGTCGGCAAGCCGGAAATAAGCATTTGCATGACGGCTTGGACAGCGTAGTTTGGCGCGGTGTATAGTTGGGCTTTTAGTGCAGTGTAACCGAAGCCCTAATCAAGTCAGAAGCAGGTAGCAGGTTATAGGAATGATGAAGACTAACCTTGATGATGATACCCAGAAAGTTCGTTGTTACGCTTCCAGCAGCTTGACTGAAGAACATCTGGAGCACCATCAACCAACAACGATAATCGATCGCAGCATCCTTTACGTGTTCCCACTTGAAAGTCTCTTATTAAGCATGTTATTACTCCAGCTCTTGAAGTGAATGTTTCCCTAAGTTGCCACATACCATTCTTGACACCGAGTTGGTCGTCTGAAACACGCTTAACAGCAATAGCCTTTTCCCTGTCGTTGAGCCATGACACGCTGACCGGAGAGTCTGGTAAGAAGAACCACTGCACTGAAAGTTAGCATTTTATCAATATTAGTGGACGATCTAAATTGACTGATCATACAAGAGCAATTCCGGTCACGCAACTAAGTAGTCCGATTAGTAAGAAAATGAGATGCCACGATTGCTAAACAGAAAATGTTAGTCGATAGTTCGATATCGAAATAAAAGGAATGGCACGCACAACAGGGCCTGTCGTGACATGACCAAGACCGTAGTAGATCACTAGGAAAGGCACAGGCATTGCGCCATTTGTCACGGTCCAAAGACCAAAGCGAAACGGCTTTTCTTCCTGAGTATACCACATTCCAGTACTATATGAGTAAGCAAGACGTTCGTATCAGGATTGTGATCGGGATGTTTGAAGGCTTACATCAGGCTGAGACCGGGAACGACGCAAGATTCGAAGATGCTGTCAATTTACTCTTAGCGCAAGAGACTTGTTGACATGAGATCATGACGACATACCCAAGAAGAAATCGCAGCGCGAGCAAAGTTGAATAATTTTTTGCTGCCATGCATCCGAGGAGAGTGCAACCCCAAACAAAAAAGTTAAGGCCGATGTACTTTCCGGCGTGGAACCTTTGCATAGCTCGCCCGGAAAAGAAAGTACCAGCAATGTAACCGAAGTAGAAAATCTAAGCGGTTGTGAGCAGGGCGATCATCGGAACGTGAAGCATCTAGCTGATTTGGAACGCTGCAAAGAGAATATAAACTTACCGAGACACACCAGGAATACTCGTTGCCTGTGAGACCCAAATCTTTTTGTAGTCCATAAGTAGCTGCTGCACCGAGACCGGATTTGTCCACGAATTGAAGACCACAAGCCCAGGCAGCAAGTGGCATGAGATGCCAGTCAATTTTGCGAACGAGCTTGCGAGCCTCTATACAAGAATTAATAAACGTATTACAAGTAGAATATAAACAGAAAGCAATTTGATATGGATTACCTTCTTTTGTGTAGGTCAGGTCCTGGCCAGCGAGGGCCTGGGCACCAACATCCAACTGGCCTTTTAGATCAGTATCATCAATACGTGGGTATTCAGCATGGTGAGCGACCTCTTCAACATCTGTCTTTTTCGTTTCGTCGACCATGTTGAGTCGAGTCGGTTGTTCCTGGGATGGTTGTGAAGATGTGTCTGACCTAGCAGCCGTGGCGACTTAAATGTAGGGAATAGAGAATGATCTGGGAGGATCCAGTCACTTCTTTCCCCCAGAAATGTGACTAAACTCGGAGAAGATTTTAAGCGAAGAAGCGAGACCAGAAAGACTAATTTGTCGTGAACCTGGGGTTACTCGGGCCGGTGAATTGATTTGAGAATTGGGATGTGAACTTGAATTATAGATAGTATCTGAGGTTCATTCACTTCTTGCCCCGGAGACGAGGTCCGCATGTCGGGGAATCCCTTAAGCGAAGAAAGGGAACAGACAAACCTATGTTTTTTTTTTTTCGGAGCTGGAGTCATTCAAGACGGCGACATGATCGACATTCTGTGCCAACTTTGGTTAGACGGGGAAAATCCGGGGTCAACCTTCCTCCATGCCTCGGAAATGGAAAGCTTAGTGCTGGAAAAAGTCTTAAGCGGAGAAGAGGGGCTAGGAGGGCCGTATTTGAATACACTTGGAGCTACCCAATGACATCGTGTGAAGAAGCGTTATAAGCTCTAAAGGATTATCCACTAGGAACTCTGATGCTGATCCAAAAAGTGACTATTCGACATACCGACAGTAGTTCTTGAGACAATTAAAGCATAAAAGTAGGACGAAGAGCAATAATGTTGAACAAATGGTTCGAACTTGAGGTCAACTATGACTTCGTCTCCTAGAAGTAAAGGGACAGGATACCTCTTCGGAAACCCTGTATCTCAGTCGCTGTCGCCATACTTTCATTCGGCGGTATTCCGTCGTCTAGACTTACCTTGATAATTCGGGCTCAAAGTGCTACAGCTGGTACAAAAATCCGAAAAAGGGGCGCCGTTATAACTGGATGTTGCGCGCTCTGTCGGGCTGCAGTGTACTGTCTAGTTGTAGACCTAGGAGCCTAAAAGGTCTTGATTATTGGTCACGATGATGATAGTGTGTTGATGGAAATTCTGGAGCATCTTTGTAACTCTGGATTTTGAGAAACCATTATCAAGTGCGCGGTGGTCCACAGTTGCCTTTCTGGATTTCATGACATACCAAGCAATTGAGCAGGACGTCCTATGGACAGAGACTCCCATTGATCGATTGTCCTTTGGGGGGGTCAGAGAGGCCACCTTGTAACCCTCCACAAGGGACCATTCTAGGCGCTGAGGCTTGAGCGATACGATGTACAGTCTGGCTAGAGGGGTTAGGATAAACGCATTGCCGGATGGAGACCTATCCCCCTATGTGGTGACTAGTACTCGTATTAGTGGCTATATAGACATGATTAATATGATAGCGAAACATTTGCGATACTTTGCAGGGGCTCTCTTATAGTGAACAAGAAACGTACATTTAGTGGCAGTTGTAGGACAGGTCTCATTGTAAACGTACTAAGGATAAAGTATATCTAGTAGTTCGCTGCGAGTGTACTAAAGGACTGTTGAGATTGGGGATAACATGGAATTTGTTTCCAGTGACACTAGTTGCATACCTAGTCCAAGAAATTCGGGACATATAATTACTTGATCTTGGAGGTAGTTCTATGCGTTGGCACGAAGGTGCCAGACAGACAAGCAGTCCATTGGTAACAGGCCCAAGAGCTTAGGATGTTGATGGCAAAATTTGGGAAGAGGCTTTACTGGCGGCACCTCTGTATAGCGTGACGCACGTCAATGGGCGTTCCGGCAGTGTAAGTCAGATGTCGTGGGCATAATTCGAATAGTCATCCAACGGCTCGCTCGCTACATAGCTACTAGGACTCGACTCACTTCGTCGCACCAATAATGTTTATATATACGTTCAAAGCTTTTATTTATTAGAATTGTCTCGTTCCGTATGATATGGGTACGAACCTCTTAGCTTTATCCTAATGGCTCATCATTCTCATCTTTCCCAGCGCCCTGATGACTTATCCATAAGCAATAGAAGATCAACATGGAACTTAACATAGAACAAAAGTCACTTACATTCTATTAAAATCACCGTCTGCCTAGGGACGGCTGGCTTTGAAGTCTATCCTTAACAAGATCAAGTTATACTGTGGTGGCTCTTGATGAGCATGTACATTCAGACCGACCTTTTTCTGATATGATAGTAATAATAAGCAAGGAGCAGCTTCAGCATACTCTAGAGGCATTGCCTTGCATTGCATATGCACCATTGACACTTGATTTCAGAAGGCAAAGGTTCCCGAGGGACGTCTGGGATATGACTTGCACGGACCCAGTCGTGCCTTTTATGCTTCCGAACAAATCTATGGTGACGAATAGCGACTTTTACCACTATTGCTGTTGCGCTGATCATATTCATGGAGTTCATGTAGACATGGATTTATTGAGTGTTGATGATCGAGGAAGGGATCTAATTGTGTACCCTTTTCGGAATGATTAGGGTTTGACACTATCTCGTAGCTGCTTACCTAGAAAGAGATAGTTACAATCATGTCGAGCATTGCTGAGTAAATGGTTCCTATAAAGATATTACTACAACAAGGTCAAATAATCTTAGAGCAGCGAATTGACCTTCAGTTTACTGTTTGGGGATGGGCATTGTTATTGTTGACGGAACTAGGGCTTAAAGGGTTATTAGATCTCAACCAACCAGTTAAAGGCTCAACGCCTCGTTTTGAGATACTTAACACAAATCAAAACATATTGACACTATAATGCTATACTTGGGTCTGATGTTGAATGATTGGTTGTCTCTATGCTAGATTCGTTGTACATTGTAGATGCGATCCCCAGCCACCAGCGAGATCGTATCCCTTGTTTCGTGCAGCTGCGGACCACTGCACCTACTTGCATCTGCAGTCGACTGCCACGAGCCTTCTGTGTACACTGGCTGTAGTTGCTGTCTACAAGAATATGCTGATTCGTTTACCAGCGCAACAAAAATAGACCAAAAGAGCTACATAGGAGGTTGCGATGTCAACATTCTATTTCTGCTCGTCATTTGGATGGGAGAAACCTTTGTCCAATTCACTTCCTGCGAGATTTCCGTCTTATATTTTGCCAATCTAACTTTGAATAACGTTGGACAGGCTACTCCAGTAACCACAACCAGAAAAGCCAGTAAATCGCAATCCCTTGCTCCTGCTTTTGAAACCAAATCAAACTCGGAACGTTTCCGTTGACGCAAGCCCTAGATCTACGTATAGCAGTGTATCAAGGGATCCGTAAAACCTGGGGTTTAAACCAAGAAAGAATAATCTCCTAGATAGGGCTGTTCTTTTCCTGGAGTGCATTACTTTCCGAGTCATGTACGTACTATAGACCCACAGGTTCGATCTACAGTAATCTGCATCGTGCCAATAGATAAGATTCTCCGATGCGGCTGGTTTGCGCATTCGTCCCTTGCTGCTATTATTGGGACTGTCAACCAGTCATTTTTGTATCTGGTGGGTTGCCCTTGATTGTTGCCAGGGTAGAGACTAGTTCGACGAGTCGGAGGGTTTCTTTGCTGCTGCTGTGTCCTGCTTACATGGAAGTTTCTACCTCGAGGGAGTCTGCAGTGCATATAGCATTGTACTTACGAAGCGCATGCAGGATGTATTCTGCGCTGCACTATACACATGTTATGAATATGACAGCCACCTTCTGGTATGTGGGTTATAACGACGTCGTCAAATGATTTGATTGCCAGTCGAGTACCAGCCACGACGTACTATGCTTGCCATCTGACTATGTACATTTTACAGAGTCTTTTTTTCTCTTTCGTTTTCTTGAATATAGGGATAGTCGAATTTGACGTCGCAAAGAAGCTTTCCCAAATAGGCAATAACCCTAGACGATCACGAACCCAATAGAAAGGGCTCAATTGACCAAGCCCTAACCCAGTCCTGGAACAATGGAACAAAGTCTTATCAGGAACTTGGACCAGGCCGCGGTACCTGGGGTAGTGAGATCCAGGTAGGGCTATACTAGAAGCACTATTGGAAACGCTTGTGAGATGACATCATTCGACTAGGGCTGATTCTACAAGATGGTCGGTTGACTCAGGACTATCCCTGGTGAAAATCTTGTTCCTGGATATTCTGGCCCCTGTCGAGACTGGCGGCGTATGAATTTACGTGGTGTACCCCCAAACAAGATCATCTGGGCTTTGCTGAAAGTTTGGGTCTGGTCACTAGTTGGGGAACTGTTCCCTGCGTCGAGCCTTTTTCTCCTGGGAAAGAAGCATGGCTATAGGTTAACTCTTTTAATTTCCCAAGGCCGTTCAGGCAGCCCATGGATCGTGCCCATGACCTCACCCATACAAATCACAGATGGGAAGTAACCGACAATACAGCTGGTGATGTGACCAACCAGTAATCCTTTTAACGAAGTATGACTTCATTCGTATCATCAGCTTATAAAGCCGCACTACCGACTAGTCCGCTGCTCTAGATGGGCCGATAAGATAGAGCCATGTCATATTCTCATCGAGACTGATGATTGTTTCATGTCCTTAATCCTTGTCCTGTCTGTGCTACGGTGCTAGCAGGCGGCTAGTTGGACCATGATGTCAGAGTCTATATTTCCCTCAGTTCACAACGACTTGTACCATCAAGAGAGCACTTCTTCCTCCTGATTCCCTTTCGCCTTGAAGCTCTGCAAGGAGCGATAGGAGCACGACAATAAAGGCGCATACTACCACTACTCAAACCCTGCTCGAAGGGAGGAGGGGGCCACCCCAGAAACGGCCGATTGCTCAACCCGATCAACACGTGCAACCAGAATATACATTTCGATCAATCAAAATAGATCATCTGATGGTAGATTAGAGCAGGATGGGATCAGCCGACCAGAATTGACTTTCCCCAAGAGGCAATAGTGCCTGGGTGCCTTCGTGCCTTGGTGCTCAGGCCAACACGTAATTGGAGCAACATGATTGGCCAACGCGCCTGTTTCGCCACAACGCGTCGCGTAAAAACGCGTCTCAGTCAAATTAAGCAAAATTTTCGGGTTCGGCGTTGAGCCAACTACGTATGTCGTTCTATTGTACTCAATTGATGAAGATGCTGATATGCCAATCACAGAGAAGATGATATACTATAGTAGATGCTAAGTGTATGTACGATCATCGTTAGACCCTCTCTCTGATCACGGTGGTGAGTGACGCAAGGCATGATGGAGTAGCAAGTAGGAAATTAGGAAAATTGATTGCAACCCACCCACGCCCTTAGGAAATTTTATTACTTGCAGTTCGGAGTAAACGACAGAACGAGGGATTCACACTTCAGAGTCAGTAGATCAATCAGGATAGTTGCTAGGGGAAACCGGAGAATACATAGATTGTGCCTTGCAGAGGCACGATGGACGGACCATCCTTGCTTGCCGGCTCTCGTGGGCATAGACTACATCGATATACGTCTACAAACTACTGCGTATACAGTTCGTAGTATAGACTAAGACTAAGAAGTGGTATCTTTCGTGGCTTGCCTCGGTGACGACAAGGGCTGGCCGATTATTGCTATCCATGTTGATCCACTCCTTGACGGCTCGGAAGAGATGCGGATCTGCGTGATGAAACGAGGCCGACTAGAGCGATAGAGAGATACGGATAAGAGTCATTGCCGGGCTAAAGTCAACGGCGATATGATATCACAATGGAGATGAGACATACAAAGAAGCGGTTGCTATTTCAGTCTGACAGAATAGCAGAAATTCAAAGGTCGGCGCCTTCAGCTTTGTCATGCCTCTTCTTGGGGCAAACTTAGCATCAGAACGTGTATGGCAGTGATCCTCCGTAGGGTAGAAAGAACTGACCTTGCGTGGGAACAGACCTGTCAGAGGGGTGACTAGCACGTCAAACGGGGTCAGACAGAAGAACAGAGGAGCCTAAATTAGACGAAGGGAAGGGAAGCAGAGGCAAGAGGGAAGAGGACAGACAGAACACGGCCCCACTGGGGGCCTGGGGTGCTTCCTTCCCTTTTCCGTTTCCCTTTTCTACCCTGTGCCTGCCGCCTGCCCTCGTTCCTTCCCCCCGAGAAAAATTAACACCACCCGCTCGCTGTCTCTCTTCCTGCACACCACGCTCTCTTCGACTTGCAACTCGTCTGCCGCCACAACCACACCGTCGCATCCTGTCGCAGATATTTTGGCCTGATCGCTCTCTGTCCATCAGCCGTTTCTCTCGATAATTATTATCGATTTCGTCACCTCTTCACCGCGCGATCCGCCTGGCGCATTCGGCTTGCTCCCAGCCTCCGTATCTGAGGGCCGCGGGTTGCGCCGTTTGCCAGTCAATCCCAACGAACACCCCATTTCCTACGATCACTCAGTCCGCAACTTCATACAACTTTACAACATTCTTATACAACATCCCACACAACATGTTGATGCAATCCGCCCTCTCCTGCGACACCAGGAAGTTCCTGAGCCAGCCGCACTATCGCGGCCTGTCGCCAACGCCGCCACCTTCGAGCGACGGCATCAGCGGTAGTCTACTCGGTGTCAGTCGCAAACTGCAAAGTCTACTGAACGTCTCTCCTGGCCCTACTCCGTCGACTCCCCCTCGATCCGTGCGCCTCGCCAGCCCGTTTCATCAAGAGATCAAGACCAAGCCCAAGACACGATCGCGCAAGACCACACCAAAGATCAACACACCTAGATCTAGCGCATCCAGATCCAGTCCCTCACGAGCCACCACACCTACAGTCAGCAGAGCAAAGACGCCAACCGCGCCGCCTCGCATTCGCAAGCGCAGTCGCAGTGTCTACGAAGATGGGGAAAGCGAACATGAAATGCCCGGCGTTCGACGACAGCGCGATGGATACACAACCCCAAAGCGCATGCGACATTTCCCCTATCACATGCCTTTGGGATTGGGTATAGCCGATTTCGAAACATTAAACAACCCGCCTAAACAAGAATCCAACCCAGAAGCACTTCCACAGATCATCATCCCGTCAATAGAAATCGAAGACACCGACACCAACACTACCGCAAACACCGACAACGATAAAACAGACTGGACAGCCGAAGAAGACGAACAGCTAGTCGAAATGGTCCTCGAGAAATTCCGACTGACCAAACGCGACTGGCAAGAATGCGCTCGTCGCATTGGCAAAGATGACGCCAGCGTCGGCAAGCGCTGGCAAGCGCTTCTCGGAGAAGGCAACATTGGTCTTCGGCGAGGGTCAGGGCAGTTTGTTCGTGGTCGACTAGACGGGTGTTTTCAGCCATAAGTTGCTCGTCATTTCTACCAGCACGACTTGACTGTTTTGGTCTGTTTCGTTTATATTCATTTATTATCACGCATTCATATGGAGTTTTCTGACATCATTATCATTGATGTCAAGAATGGGCAAGGCTACTACTATTTCTTTGTTTAAATGGAAAGATACCCCGGGAAACGGTGTTTGGAAGAAAGAGGTTTTATTTTTTTGTTTCTTTTCATTTGTTTGATATACATACATTTCTTTCTCTTTATTCTTTTATTTCTTTATTCAACAATTGTTTGAAAATTTCATTCTTAATGGCATTATCTCTACTATCAGTCTATCGATTGTCCTGTATTCCATCCAAGCGCAGACCGCCGAGCCGTTGTCAGCGCGAGCCGTGCCGTCCGGTCCCTAGACTAGTCTCGTAGTCGTGGATAGCGCAATTCAATTTAATTAAACCGTTGGATTTGACACTGTATTAATTGCCGTGTATCGTGCTAGTATTATGTATGGCATTTTACCTCTAAGTGTCCATGGAGTACTTTGTCTTGTACCATGTGGACATGCATTGTGTGTAGTGTCCTGCATGCATATGTGCGTATAGTAGATATAGTAGTATGGGCGGCAGTCAGGGGCACAGATCGTCGATTGAGTTCTGTTTGGAGTTCGTCCGAGAAGGACGTGCTCAAGCCTCAGGCACCCCACGTGCTATCTATCTGTCATATCGGCGAGTTTCAGGGTTACGTAGCTTTAAGCTAGTCTCGACTGTCTACTACGTACATAGTAGAAATCGGATAACGGCCGGAATGAGCACTGGCTGTTTTCTTGCTAGTTCGCTCTGCATTTTACGCTACGATGTATTGATAGACTGTCATCTGACTACTAACTACTACATAGTAGTGGATACGCTCGTGGTTCGAGATAGTTCGATTGATAATGATGGGTATGTTAATATGGACATACAGCATTGAATGCACCGGACAGAACGCCATGATGCTTGTAAGCATGAAGAAAGGAGGACGAAGCTATATAGATGAAGACTAGAATCTGTATACCGAATTAGCAATTAGCATAGCAAAGTAAAGCAAAGCATAAATAGCTTTAAGGAATTGGAAGGACGTACCGGATCTCATAACTCCCCGCCCTCGTCATATACCGCACCCACTTGACACTACTATAATTCCCCTTCTCAAACACCTTCAAATACCGCACCAGGAGCCCACTACTCGTAAACATCAACAGATTAAACGACAGACTCAGCGGCGGCCGACTCCACGCCTTTTGATGCGTCATACTCGTCAACGTCGCCTCCGCCGTAAGCACATACTCACTCTGCCCCGTAAACCGCGCAATCTTCCACACAATATTGTTTTGCTCTGGCTCGTATTTGGCTTTTCCCTGCGTCGTGCGTTCGGTAATCTTGGCTGTGTTGAGGGGCGTCGGGATGCGGATTACGACGTTGCTGGCAAACAATTTTGCGCCGTAGTTGGCCTTGATGGCAACGCTGTATTCGACTTTTGTAGTGCCGATTTCGCGTACGATCGGGTGCACTTTGAAGGGGAGGTTGATGTTTTCTGTGGCACGGTAGCGCATAAGTTCGAATTCGCCGTCCGGGGGCACGAAGGAGATGGTTCGGTCGGCGTCGAAGCGGCCCAGTTTTACGCATTGATGGAATTGGCAATCCTCCAGCGTGACGGAGCCTGCTGCTGCGCGGGTCGCTTTTGTGCGTCCTCCACCGCTTTTGCCGCCCGAGGGAGCGGAGTCGTCGCCGTCTAGCAACAGACGATCGTTGAGGCCGAACTTGCATTCAGGTGTGCCGGACAGATACGCTCTCATTATGATTTGCCCGTGCACATCGGCGCGAAGTACCGTGCCCGTCGCGGACATGAGCAAATTCACGTCTTCGATTACGTCGACAAAGGCTTCGTTTTTGCGGTATTTGATGTCTGCGCGTCGCCAGGACAGCGCACCCGTGGCTTGCATTGTGATTCTGCTGGAGTCCGAGGGGGAGTTGGCGATGGCGGATTTGACGCCTTCGGTGGTTATGTACATTTTCAGTGTGTCGGTTTCTGTGTTTTGCGGGTATCCAAAGTCGATGATTTCTGTCAACCGATTAGCATATATCAGAAAGAATTTTGAGAGGAGGACAACCGTCTAATAACTCATAAACCAACACAAAATTATTCTTAACCGCCTCCTCGTCAAACTTGCCAAAATACCCCTTCCCCAGCACAATAAACCGGTAAAGAAACTCAAACACGAGCGCCGCATTTGCATTACTCTTGGTCACCACGACCAGGTATATGTTCTCATGTTTCACATGGCTGAACGTCGTCGACCCCAGCGTCAGGATGGGCGAGCGCACTTGCGGATTCGAGATGACTTGGATGCGGAAGATGTCTGCGAGGCGCGGGCGGCAGTCGTTGCGGAATGCGCGGAAGATGAGGTTTTCACCTTTTTGGTTGAATATGAGGATGCCGGAGATCATGGTGAGGTTTCACTCGCCGGTCTCCAGTTCTCGTTATATCGTTTGAGGGGTAAATAGTAAATAAATGTTGTCGTGTCTGGGTGACTCGGACTGCCGTTGCGGCGTTGCAGAGCGCTGATGGTGATTGGTTCCGGTCATCCTAGAATAGGGGAGCTCTTCGGCCTATCACACGCTTGATTAATTTGTAAGTGTACATACGTACAGAGTTCTACAACAGCGTTGATCAGTGCTATTATTACTTATAATTAGGGCACATAGCATACAATCATTGCGAAAGCTGGTATTATGTCTAATTAGAAGCGGAACATGCGCAGGGGACGATTATAGTAACAGTCAAATCATCGCTGGTATCACAAAAAAACAAGCTTGGTATCATAGTCCGTCGATACATCACCAAAACGCTCAAGAAAATGCAAGTCACCAGAATCACCGCAGATGAGACGGAGCGGGCGCCGTTGGAGTCTCCGCATCAAATCCAGTATGCGGTCTCGTTCCAGGTATAGAGGAATCTTCAGGATTGACAAGACCAACTTTCGGATCGGGTATTTGAATATCCAATGTCATATAAGCTGTCCGTCGAAGACTCCAAATACGCACACCGTCTTTCGATCCAACTTCACGATTCCATTTCTCCAGCCAATCCTCTACATTGCGTAGATGTGTCTTGATACCGGCAAAACCCAGCCCATCCCATATCCATCCAGTCATCAAGCCCATCGCAGAATCAAACCAGTTCCGCAGAGAAAATGGGTCAAATGCTTTCACTAATTCGCCATTGACCTTGGCGATTATCCGACGAAATTCTTGTTCGGGTAGTATAGGGTCTAAAATCTCGGGATATAGGTTCGAAAACGTCGGGGCAAGATCGCCCTTGACCATCCAGTCGCGACGAATGCGAATGATTCGAGTTGTTGTGAACTCCTCTGATTGTAACGGGACATGCGGGTTCATGTGTGGAAAACATGGATGTGCAGGGCCCCAAGCTATTTCTTCGGAGTCCGGTTCTGCGCTAGTAGTATTATTGCCTCCATTGGACGGATACGAAGCGAACGTCGAAGCCCGTAACGAGTTATTCGACGGTGCATGACGAGGAGGATGCACTATACCGTCATCCGGTCGGATGTGACTCCGATTCGTAGCATTCTCTTCTGTCGGCATATCTTGAACTTCCTCTGGCTCGAACTGCTGGCTACGCCGACGACTGCTGGGCAGCGCGATGCTTGTGCGACCAGTTTCGGCCTCACCGATACTATGCTCAACGGCGAGACTAGTCGGAGACGCACTGACACGCTGAGGGTGAGGTGCTGGTATTGAAAGTAGAGGATATGCGTCACGTTCCGGTGCTGCGAAACCAATGGCCTCCTCGGAGGCTAGTCCACGGCGGGTTGTGCCAACAGTGACCCGTGGAACGTGATTGATCGGATTCCACAGACGAAAACCGGAAGGCGACTTATTCACTCGGATACCAAGGCCTCTGGCGGGGTTGTTATTCGGACGGACGGCGGAGAACGGTGAGGGATAGTCGTAGGCTGTATCTGCGGGATGGTGAAGGAGCGGCGGTACGGCGATAGGACCCTGCGCCGTATTATTGCTCAATTGTATGTCGCGGAAATCTGAGTCGGACAGATAGTGATAGTTGTCTTTCGCCGCCAGCGGTGATAAATTATGAGAAGACTGGTGGCGGACTGGAGAAGCCGTGGTGATGAAAAGTTGGGAAATGCTCGGTGAACGAGTGCACCGAAAACGCGTACGCTGGAGAAGCTTTTATGTAATGGTCTGGCGAGAGGAGGAGTAAAATAAATAGTCGACGATATTAATGGAAGATGTGGAGAGGAGGGTCGAAGAGAGAGGCGTGGTTGCGAGGACGGAGACTGAGCGAGAGAGTGAAAAGGGGAAGTTTTGGTCAGAGAGTGCAGCAGCCGCTTTGCAGCGTTTACCCCCATGCCGCGGCACCACAAAAGAAAAGAAAGAACTGCAACACAGGGAGTATTGAGTGACTTGCTGAGTGATGTCGAATTGATCTGGATAAAAGAGTGTGGAAATGAATTAAGAAAATAATTAGGACCACAGTCAGCGTACGACTTGTCTCATTATTTTTCCAACTCTCTTTGCTTTTTTTTTTCTCTCTTACAAATCGGGAAAAATAGCAATAAGTTGAAGCACGAGAGACCACGAAGATAACGAACGAATGCAGTTTATATAGATCAGATCACAATTCTGATCAAACCAGAAATGAATATATTTCAAACAAGTCTGGATTTATCGTCTCGATTATCCATGGCCTGGCTGACTAGTGATACGCGAATCGTATCGGCCAGCCACAGTGACGACATGTGGAGTTCGGAGCAAGGGATGAGGCTCTATTTATTTATGCTGAGACAACGAATTCAATGAAAAATATTATCGTCTTGCAATGGCCTGGTGCATGCAGCCTCTCGCGACCTGATCTAATGGGCATTGCAAAACCCACCTGCAGCTCCTGAGCAAGCTTTTAAACAAGTTTGGGATTCTTAAAGGAACCCCATCCAACAAGAACACAATCTAGCCTAATTCCCTCGAGGATGTCGTTGGCCACACAACTTTATCGAACATACTGGCTGCTGAAACAGCAAGCTTGTCGCCCACCGTTTTCATAATAGAAACCGCAAAGGGAACCTAGAAACCCGGGAAAGAATCAATTTTCTAAGCCGGATATACACCACTAGAATTGACATCGATCACACCAATGGCATCTCGCTGGGCGAGAGCTTCCGCGAATTTAAGTGTATCTTCAAGAGTCCAGGTCTCCTCCGGGACATTCTCCTGAATCCAGACTGAAGCACAGACCCGACGACAAATGGAAACATCAGGGTCGACAGTATAACGATTGAATTGAGCAATTGATTGTACTCCTTATGACATCAAACTAGAAGCGAACCATGAAAGCCATGCTCAATCCCTCCCCAAATACTCCCCCCAAACCCGTAATGCCTTCCTGAACAACCCCTGTTCACAAACAAACCCAACCCTCAAATACCCCTTAAAATCCCATCCTCCTCTACCAACCTCACCATTGCCAAACGTGTACCCACCAGGTATGATCAACAACCCCGTTTCTTGAATCATATTCTCGGAATACTCCTTGTCATCTACCGGCTGTCCCGTAGAATCAAACACCTGCACGAACGCCGATGCTCCCACAACGGGTTTAACCCAATTCAATCTGCCTTTCGACTTCCATTCCTCCACGAACTCAGTAAGCAGGGCAAGGTTTGAGGCACATATGTCTGCTGATCGGGATAGAATCTTTCCGCGGATATCAGGTGAAAGGGCAAAAGAGGCGATTTCTTGATCAATGCCAGAAACGGAGAGTGTCACGTAGTCTCTGGCAAGATTTATCTCGTCAATAATCTGTGGGTTTGGGGATACAACCCATCCAATTCGTAGACCAGGTAGAGAGAAGCCCTTGGAAAGTGATCCGGTTGATATGATGTTCTTGTAAGTCCCTGCCCAGGCAGTGATTGATGGTGGCAGCTCAGTTTCGGGATTTTGTCCGTGACACAGCGGACGAAAAATTTCGTCAGCTAGAATCAAAAGATCGTTCTCGGCCGCGATTTCGACGATTTCACGTAACACAGCAGCTGGAATTGACACCCCGGTAGGATTGTTAGGGCTGTTGATGACAATCATCTTCGTCTTGCCTTTTACCACAAGCCGTTTTAGTTCTTCAGGATCTAGACCCCAATTGTTTTCAGGATCAGACTTCCATAATGAAACGTCAACGCCTCCTCGACGGGGAACAGAAAAAAGCTGCTGGTAAGTAGGATACTGAACAATGACGTGGTCACCTGGATGGAGGAAAGTGTCAAGAACGAGATAGTTTGCGGAGATTGTACCCTGAGTAATCGCTACATGCAGATCTGTGATCTTCCCTGGAGGAAGCTGAGATTGATAAAACTCAATGATCTGTTCGCGCAGTCGGGGCTGGCCAGTGACAGAGCCATAGCTTATTGGGGTCGATGTACTGAGAGTTGCCTTTTTACTCTCGGCTGAAAGCGTAAAGAGACCGTCGAGGGATAGTGGGTTGACGCATGTATCTATCCACGAAGTCAGTGTATGTCCTTGTATCAGGAAGTAAAGTCAAAACTAGCCATGCAGTGTATACTTTGCGAGAGGCTGTGATTCAAAGTCAGTTTGACTCCCTACAAAAAGCAGGAAAGATGAACGCAAACATACCTTGAACTTTCGGACTAGGGTTAGCAAGTCGTTAATAAACATTCAGATGCACTCGTTATGCTTTAGACTACTTACCCCAGTCATCCAAGACAAAAGGCTCGACGTGATTCATGGTTTTTGAATGTATACAGGTTCTCCGTGGGCTTATTTACACTTGTGCCTGTGTCTTATATTTTGACAGTTTCTGAAACTTCACTCTAGAAGATTGCAATTTCATAACCTATTTTATACCTACTTATATACCTAAGTAGGCATCCAAATTGATACGTAGTAGTTGGTGAGTCATTCCATTCACGCTAGTCAAAGTATTCCGCGTATGTGATCAGCTACTATCCGCCTACCTTCAAGCTATAATCTAGAAAGTGATGATCGAGTAGTGTAGAGTCATTTCTTGGTCTTTGAAGAGCCCGGCCGGATTCCGAGCGCTCCGAACTAAATTGAGTGTTCGTCCGCCCATAATTAAGTCTATGAATCTAATGCGACGCAACGATTTAATCTATGCGTATTCTAAGGGTTCCTTACATAGCATGATATCTGCACAGTACACTTCTTATGACTCTTATTTACTCCATACATTAACCAAAACGCTCTACTGTACTTACAGTACTCTAGGCCAATGAAACGAGATTGACCTTCTAGGATCTGATTTAGCTGGTTTCAAGATTCTGCCATATGAGATAGCCGTTAATAGGAAATTTCGAAAGCCCAGGTCAATTCCGGGTCGTCTTGGAATATAGTCCATACTATATAATCATTTCCATAGTACCAAGTGGCCAGTCCTTCGTCGATTGGTGAGTCAACTGAATCGAACAAAGTCGAAGCCGAATTAAATTGGATCACGCGAGTTTGGACCGAACCGGAAGTGGGCAAACCAAGACTGCTGAGCGAGTTTATTTGTATTTCCCATGTTCCATTAGCTGGCCTCGTACCAGACAGAACACGTAGTGTACTGTCTGAATCGCAAATGACGGCATAGGCATCAGATAACGTATTATTAGTCATGACAGTTTGTACCCGAGTCCCTTGCATTTTCTGTCGATAGTATGAATAGACTGGAAACTCTCGTGCGGGATAATAGCCTGTTGCGTTCTCAACGTAACTGTCCCCAGATAGTGGTTTACTGAGAAGGTTGGCTGCATAGTCATGAAGCTGGAAGCCCGACATCCAGTTTGCTCGAAGTCCAGGGGCATTCATTCGCTCTAGCTGAGCAATGTTCCAAGCCGCTCCTGACGGATAAAGTTGATCGGGATTTCCGTATTCCTGTACGTTCCACGTGCCTTGATAGTCGACGCCCGCAGCCGATAAGATGTCTTGCCAGGTTGTGATAGATAGCTCCAGATCGCCGTTTGGATAAAGAAAGTGTAGGCTCATGGCGTCGGGGATCGATTTATTTTGCTGAATGAACTGAGCCCATTCAGTGAACCAATCTATCGTGTCGCCAGCAAAGTTGGGTAGGTGACCGTAAGAGGGGCCCGTAACCTTTGCATTTGGAAATTCATTCCTTATGTGTATGTGAGCATGTGCCTGGTTGTGGGCTTCTGGGTGCAGACTCACCAGATCTTATGGGTTGCATGGCCCCAGTATTCAAGCCATCTATCGAGTCCACGATTCAAAAAGTCCACATTGTCAACCTCATTCCACATATCCCAGTATACGTTATCGATGATATCATCTTCAATAAGCAGTGCAAACAAGGTATCCAAAAAGTTGTCAAAATCCACATACGATCCATTGTCACCGGGCATGGGGGTTGCGTCCAAGCTAGGCCAGCTATCGGTCCCCCACATATCGTGGATCATGATTTGGAAAGTTCCTCCTCCATGGCGCTGTAAGGTGTCCCAGTCTGCTTTGAGCGATTCATACCGTCCCTAGGAACTCGGTCAGCGCCGATAAAACGACATTCCACTGATCTCAAGTACTCACCGCGAGCTCTCCTTGAGTCCATCCTCGCGAAGGAGCTGGGAGCTGCGAGCCACCGGTCCGAATTTTATTGAATCCGAACTCTGACAGTAGCGAATCGGGGATTTGTGTGTCATTCAAGGGAAGGCCGAGAAGTATGCCAGAAGCCAGATACTCTGTTGGACCAGTGGTCACATTCAGATAGACCTGGGCAGTCCCTGATAACGTCTGGGCCATTGCCAGTGCCGAATGAAGTGCAAGCGTCAATAGGTTTTTGCGCAACATCCTTACAATGAGCGTGCCTTCCTTTTGGATATGTTGAATCCCTTGAATCAAGACTGAGCGATTGTGTTTCAGAACCCATGTTTTGCAATCTCTTTATACTTGAAGGAGTTTCCCCCGCCGGACTTTACTATCATCACTCAGATCCAGATGATTAAGTAGATTAGCCTTCATCTAAATCACGAATATATGCCCTCCGGAGGGGGCCAACTCCACAATGATCAGCGCTGTGACCCAAATATTTGAAATTCGCGGATATTACAATCGATTGAGGAAGTTATCAGATGAATCCAAAGCCCTCTTTTCTTGCAAGAGAGAAAATATGTAAAAATCTATCACGAAAGAGATAACGCTGCATTGTGTAGACAGCTCGCAGCCATTCGGTGGGAGTGTGACGCCTCGAAAAAGCCTCGAAAAAGCCTCGAAAAACATCATCCTCCACGGCGAGGGTAATGTGCAGAATTTGAAAGAGATTTTCAGAAACCTCTTTGTGACTCCATGGGGTCCCGGCGGGGTGCATGATTACTCCACAGATCCCCGGCCATGTAAGACTTGACGATATTTCGCTAATCCGCATTCATTGGCCACGGAGAATTCGCTAGTGCGCAGGCTAAATACGCGGGTCTGCATACTGCTAATGACCAGCCTTTCACTTATTTTCCACAGTCTGGCAGGGTCTTAGCCTGTCCACAGTCCTCGCAGTGTTCTTACTGATGTTGTGAGGCCGAAGATCTGGCTGAGGTGGCTTGGAGGGTCAACACTGGAGAATCCCCGGATCCGTCCTTAGTTTGGACATGTAGTTTTGGATATGGATCCCGGACGACTGGTTGTATCGTCCCAGGGCTACTTGGTCGAAACCTCTCAATTCCATTTTCGAATCAAGAGCCCTGCTTCCTGGGAGCTCTCGCAGTATCTCCTAGTTCAGGGGCCTGAGTAGAATCATTAGTTGCTAACTCATGCCAGAAACCAAGTTCTGGGTAAAAAATAGTTACATGATTTTCTCGCAGTTTTTATGCTGAATCGCGTGGTGGTTCAAGATTTGATATGGTGTACAGAAATTCTCATTTGGGTAAATTGGGGGATACATTTAGGGCTACATCGGATAGCCCTAAGCATGATTACCCTGATGTGGATACCTAGGCTTCGATAAGGCCGACGCAATAGATAACGCGTCGTCCAATCTGCTTTACGACTAGCACGACTCTATCGCTTCAATTCTCCAGCAGGCCCCTGCAGAATGCTCAAAACCTGCGCACGCTGCCGCTCTCGGCGAGCCAAGGTATTTCTTCCAGCCACTGCTAGCCTTTGGCGAAGTCATAGCTCACCATGTAACAAAATAGTGCGACGCTCGCCTTCCATCATGCCTGAACTGTCACAAGTCAAGTCAGCTATGCACGTACTATGATGAAGTTCTCAAAGAGAATATACCCAGAAGTCGAATCAAAAGTCTCTACGACAAAATAGATGAGCTCTCGGCTCTTGTTTCCATGCACCAATCGCATGCCGAGAGGTGTGTATACACGCTCTATTCGGACTCTAAGAGCTCACCATTTGAACTAGATCAGAGAGCGCCGTACTTGCATCATCACCATCAACGAGATCATATCTTGACCCGTTCACCTATATCGTGCCTTATCGAACTAATCAGTATTTGTTCCTGGGACCATCTCCACCGGTGGTACTTGGAAATGTCACGATCACAAAACTACTGCAGCTGGGAGCACAAATAGGGTCACCCTCGGCAGGCAGTACGTTGGAGCATGAGCGGTTAGCAGTTACGGCCGTCAAATATGACAGAAACAGCGTATCACCAAGCATAGTACGATCACTTCTCGCACACTACACTAAATGCATTGAACCTACTTATTCAACAGGAATATTCAAATCCGGAGACGACCAATTTGACTTGAAGCAGCTAAGTGAAGACGCTCGTTGCGCAGTGCTTCTTGCTTGCGCTATAGCCGCAGCCCACAAGAGCTATCATCTCCCAAGTTGGAGAGCGCTTGGTACGGCCTGCCGTGAATGGGCTGGCGAGCTTGCGCAGCCTTTGATAGAGAGACGAGACGATTATACAGTATTTATCCTGATCATGTTCATTGTCTATGAACTGGCCGACCCAGAAAGAGGGCTTATTTGGGACTTTTTGTCTACGGCCACACGTATATGCATTCAACTTGGCTGGCATCGAGTTGATGAGGACGGTCAGGAACCGGTGGAGGAAGTCGCCGATGATGATTGGAGAAATTTTGGTCGGGATAGTAAATTGAATACAGAGACTCGTCGGAGGCTTTTCTCTGTTCTCTTAGACATTGAAAGGGACGACCGCTTCTCTTTCTTTCTAAACATCGATTACAAACTAACTATCTGATAGGCCCTTAGGCATATTGTCCCAGCGCACTCCAATGTTGAGAGCCAGCCTATCCACATCCGAACAATCCAGTGTTGATATTGTGTACAACGCATACTGGCAGCTCATACGTGATTATTTCGGAGCAGCATCGAGGCGAGCCAATGAAGGCGGACAATGCCCGTTATCGAACGATACTGATCAGTCAGTTCTGGGAATTCTTGAGGCTCTGCCTACTACGGAACCAGTGACTCATGAGGTTTGGCTCCTACTTCATCCTATTTCAATTGACCATGCCCCCTGTCAAGTCTGCTTGTCTTTCCCGCCAAGTAGGGCCATGGGCTACGATAGTGGCCTACACAGGCGACTAATCCATGAAGCGAAATCATTAATCATCATTGTCCACACACTTGTGACCTCTCAAGATGTCTTTATCCCGCCCATGCTCGCGGCTTGTAAAGCATTCATGGCTGCATGCGTTTTATTGACTGGGATGGTAGACCATTGGCCGGGCTCCGAGACGTGTCTCGGATCATTACTCAAGTGCTCTGAAGTCTTAACTTTGACTGCTGCATTGTGGAGAGGAGGAAGACATTACTTTGAAACCTATCGACAGCTTGCCCGCGCAATTCCGTAGCGTACGGATTAGGACATTTTTTTCCAGTCTTGAGTAGTTATACTACTGTATAGTAGGTTACACATCTTTTGGATGCCCTGTCGGAAAAGTCCGCTACTCCAGGTCTCAATTTCTCAAGATTCCGGCTCCCCCGCCGTGCAAGCCCCAACACCATAATTGCTTTGGGGCTGCACATTTTCTCAAATCGGTTGCTTTATCTTGATTGAAGATTGAGTGTTCGTCCAACTGCTGTAGCAGTGAAATCTAAGAATTTCTACTATGTCTGTTCTATCTAAAGCTCTCGACCTACAATCGGCAATTCTGATATCAACGATTCTCTTGACTCTTGCAATTTTCATTTATTTGCGCTATTTCTATGTCGATTTTCCTCCTATCCAAGGCATCCCAGAGATACCAGGCGCATCTTTGCTTCACGGACACCTGTATCATCTTGGGCATGATCATGCTACCACAGCGCAAAAGTGGGCGGAGAAATATGGATGGCCCATCTTCCAAATACGGCTTKGGAACCGGCGTGTGGKTGTGCTAAATGGATTTGAAATAGCTCGAGATTGGATTGTTACCAACCAGGCTTCTACCGTTGACAGGCCCCTGTTCTATACGTTTCATGGGGTGGTATCCAAGTCGTCTGGTCAGTTTGCTGCCAATATTTACCTCTTCTTGTTTCTAAACTATGAAATCAGCGGCAACAATAGGCACAAACCCCTGGAATGAGAGAACCAAGAAGCAGCGCCGAGTCGTAGGTTCGCTAACAACAGCACCGGCAATCAAGAGGCTGTCTGGCATGATCGATCTCGAAACATCAGAAATGGTCAAATTAATCCTCCGTGAAGGGCAAAGAGGCTCTAAGCAGATCGTGCCACACATGTATCAAAAGATGTTGGCTCTGAACGTCGTACTCATGTTCTGTTACGGAAGGCGTTTTTCGGAGGTCAATGATCCTCTTCTGCTGGGTATTTTGAGCGATGCCTCGATAATTTCTAGGTTTGCAAGTCCTCATTTTTCTATTGATCCAGTACTTACTGGAGCCAAGCTTCCGTTCCACCAACTCAAACGCCCAAGATTATGTCCCTTATTTTAGGTACTTTACCTTTCTACAAGACAGAAAACGAGCAGCATTGGCCATGCAAGTCAGAGCACGAAGAGATGCATGGCTCGCTACTTTGCTCGAAGAAGTCAATGCTTCGATTGCCGCCGGAAAGGCCTCAAACTGCGTTGCTTCCGGGCTTCTGATGGATACCGAGCAGAACCTGACAGAGCGTATGCCTACCTTTTCTCCTTAAGATTTCTTCCGACTGACTTTTGGATAGTCGACATCCGCACCATTCTTGGTGGTCTCATGTCTGGCGGGTTCGAGACCATGTTTGCAACAGCAATTGCCGGGATAGCATTTCTCGCCAGCCCGAAAGGCCAGGAAATACAGGAAAAGGCGTATCAAGACATTCTCGAGTCATATGGTACTTTGGAAAATGCGTTTGAGAAGGCCGTCGACGATGAGAAGTCAAAGTATACTGCTGCCTTCGTGAGGGAAACTCTGCGTTACTATCCTCCTCTACATTTGCTGCCGCCCCGCCAGACTTATCAGGACTTTGAATGGAAAGACGGAATCAAGGTCCCGAAAGGCGTCATGGTCCTAGTTAATTGCCAATCTACCAATCATGGTAGGCAATCAATCTTTCAATAATTTTATTCGCGTGCTAATCCTTGAGCAGATCCAGCTACTTACGGTCCTGATGCGCACATCTTTCGCCCGGAGAGGTGGCTAGGAAATGAAGGCATCAACAAAATACCATCCCCGCACCAATTTGCCTTCGGCGCAGGATCGCGCATGTGTACTGCTGTCAATTTTTCCAACCGATTATTGTACGTCATTTTCCTACGACTACTTGTGTCTTTTAGAATCAAGCAGTCGTCAACAAAGCCTCCGTGCCTGCACTTTGTGGATTATAACCGTGATACGACGGCCCAGAGCGCCATCCCGAAGGATTTTGAGGCTGTTTTTGAGGTGCGAAATCAAGATATATTGGATGCTTGTCTGAAACAGTCTGCCGAGAATACACGGACTGTCAGCAACGGAATCGTTCGGTAGTTTCATTTAGCATCAAATGGCATTTCAGCTCCACGCATACATGATAGCATTTCAGTCTTACTGTGGGTACTTATCTCTAACTACCCACTATCGTAAACGGATTGTTTCTACTGCGATAACCTCGGTAGGGCACCAAGATTACTATTATCAGATGAATAAATTTGAATGAACTTGATTTCTGTTAGTCTTATCAGTAGAATCACAACCGGGATCTTGCGAAAAAAAGCGCCGATAGTTCGGAGAATTCCCGCGATGGCGCGATTGAATAATTACGGAGTGCCACTTTCAATGTTATCAGCTCCTCCCCGCTTCATGTTGGATTGCTAGCTTGGAGCGATAACGCTCTGCTTCAGCTCTGGAAACTTTAATCTAGGCACTATTATAGTCTAATTTAGATGCTAATTGTGCGTGTTACAATAGTCTTCCCCTCCTAATCCTTGTGCAGGGTGTCATTGTAGTCTTCCACACCATCGTGGGTATAAACACACGGAGTGACTTTAGGACTAATAGGCCCAACGTCTAAGAAGTTCAAGTCATTATTCCAAGATAAAGGCACGCATTGAGGTCTTCCGCAATGTCTGAATCCGAAATATCCAAAAGCGCCATCCAGGCGACGGCAACTTCACCCACTGCCGATGAAGACGCCAAAAGCACTTCCTACACTGTTGCAGCCAATGGTAATGTTATGGAAAATGGCCTACAGAGAGGGCTGAAAAGTCGTGAGTTTCTGCTTATACGCTATGCTATACGCTTTCTCATTTTTCTCTCTTTTCTCTCATCTAGGGCATCTTGTCATGATCAGTTTTGGCGGTGTGGTTGGTGCTAGTATATGGTATGGCACAGGGTTTGCGGTTGCGTATAGCGGTCCAGTGGGCGCGTTGATTTGCTTTTTAATCGTTGGAATTGACGTTTTCTTCGTCATGCAATGCTGTGAGTCTCATCAGTCTCAGGTATTCAAAATGAACACCACGCTGACTTGGGTTCCTACAGTGGGAGAGATGTCAACATTGTTCCCAATCCCCGGTGCTTTTATAGAACTTGCCGGCCGCTTCGTTGATCCTGCTCTGGCATTCAGTGTTGGGTATAATTACTGGTATCTCTGGGTTACAAATATAGCCGGTTTGTTTTACTTTTCTTCGATTCTCTTTTTTAACAAATTGAGAGAACTAACCCCTGACAGGCGACTTCAATGCTAGTTCTGTATGTTTGTTCAAGGATTCTATAGTCTGGTTCCTGCTAACTAGGTTGAAAGATTATCATGGGTTATTGGACGTCAGCAGTACCTTCATACGGATGGATATTGATATGGTGGGCATTCTACCAGGTCACATCGCTCCTTGGGGTAGTAGTCTGGGGAGAAATGGAGTTCTACTTTGCCTGCTGGAAGCTCTTTTGTATCCTTGGTGGATTCCTCTGCGCCATCTTGTTGAACACCGGAGCCATCGGTGGCGATTATATTGGGTTTCGCTATTGGAAAGACCCAGGTCCAATTGCAAATGGCATCAATGGATTTGGGCAATCGTTTCTTCTAGCGGCGGTGTATTACTGCGGTATGCTCGACCGAGCCTACTATTTAAACGATCTGGAAGCTAATACATTGGGTTTTATTAGGTACTGAAATGCTCGCACTGACTGCTGCAGAAAGCAAACACCCCGAAAGAGATGTGCCCAGGGCTATTAAACAGACTTTTTGGCGGGTTTTGATCATATTCATGTGCGTTCAAAGTCCAGCTCGATCTCTTCTTACGTCTAAAACACTAATCAATTCTATCTCAATAGGGGTCTAGTCTTCTTCGCGGGTATACTCGTCCCTTCAAATAGCCCCGATCTCCTCACTGCCGCAACCAAATCTGGCAAGTCTCCATGGACTATTGCGTTCAAGAATGCCGGAGCCCCCCAACTTGGAAACGTCGTCAATGTTGTTATGTAATTGTGCCCTCATTCTAGCTCTCGTTGTGTCTCCAGACTAATGGGGACGATAAGGATCACGGCCCAATTCTCTTCTATGAACTCGGCACTTTACGTTGCATCTCGAAGTCTCGTCACCCTTGCTTCCCAAGGGCGCGCGCCCAGGTTCTTTGCCAAAACTACGAAGAATGGTACTCCAGTCAACTCTCTCGTATTCTGCAATGCCCTTGGTCTCATCGCCATGCTGAACTACAAAGCCGGACCCGGGAAAGTGTTCACCTATCTCACCGATATCTCAGGATCAGCCACATACATCGCCTGGGCAGTTATTGGTGTGACGCATCTACGGTTCCGAAAAGCCTGGGCAGTGCAAGGTCACAGCACCGCTGAGTTGCCTTACAAAGCTCTTTTCTACCCTTACGGCACATGGTTTGTAGTGTTCATAAACACCTTCCTGACCTTGATTGCGGGCTATTCGGTGTTCATCGATGGGTTCGATGCCGTCGGATTTGTCGTCAATTATATTGTCGTTGCTGTTTTTGTTGTTCTCTTCGTCGGGTGGAAGATTATCAAGAAGACGAAGGTCGTACCCTTGATGGAAGTCGATTTATCCACTGGTCGGAGAGATATTCCTCGGGAGCAATTCGCGAGTGAGCCAAAGAAACACATTCCTTGGTATATCGTTGTCAAACGATTTATCTTCAGCTAGATAAAGGGGCCAACATTTAGAAGGTAAAAAGTATCTTATGAGGGCGGTCTTTTGTCAAGAGTTGTGCCTGTCCAATTTGGATGTCTTTTGGGCGTCTATGCACTATGCAATTATAGAGACTTTTGCATATCTATGATATCTGAGTAAGAGTATTTCTGTCCTCAAGTAGATTAAGTGTTATAACGCTGCACGTGGTTTGTCAAATGCAAATGACCACCACTATTATCTCTATCCTGTAAACTGGTCAATAGAAAAAAAAATGCATGCATGTGCCTCGATTTAATCAGAATCGCAGAACACTACGTCTAAGATCATGTAAGAGGACATGCACAACATAGCTAGTATAAGAAGCTAAGGAACCACCAAGTTCTGATCCTTGTCATGTTAGTAATAGGTGGAGATACCTATCGCTGAAGCCTTGATGATGTTCATTATTAACTCCGCCGGAACAGTACGAAACTGCAGGTCCTCGGCGCGCAAAATTCCGCTGATAGTGGGCTGAGTCATGACACTGTATGTAGATCGTACAATCTAATTCGACCGTCGCAGTAAACTCTGTAATATGTAAGAAACTACCGCCTTGTCTTCAATTTCTCCCCTTCTTTGTCACATTTCTAAGCATCATACAACAGATCATGGTCAACACAGGTAAGCACGTCGTCTTTGACGTCGTTGGCACCTGCGTGTCGTACGAGGCATTCTTCGACGGGATCGAGACGCGCATGGGCGAGCGTCTTCGCGCAGAAGGGATCAAGCCACGACTATTCGGCTTTGCATGGATGGAAGCCGCCGAGCGCGAGTGCAGTTACCTGGACAGGTCTGGTCGTTATGTGCCCTTCTGGAGCGTCTTCCAGCCGCTGTTCTTCCGTATTCTGTGGATGGCGGGCATTCAGGAGCCACGCAAGTTTGCGAACGAGGAGGACGCCGCCTTTATGGTCGGCGAGTATCGCAAGTTGGCAGCTCGCCCTGGCCTTCAAGAGTGCTGGGCACGGTTGCGAGAGTCTGGCTTCACTGTTTGGGCTGTGACAACCGGCGATGCCATTCGTGTTCAGAGATACCTAGCCAACGCCGGTGTCGATTTGCCAACAGAAAATTTCGTAACTTGCGATGACCTTGGTGTCGCAAAACCGTCCCTTGAGGTATACAAGCATGTCCTCGAAAAGTTTCCTGGAGCCGATGAGAAATGGTTCGCGGCGGCGCACATGTGGGACACCTCAGCGGCAAAGCAGGCCGGGTGAGCACGGATATTTCAAGTATAAAGAATACACGCTGACATATGACTACAGATTTAAGGCAGCTTGGACTTCGGATTATGAGAAGGAGCCGGTGACAGAAGTCTTTGGGGAGATTGATGTGTTGGCGGATTCCCTCGTAGAAATGGCGGACAAGATCATTGCTGTATCTAATAAATAGTGAAGATATTCTCAGTGATTATGGACACTCAAATTAAAACGACGCTTAATGTTTCTTCATTGTGTCTTGAAAACGTTGGGCACTCCCCAAGATGGATATATGCGTGGATTACTTGCACTTGGCATAACAGACTGTAGATGGCGTAATCTATCTGAGTAGGCGAGAAATCCATCCAGAAATTTTTCAAACACCACCATGAAGAGTATAGATTTCCCCCGAACCTCCTCACCTAATAATAAGACAAATTACTACACTCGTAGTAGGATCTATATCACAAGTGGAAATCGGAACTCTCCTCTTATCTGGTCTCCGCACTCCGGACGATTCCGCAATGTAATGTCAATTTGAAACAACATTTGAAAGCCAGATTCTTTTCTGTCTTACTTCAGAGGCGATGGCTGATATGGTCAAGGGCAGTAATTTTGAAGATACAGGGCTACCATTGATCTTCAAGCCGACTATGGAACGACTACTATCAGCTGAGAATAAAATATTGGGATCGAAGACACCAACTTCAAGCCGGCGATGAATAAGCCTCTAATAAAATAATAGGGAAGGGTGAATGATCATCAAATAGCAAATCATAATGCATCCGATAATTTCATAACATCTGAAGCCTGAGCGCCCGTCCAGATTGGAGACAAATCCTGTACATGTTCCCAGTATGCATCCCAGTCAATTTCCTGGGTACCAGTGGAAACCACAGGCTCAAGGGACAGAGCAATATGTGCATCAGCACTATCCTCTTTTGTTGGCTCAAATGAAGTCGAACGAGATTCCCAAAGAAGCGGGCCATCTGGGAAAAGCAATTTCCGGAGTTTTCCTGTGGTAATAGACTCTGCCGCAATTCTATCTGCATTCATTTGCGCGAGCGCTCTGTCACTGTAAGCACGGGCTGTTTCCTCCAAAATGGGACTGAGGTATACAGAACATAACGTTGCCTCTTGCCACGATTCGCCCACTTTATTTAGTAGAGTTAGACAGTCTGGTAACGTGACGGCTAGAATATGCCGGGCCTGATATCTTAGTGGTTCATAGTCCCTCAGTGCCCAGCAAGATTCAAGCATGATTACAGCCGCTTCGAAAAGGTTGTGCACGCCATGCCATGGATAGAACAACCGTCTCCTCCTTGTTTGGTGCTGATAGTCCTCAACTAATATGGTGCAAGCATTAAAGCATTGCTCACGGTCTTCTGCAGTGCGACACTCTAATCCTGGCGAGGGACGAAAAAGCCTAGCTTTCAGAAGGCCGTATTGAACCATCCTGAACTCCAACATCTGGTACTTGGAGAATTCGGTGGCTCTTTCTAGCCATGCGTCAAGACGATGGATTATATCACCGATCCAGGAGTTGAGATCCGTCCTGCTTCTGTGTCTTGTGTCTTGCTGAAGATATAGGGTACGATGAACTTCGGTTTCCAAAGCACGAAATCTGTATAGATGGCTGGCTGAGGCATACTTTGTATCTGCGTCCCAATCCGTATCGTGCGATGCTGTGATGGAGTCTTCCGGGAGTGCCAGCGAGAGACGCACAGTAGCGCTCAGCGATCTTTCCATGCCATACGTACACCAAAACAGCTTGTTTGGGAATGCAGCTTCTTCTATTTCGTCCTGTAGAAGTACTACAGAGGCCTGTTTGTGAAGCCCCAGATCCAGAACAATCCTTGTGGCATTCCAGATGCACATCCAGTTATCTGCCCTGCTGGGATTCAAGTTTGCGTAGTGTGCTAGTAGTAGGTATGTTTGAAGTCGCTGGATATCCGTCACCTCAGGTGCTAGGCGTAAGTGATGCAGAGCGGTATCAAAAAAGGCATTCGATGCCGTTCTCGCTTGGTGTTCGTTCTTCCATGTGAGAGTAAGAGACGACACCGCAAACACTATAAAGACCATAAAGTAGTCGTAATGAGTGAGATCGGAACAGGCTGGAATTCCAAGGCTCAGGACGGCATCCGTATCGCCATCGTGCACCGACATAAGTCGACCTACGGCATCGTAGATATATTGCTCAGAAACACAGGGATATTGCGGCAGATGAATGTTTGTATAGTTGGATAGCATCTGCTCGATTGCTGCGTATGGAATGCGTCTAAGGTTTGTGGAAGATAGGCATTGTTGTTGTTGACTTTGAACAGCATCAGCTCCACTGCTGCTTGATGGCTTAAGAGCAAGATGACAAACGGCCAGAGGAAGGCAACTAGGTTTGGACAACACCGAAGATGTAGTATTAGATAGAAAAAAAGGACGTAGGCCCGATGTGTCAGCCAGCAATGTTGCTTGTGCCAGTTTTGAGGTAAGAGCCAGAGTGATATTGGCAGGCGAATGGTGAAGTTTGGATGCCTGCCGCTCAAGTTCGGTGACCTGGTCCTCAAGTGCCCTGAGTAGACTGTTCGACAATTAACATGGTACGTTTGATTTTATGGGATATACGGCCCAGTCAAAACTGACCTCCGGGGCAGATCTTGATGGCCGTGCGAATCGAAGCCACGGCAAACCGCGCCGGCTTTCATGCAAGCGCTGCAAGATGGATACCCAGAGTCACACTGGTAGGCAATGTAAGGATATACGCATATACATGTAGGACCGCGTGGCTCCTACATACCTTCGTCTTTCTTTGCCGACACCGCGCGCAAACCTTCGAAGACCGCCTCCCGGATACAGCAAGCTGCAAATCACGGAGGGCAGCCATCTTCGCGGTTGGACAATAGTAATCTCGTCTATTGATCTGTCGCAGGCTTCTGCTTGAGCAATCACACCATGTCTTCGATGTTGGTCCGGAGTCTTATCTCTCTAGGACAAACTGGTTACTAGTCACAGATAAGTGTTGCTCCACATTCTCCTCACGGGAGTCACGCAATTAACTCCGCATTTCACTACTGTTAGACCACACCTATTAGCACCGCAGTTTGAAATGAAAATCTTGTTGCCATTGATTATCGAGCCTGCATGAACTTCATGTCATGTAGAAGCGAAAAATACAAAGATCCGCCCAGCTCCGAAAATGATGCAGCCACACAGGGAATTGCCCTTTTCGCTCGTTTCCCTGAACTCCTAGCTTTCTTTGAAACACACGCCTGACCAATCTCGCTAAAACCACAATATAGGAAAATTCCATTTGACTGTACAATATGAAAAAAGAAAGAAAGAAAGAGGAAAACATCAAGTCATTAGGCGTAACCAACCGCAAAGCTCCGTCTCTTGAATGTGAATTTGGCTTCGACAAGTAGCAAAGAACGTGGTTGAACTTGAAATCATAGCGCACGTAAAAATACAGTGTGGAATAGGAATGGTAGTGGAAATGAACGCTTAATCCGAATCTGTTGATTGAAAGAGTGTTGTGACCTTAGGCGTCCCATTTAAAGAGGTCTGCAGCATGTTAGTTATATCCATGTGGTTGCAAAGAAACAGTATTGTCATCAAAAAGAGTCTAGTGCTCACCGGCTTCGAGTTGGGAAGCTGCCATGTCATCATCTTCTGGCTCGGGCTTAATTGGCATCTTGGTATTATCCGAATAAGCTACATCGGGTTGTTCTTGTTTAACGGAGGTAGCTGCAGCGGGCGATGGTAACGCTTCGGCCGTCATCTCTTCTGCCTGTTCACTTATTTGCTTTTCTCTTTTGACGAGAGCCGGATCGTCGTTGGGTTCTAGTGAAGGCTGTCTGTCCTGGCCATCGCCAGTTAATTCATTCGAAACGTCCTCCTGGGTCTCGGGCTGAGTCAGTTCCTTGTAAGATGTCTCACAATCATTGATATGCTGTAAGATCTCCTGAAGTGCACTGCGTTTCTCTCTCGGTAAAGTACCACCAGCGGATGACTGGCTACCGACAACTGCAGACCTATAGTCACGTTTCAACGACATAAGAGTAGTATCGGTTTTGGCAAGGAGAGCTTCCTCTATTGTTTCGCGCATCCTGTCAAGAGCTGCGTGAACTTCCTCCACACTCTTTTCAAACATAGAAGTGCGGTGGCTAGACACATGGGAAAACATGGCGGCTTTCATACGCATAAAGCTTCCAGTACCTATCATGAGTTGTTAGCAATCGTTCAACGTAGATAGCAATGGTTGTTGTACCTCGCTCTTCCACACAAATGGCATATGCAGGGACCATTGCTTCGACAACAACCGGCTCAAACATGCGGTTGATATCTCTCGACTGCATCGACATATCCAATACTTGCTGGTTGAAAATATCCTTGATAGATTGCTGATAGATGCGCAATTGCTGTGTGAGCATATGAAGGCTGCCGAGCGATCCGGTAGCTTGGGTAATCTTCTTATAAACAGTATCATGGAAGTTTTTAAGAAGATTTGCGCTTTCGGATCCAGCGTTATTGAAGATCGTATGAGCTCGTCGCGAGAATACTTTTTCCCAGCCCGGAGCCACAGCTTTCATAATAGGTTCTATCAACTCGGCATTCCAGTCATGGGCTCCTTGAGCATTGGCATAGACACCATTACGACGGCACAAGGCTTTGTAAGTAGCCCAGAGGAATCCACCTTCAGCACGGTTGAAACGATTGACTGGTGCGCCCCACCGTGATACCGTATCGACGGCTGCTTCAGATGCCGTAGGAGTTGCCTTGTCTGGAATAACAATCATGACAAAAGATCAGGAGTCTGTGTGCATATAATCTGTGAAATGAACTCATACTGTCACTTACTACAAGCCTCGATTATGTCGGATTTAATCTCTTCAGCTATTTGATCACAGATTTTTTTGATATGCTGGACAATTTCCTGCATTAAGCCATCATTGATTAGAATCAGATCACACAGTGATATAATTGACATTTCATCACAATCAGATTGAAATCGAAACATGCGGGAACTTACCTTGTCCAGCTGATTATAGGTGCTCTCAACGATTGCGGCTCGAGCAGCCTTCTGCTTGTCGGTGACTTGAAGCCCGTCCGAAGACGTGACGAGTCGAAGAGAGTTGAGGAGCTGATCCAGCGTATTTAGGAAGCGACGAGAGTTTGTCTCCCTACTAGCTTCAGTCAACTTCTTACAATGAGCTTGAAGCTGAGGAATTTCAGTTTCCTCAACGGTTTGAAATCCGGGTACGTTTGCCTCCTTTTGGAAACGACCCGAAAGCTTTTGATATGCTCGAGAGGAGGCACAGAATACAGGTAGAGACTGAGCAACCCTGTCGTAATCGCGAATATCGACGTCGGGATTGAAGTTCGACGCATCGGTCTCTTCAGCAAGCTCATGGTCAAGCTCTCGAATACCACTGGCGAAGTCTTGCTGAATGGCGCCTCGAGAATACTCGTTTCGACCAGAAATTGCAATGTGATTCATTTCCGCTTTGACCTTGGCATCCTCTTCATTGATTCCCGCTATTTGCTTCCGAACAACTTTCATTTCGGCTTCAATCTCTTGCCTGTGGCGACGACCCTCTTTCTTCGTTGTCTTCAATTCAGAAAGCTTCTCCTCAATAGCTTCCGAGGTAAGAGGTTCCCCTTGGGATTCAGAATCATCTCCTTCGCTTTCAGCCCCGTCATTATCGTCATTGCTGGCATAATCACTGTCGAGATCGGAGTCTGATGAACGCTGCCTCTTCCGTGGTGGATCCTTGCCCTTACTACCGCGTTTTCGTTTCTTGGAAGATGCATTGTCCCGTGGCGCATATACTGTTTTGCCATCATCAATGTCATCCTTGAGGGCCTCCCAAATCTCAATTTGCTCATCAACTTCATCCACAACTGCATTGTATTCTTCCTTTGTCTCCTTCAACTCATCAAGTCGTTTTTTATGCTTCCGCTTTTCCAAATTGTACTCGTCAGATTTAGCCCAGAGCCCACCCATTTCTTGCTCTAGTCCCAATGACTCTTGCGCTTCGAGGATGCTGATGTCATCAGTTTTGCTACATATGAATGTGACTGAATCGAACCCGCCATCCATCTTCAGTTGTCGCTTGAGTGTCTCCCCAAGAAGAGACTCTGCGGCTTTATCATCAACGGCCCGAGTAATTGGAGCTACAATCCACAATCCAGTGCATTGCTTCATATAGCCTTCGGCTACACGAGCACGAGCAGCATTTGAGTCGTGAACTCCAGGTAAGTCGACAATCACAGCGCCCGTTGATAAGGCTTCTGCTTTGACGTAGATACGGACCACTTTTATCAGAGGCCAATACTCTATTTCCGTGGAGTTCCGCGCTGGCTTCTTCTCCGCACCGGTTGTCTTCTCTTTGCTATCAACATAAGACTGAAGATGCTTATAGAACGCTGCTGGGTTCGAATCGGCAATATCTTTCTTTTCACCAAGAACCTTTTGAACTGCAGGGTGTTTCAATAACTTCTCGGCAGTAGTCTTCGTCAACATTTCGTGCGTATATTTGGGATAGACTGCCTTTATCTTGGCGTATGCAACACCAGCTTCAGAGTCTTGGTTCGATGCCTCGCGAGAGACTTTTCCATTACTATCCAACAGATCGCTGAATAGGACCTGCAGCTCCTTCTCCCAGTCTTTCTCTGTTATGAATTCAATCTCTGCGCGATATGGTATGTCTTCGTAGTTGTATGAGATTTCCGTAACAACCGCCGTACATGCTCGCATACAGTTAGTCGGCACAAGACGTTCCTCGTCAAGCATTGCATTGATTACAGACGACTTTCCAGCACCCGTGTTTCCAACAACACCAACGATAGTTTTTGGCTGCTCGGCTTGCTTCTGAAGATTCTCAATAATCTTCAGCCATTCGGCTGCCTCCAGATCAGGGTCGACTCGGCGCAGGGGTTCCTTCAGACGTTCTAGCAAGTTGACTCCATGTTTAACTCCAGCTTCTAGAAGCTCTGGGGTGCAATTGGCGAAAAGGGGTTGCAGACTGAATTGTTCCGAGGGCTCTGCTTGGGGCTCGTCGGGTTGAGGCATTTCCGATTCGGAACGTTTTGAATGGGAGTTATCCATGGTCTTTTCTTCACAAGGGTTTGCAGACTGAATGTTCTGAGTTTGGGGCAAAGTGTCTGAGTCGGTGACTGGCATGTATTGAAGGCTCCGACCACATCGGACCCAATATGCAATCTTGCGGTGGCTCATTACTCGCCAATCCGAATGCACCATCAAGAAAGCTTTGTCTGATGTGCCTATCAGCCGGCAAGCTTCACAGAGGTGACAGGAATGTGAGTCTTACCTGATCCGTACGTCTTCGCTTGTTCATGATATTTATTTTTGGTCGAGAGGAAGAACGCATAGAAACCAGCATTCTCACTTTTGAAACGGTTCATTTCTTGTTCGGCGAACCCCTTCTCTATGCTGGCGGAGTCGATGAATAACACCGCTCGTCTTTGATACCATTGGCATAATTCAGGCGTCAGAAGGTGCCACTGATTCAAAATGAGTAGACGATCGTTCGCTGGTTTGGGGTTAATATGTGATATCTATCGACACTTTGGTGCCAGTTTGAATGAAACTCACCGGTAAATGATCTAAAGTTCGATCCTTGTAGGTCACGAAGCTCAGCCAGTTTCTCATGCACAAAATCGACCATGGTGAAAAGCAACATCAACTCTCCGTAAGTGAGTAAGTGCTCACTCAAAGCATTTTTGTCGGTCCCTTCATATTTGCAAATGAGGTTCATCACATTGACAAGCCGAATTTTGTCAACACCGGGTGGTGGCTGCAAATTATATGGCAGAGCATGGGTAAATCTATCTGAGAGAGAGATTTGCTTCACTGGGCCCTGCTGGTCCATGCTTGCTTCTGTTCTCATCACCACATTGTTGATTGAACGGGCGTGAAGTGGTTCTCTCTGGAAGATGCTATCGGAAGAGTTTGGACTTGTCTGGGCAACTGCCTCGATGAGAATGACTTTGTCAAGGTTGATGTTGAGTTTCGAAATGGTGTCACTTGATTCTAGTATGGCGCCGTTGCATCGAAGGACGATTCTTTGGGGAAGTGCGACGCCGCTTTCGTACGCTTTCAGGATGGAACCTATTGTTGTGCTCTGCTCGTGGTGAGTGCTGGGCATCGGGAGGGTGCACATGAGCATCCAAACTTACTGATAAACATTTAAACCACATCAAGTCTTTTTTGGCGTTTGCGTTCTTCAGCGTCTTGTCATCGTAGAGGACTCCGACACAGTACACATCGGGCCCACTGGATCCAAGTTGCTTGAGTCCCTCAGACTTGGCCTTCTGGTGAAATTGACTAGAACCATGACACTCAGTGTCAGCAACATGTTCAAGAACGCTGAGATAAGCATTGAAGGTGGTGCAGCACTTGCCTCTCCATGGTGCCTTCCTCGAGAGCGGAACATTCAGAGGGTGCAATGGCGCTCCAATGGCGTTGGGGAAGGAGCAGCCCTGTACTGCTCGTAGCTGGTATGGCAGGTGATGTCGAAAAGGAAAGAGCCAGGGGGGAAGCGCGCGTCGCGATTACCATAGAACTCGTAGTATGTCTTCATTTCCGTATTCGGCTAGCTTCATGACGTCTGTACTACACTAGTCCATATGAGGAAATAAGCTTGCGATAAGCAGTCTTATCGGCATGTGATGTGTAATTTACCCGAATCAGGCACTGTAATTAACAATCGCGCTCGACACGCAAAACGCGCGATCGCGAGGCGTTCAAGCTGGGGCCACAATGCCATTAAAGTATTAACCAACTATGAAGGGCTTAATGTCAAATCTCTCGACTTGATTTATCAAGCACCACTCTCCCCCTGCTCCGAACTTTCATCGAAGAGTTTTCGAGTTGTCTCTTCATGCAATATGGAACGGCATCGCTATGTCACTGAGGACCCGCGGTCAGATCCAGTGCACACTTCTTATCCTCAGGACATACCGTCGTCGCCTCCATCCATAGTCTCTGAGGCTGGGACTCGACGAAAACCCAAGAGACCTCCACCAGTGACTCCGCGCTCATTCAAGAGATTTTTTACACCTCGGTCGTCTCTCAATGCCGTCGCAAATGTTACCACGCGGCAAGCACTGCGGGAGCTCAACACGACATCGTTGAATCGGCGGGGCCCAGCATTCACCAAAGCAAAGTCTTTGAATGCACCAAATACCATCGGCCATGGAATTCTGAAAAGCCCATTCACAGAAACTGCTAGGACTCCAAGCAGGAAACGGAAGCTATCCTTCTCTTCMCCTGCTTCTCCGCCGCAATCGTCTCCAATTCGACGAGTGCGCCTGGCCCCTCCCATCGAAGATGACCGTTTGATCGAGAAGACGGTGAATGAGATTGAAATCAAATTTCCTCCTGAAACGACCCTTTCGCCACGAAAGTCAATTCAAAAGCAATTGTTCGTTGTCAAACCGCCAGTAGAACCTGTTCGTCGGTCAAAAGTACTTGCTACATCAGGCGAGTATTGTCTCCGCAGCGTCTCGGGACGTATGAATCGGCTTACTATGCGATGCAACTATGGAAGTGGTAAGTCCATGGTTAGTGCTTTATCTGCTTTCATATCTCTAATCTGTATCGTTCAAGATTGGAGGGATCAAACATCAACCTTTTATTCGCGGCCAACAGATGTTCATCAGAATAGCAGTGTGAATGAAGACCGCCCTGCCCTGCCTTTCTGCATCGCCTCCTGCAACAGTAAGCCTTCCTGCCTCATTACTTGGTCCGCTCACTAACCAGTCAAAAGCAAATTCTTTAGTGGCTATCGGGGACGAAGAAGGAGGAATTCGATTAGTGGACTCGGCGAAGGACGATAAAGTCGGATTTTCGAAAGCGCACGTATCGTTTCGCGCACACGGCAATTCCATAATGAATCTCGAATTTTCTTCTGACGATCTGCTTCTCGCAACTGCCGCTGGCGATCAGACAACGCTCATCTTTGATATGATCACTCAAAAACCGATTCATTGTTTGTCGAACCATACCTCATCAGTGAAACATGTGCAGTTTCAGCCAGCATCGAACAATAAAATGCTTGCGACATGCAGCCGCGATGGCACTGTGAATATTTGGGATTTGCGGTGCAAAGGTCATGAGAACCCTTCTGTGCAGATTCACTGCGCTCTTGATCAAGACGGAACTTCCTCGGCTTCTCCGCCCAAGATCAACTATCCTCAGCCCTTGAGGACTATTCAGGACGCTCATGCGTTCATGTCTAGAACTTCCAAATTAGCGGCCGTTCAAAAGCAAGATAGTCATTTCAGCAGAGAGAACGTCACAGTAACCTCACTCTCGTTCTTACCAGCAGGTCGTGAAAATCTTTTTGTTACCGCTTCCGAAGCCAATGCCTGCATTAGGTTATGGGACATGCGCACATCTTATAATATCCGCCGAGGAAGCCCTGCCCCCTTATCTACAACACGCGAACCAGACAGCCACGTCAATCACAGGTCTTACGGCGTCACATCCTTGGTCCTTAATGGAGACGGCTCAAGGTTATATAGCCTATGTCGCGATTTGGCCGTGTATGCATACTCGACCTCGCATTTGGTATTGGGCAGCTCTCCGGATTTGGCTCTGAACAATGACCGCCCCAGACGTGCTGGAGGCCCCGACAAAGAAGGCCTCGGACCTCTCTACTGCTTCCGCCATCCTCGGCTGCAGGTATCAACTTTCTACGTCAAAGCTGCTCTACGACCAGCCAAGGATGACAAAGCTGAAATGCTTGCTGTTGGCAGTAGTGACAATTGCGCCATCTTGTTTCCCACAGATGAACGATTCTTGTCCACATCTCAGCCGGTAGTGCAGACACAGGCTGATTTGCCGCCTGCTATTCGACCTCCTCTGGTACGGTCTGCTCTTCGACGAACCAATTCGGACATGTCCTTTTCTGGCAGACCAGAAAGTTCGATCCCTACGTATCGCTCTGGAACTCCTCTTGTTGGGGGTCACATGAAGGAGGTATCAGCTGTGTCGTGGACTCATGACGGCGAGCTGGTCACTGTAAGCGATGATTATACGGCTAGATGCTGGCGCGAAGGACCCGATGCGCGCGATTTACGAACTGGAGGTGAAACAGATGGTCGACGCTGGGGGTGCGGTTGGGCAGAGACCCCAGATTCTTACGATGACGAGGAAGAATGAAAGCATTTTTCCAAGACACTCTAGCATATACACAGCCAAGCGAGTGTTGTGTCTCTCTTATACTCTATACCCGACATACTACTTTTTGGCATTGGGTTCACCAGTTTGAACCACTTTAAAGTGCGGCATCGCGATGGCGTTGGATTTTCTTTTGGGCTTGATTTGTTACTGTTCGATTCGGCGTATTGCGGATATATTTGCTCATTATGGTATGCATAGCTTTGTTACTGCTGTGTATTTTTTGATGTCCTTATCTGTTCCTGTCTGTTAGCGTGCGATGTTGTTCCAAGTCGTATCCGGCATACAAAAGTAGCATTACTTTGGTGAGGTGAATACACACAACATTACTCCAATATTAGCGGCTTGATACTTGTGAACTTCTATACAGCCTAGCATTTAACTTAGCCACAGATTGCTAATGAGCACAAGACAAATGCATCAAATGTGGTATTACTTTTCTGTAAAATTAGACACACTCTAAAGCTAAACCCTCACATCTTTGTTCATAAAAACTTTCTTCAAGAATCAAAAATGAATAGTACCGCCCCATCCCCATCTAATGGCCATGGCCATCATCCTCTGCTGGCGCTTCAGGGTCTAATTTGATCATAGTATCAATACGCATAATAGCGATACAAGCCTCGACTGCACTCTTCAATTGCTTCACCTTGCTCATGCTAGGTTCGAGAACACCGGCCTTGACGGAGTCCTGGACTCGGCCCTTGGTAAGATCGAGACCGTAGTTGCGGTATGTCTTCTTCTTGGCAATGGCTTTTTCTTCTTCGTTGGCGTCACCTTCCTGGAGACGTTGGGATATGGCGTGGCGGACTCGGAGTTGCGCAACGAGCTCTGAGGAGTCCTTGGCGGCGTTGATGGCGAGGGTCTTAGGGATGACGAGGAGGGATTGCGCGAATTCGCCGATGGCGAGTTGTTCTCGTGAGCTCTGTTATAAAGTTAGCGAAACTTCGATTCTAGTACAGGGCGGATGCTAAAAGGACGGTTGCTAGAACATACCACTGTGACGGCGAATTCTTCGAGGTAGATATGTAGAGCAGTCTCAACGGCACCGCCTCCGGGGACAACGCTGCCACTCTCAAGTGTTCGCTTGACGGCGGACAAAGAATCGTGAACTGATCGCTCCATCTCATCCAACTGGAAGTCATTGGGACCGCGAAGGATGATGGATGCAGAGGAATGGGCTTTAGTGCCCTTGACAAGGATGCACTCATCGTCTGAGATGCGCTCCTGTACAACTTCCTCGGCGTAACCAAGGTATGAGGTCTCAAATTTCTCATCACCATTAAGATCTGAGAGTGAGCTGATGAGTGTGGCTCCAGTAGCCTTGGCAATTCGTCTCAAGTCCTCCTTCTTACAACGTCGCACAGCCATGGCGCCTTTCTCGACGAAAGTCTTCAAGACCATGTCGTCAATACCTTTAGTGGTGAGGATGACGTTTGCGCCGGACTTCAAGATCATCTCGACTCTGTCAAGAACAATACCAGACTCTCGCTCCCTTATCTTCTCGAGTTGTTGTGGGTCGTCAACGGTGATCTGAACACCAAGCTTCATCCTCTCTTTCTGAAGGTTCATGTCGAGACAAGCAATCTTTGCATCTGTTACCCGCGTCTTCATGGCCTGAGAAGCAACAGTACAGTTGAGGGCATACCCCTTAACAAGAATAGACTCGGTCGCACTCTTTCCATGGGCCTTCAACACGTTCACAGCCTTCACGGGATATTTGACCTCATTCCTCTGGTTGGTAGACTTGACGAGGAGCATGGCATCGACAACCATGTTGGCGAAAAAGTCACCGTCAGCGCCGATGATCTTACTGGACATGGATGTCCTGGCAATGTTCAAAAGGCTATCCTTTCCTAGGCTCTCCACCTTTGTGCTAATATTGTCGTTCATGTATTTCACGGCCTCCCTCAATGCCAATCGGTAACCGGTGATGATGGTGGTGGGGTGGATGCGGTTTTTCATGAGTTCGTTAGCTCTTCGCAGAAGCTCGGAGGCGATCAAAACGACAGAGGTTGTGCCATCTCCGACCTAAAAACACAAAAAATCAGCGGGGTACCATGAAAACGGCATTTGCGAACCTACCTCCTTATCCTGTTGTTGGGCCAAATCAACCAATATTTTACCGGCAGGGTGTTCGATATCCAAGAGACTCAAGATTGTGGCGCCATCGTTTGTGACCGTAACATCCTGGCAGACAGTCACTACAAGTACTTTCGTGATACGCAACGATTTAGCCTTACCCCGATATCATCCACCATCATCTTGTCCAGCCCAGAAGGGCCGAACGAGCTCTTGACGACATTTGCGATGGCCTGTGTTGCAAGCACTACTTCAAATCAGCACCTCACCATCACTTTAATCATCATATCCAGCACATACCGTTCTGATCTCGTATATCGGCGCCGCTGATTTTCGTACCGCCGAGGACTGTTTTAAGCTTGGTCAGTCGCACAATAGGCAAAACAGTATACAATGACTCATGATTTTGGATGACTCACAAAGTGTGCCCGCATTCCGCGGCTGCTCAAAGATTCCCGCCATTATAATGGAGTTCTATCAAAGTGTCGTGGATGAAACTCTGGTAATTCAGGAGCTTCTGTTCTCGAGCGTGAAGCTTTCCCAGGAATTCTTGTCTGTAGTGGGACGTTCGGGCCCGTGCGCGTTATTATTCTGCCGCTTGCAAAGGCGGTCCTCCATCCCACTTAAACGAGGGGAGAAAAGAAAAAAGAGTCATATCAAAACAATCTCCCCGCATTGACGTTGACTGGATTGGCGACAGCGTCGGATATCGTCTCGTGTTCTGCAACTCCTGAATTTTCTCTGTGGGCAAAAGCAAAATGTCCAGCCAAAACGACGAGTCGGCAGCGCAAGCCCTGCCTGACCGTACACAACAAAACCCCGCCGAAGATAAGGGCGAGGAGGTCTCGAAGAATGCCGCCAAAAAGGCTGCCAAAGCTGCGAAACTAGCAGAGCAGAAAGCCGACAAGGCCAAGAACAAGGAGAAAGGAATTGGAAAAGCCGAAGCAAAACAGCCTACCGCAAAGTCTAAGAAGAAGATTGAGGGCGCAGCTTTGATCGGTATCGATGTCTCGAAAGAAGATGATTTTCCTGCCTGGTATCAGCAAGTCTTGACCAAGGGTGAGATGCTGGATTACTACGATGTCTCTGGTTGCTTCATCCTCAAGGTAAAGGCTCTACCGGCGCTTTTATGCTAGCTCTACTAACTCGAATACGTATAGCCTTCGTCTTACTTCGTGTGGGAGACCATCCAGAATTGGTTCAACGACAAGATCAAGAGGATGGGTGTCAGGAATTGCTCTTTTCCCCTCTTCGTTTCGGAAGACGTTTTGCAGAGAGAAAAGGACCACATCGAGGGATTCGCTGCTGAGGTCGCTTGGGTTACACACGCGTATGACTCTTTTTACTACGAAGAATTTTATATTGAAGACTAATGAACGTTTCTATAGAGGATCAACCCCCCTTGAGCGAAAGATTGCCATCCGTCCTACCTCTGAAACCGTCATGTACCCCTACTACGCAAAGTGGATTCGAAGCCACCGTGATCTCCCCCTGAAATTGAACCAATGGAACTCGGTCGTGCGTTGGGAATTCAAGCATCCTCAGCCTTTCTTGAGAACTCGCGAATTCTTATGGCAGGAAGGACACACTGCTCATTTGACTGAAGAGGGTGCCGCCGAAGAGGTCATGCAAATTCTAGACCACTATGCCCACGTTTACGAAGACCTCCTTGCCGTCCCCGTTGTTCGAGGTAAAAAGACAGAGAAGGAGAAGTTCGCTGGTGGCTACTACACCACCACTGTCGAAGGTTACATTCCTGCCACTGGTCGTGGTATTCAGGGTGGTACATCTCACTGCTTGGGACAGAACTTCAGTAAGATGTTCGGCATCACCGTTGAAGACCCTAATGCCAAGCCTGATGAGAAGGGTGCTTCCTTGCACGTATGGCAGAACTCATGGGGTCTGTCTACCAGAACTATCGGTGTCATGGTTATGATCCACAGTGACAACAAAGGATTAGTCTTGCCTCCCCGCGTTGCAGAAATCCAAACCATCATTGTGCCTGTAGGTATCACCAAGAACACCACAGATGAGGAACGTGCCCAAATCTACAACGATTGCGCCGAATTGGCTTCCAAACTCACTGCTGTTGGCATTCGCGCCGAAACTGATCTTCGCGATGGATACTCCCCCGGCTACAAATTCAACGACTGGGAACTCCGCGGTGTCCCTCTCCGTCTCGAATTCGGACCGGGCGAAGCCAAAGGTGGTTTCGTCACTGCTGCCCGTCGTGACATACCTGGCAAAGAGGGCAAGACGACCATCACCCTCGATACACTTACCACCGCCGTCCCCGAATTGTTAGACACCATCCACAATGATTTGTTCAAGCGAGCAGATGACCAGTTCCGTGAACACCGCAAAATCATCACCAAATGGGAAGAATTTACCCCTCTTCTCAACCAAAAGAACGTCCTCCTCATTCCTCACTGTTTGACAGAACAATGCGAGGATCAAATCAAGGAATTGAGTGCACGCAAGGCAGAGGAAGATAGCGGCGTTGCTCAGGATGCTCGCGCCCCTAGTATGGGTGCCAAGTCGCTGTGCATTCCTTTCGAGCAGCCTGAAGGTATTGAGCAGGGTGTTACAAAGTGCTTAAATCCTCAATGTACCAGATTGGCCGAGAAATGGTGCATGTTCGGACGTAAGTCTACCCTCTCTTTCATTTTATTAACCTCGGAATGACTGACAACTCTCCAGGCTCTTACTAGGCGATACTTGATGCATGACACAATCAAATAAAGAAAGACCATCGCATTTCATGGTGTGCGAATTGACTCCGGGTAACGAATGGATATGAATGTATATGTTCCATGATAAATTTAAACTAGGAGTAGAAAGTATGATAGGCGTAGTGAGGTCGGTTGTGGATTAGGTTCAGTCAAGGGATTCTCGTTCAAGCCAGTTTGCTTCTATCATCATACTCGTATAGCAGAATTTAAGAAGTCTATGACATGGATGAATTGATGAATTCGTATCTCGACTAAAAGTGCACTTCGAATAATTTGGTTGCTGTGCCAAGGTCATCCGCAAGACCAGGACTCCTGAGAAGAGATGTTTGATGTCAACCCAAAACTTTACAAGCGTCCTCACAAGACCATTTAGAGAAGCATTGCCTGCTATACCTGCAAGCAATAACCTGTACGATATGAGGAATGCAAAGGAGTCAACTATCTGATGAATTTAATAGCTCTGTTCAATCATGATGGTATTCGAATGTCTACGACAGAGCTGCTCCAGACCCTGAAGCTTGTTTGACCATAATCAAACATAGACATTCAACTAGCGGACTGTGAAGGAGGAACGATTCATTGTATCAGCCCTGTATAGGAGAAGACGAACAGCAAACCTTATATTGAAGTGTAATCGGCTAACCGTTTACGAGCTAGCGTCGTGGTGATACTCAGGTCTACATCATAGATGTACTCAAGAAAGTCAAGTCGTTAGCCATCAATTGATTGTTTCCTAGACGAGTAGGTGGCTGTCTACATTCGCCTAAGCACATAAAGCTTTCGTAGTATAAAAAAAGCTGCCATTTTTTCGGAATCCCATAACAAAGAACAAACACACCCCAATCCCGGCGAAATTTCACGTTTAGTCCTTGGTTTTCTATTCTCAAGTTAGCGTTGAGCACATCGAACGAAAAGAGTTCACTTTTTTTACCTGTGTACCACGGAGAAGACCGGTTCTGCGAGCAGCAATAAGACCGGCTTTTTGACCTTGTGCGGCGTAGCGAGAGATGGTTGAGGCTTTACCAATGTGTTGATGGTTACCACCACCGTGAGGATGGTCGACTGCATTCTATTAGTATCCTCAAAACTATTCAGAGCACTGTAGGGGATCTTACCAGGGTTCATGGCTACACCACGGGTCTTTGGCCAGCTGTTGCGCTTAACAGCGAACTTATGTTTGGCACGAGAAGCCTCTGTATTGATATTAGCACTATAGCGCATCCCACAGGTGCGGGAAACATACTGAGGAGAGGCTTGTCGGTACGGCCACCACCGGCAACGATACCAATCATACCACGAGCACCGGAGCTGACGACCTTCTTGGCACCAGAGGGAAGCTTGACACGAGTCTTGCCCTCATCGGGGTTGTGACCAATGACGGTGACGTAGTTACCAGAGGTACGACCAAGAGCACCACGGTCACCGATCTTCTCCTCGACGTTGGTGACAACGGTACCTTCGGGGACGGCACCAAGGGGGAGGACGTTTCCGACGGTCAAACCAGCGTTCTTTCCGGCGTAGATGAATTGACCGGTGTACATGCCCTCGTTAGCGATGAAGGTCTCGGTGACCTTCTTGAAGCGGTAAGGGTGACGGAAGCTGACTTTGGCCAAAGGAGCACCACGACCAGGGTCGTGGATGATCTCCTTCACCACACCGCGAACGTATCCATGTCGCTCAGCGTAGTCGAGAGTGCGGAATTGGGCGGGGGCTTTGTTGAGACGGGTGTTGGCCGCTGGAAAAGTAAAATCATATGATCAGCATGCTTGTTCCTTCTTCGATTTTGTAGTTTTCAAACTGCGACGGCCTAGCAGGAATATCTCGAGGCTCGTTCGAAAAAAAGGTCGCACTCACTGAAAATGGATCCACGACCCTTCCTCTGGTTGCGGATCACACGACCCATGGCGTCTGTCTATTTTCAAAGGAGAGTTAGAAATAATTGTCGAGGCGAATATTGTGTATCAATTGTGTCGTTGGCAAAAGAGGTGGTGGTGGTGGTGCGTACCTGGTCTTGATGTTGGACTTGTCGAACGATCAAACAGACAGTCTGAAAGTGTGAGAATTCAAGAAAAGAGACTGTGTGGGTTTTAGGGCGCGATCGCTAACCTAGCCTAACGAGGAAAAGTGGGTTGAAGTCTTGGCAGCAGTCTCGGGATAGTCACGGGACTTATTTCAGCTGCCTCAGGCCGAAATAGGCAAACAGTGCAAACATCTTGTGAGGCTTCCAGTAGCTTCCAAAGGCCAGGCCACAGTCCAATAAACGCCGAGTTTACGTTGAGATCTCCAAGCAACGGCCATCCATCTTCTTCACAACAACCTCAAAAATATATCACCCTTTTTCTTCTCATACACTTCTTCCCACTTACTCGCACAGCCTCTGTCATATTCACCTTATCCTTCTACTCTTTTCCCGATCACAATGACTACCTACACACCTGAAGGTATGTGGACCTCCACCCCGCTTGTTGCTGAAGCGCAAAATCCCAGCCTCGTCATATTCATGTTTGTTTCAATATTACACATGTGATATACATGAGTCTATATCAGACAAATGTAGCATTTATGATTCAATTGGAATTGCGCTCATGAAAGCGCCAGCTTTTGTCACAAGACTTTTCTCTCCAACCCACTAACACATTAAATATAGTCACTTGGGCTCAGCGCTCCTCCGACTCTGACGAAACCCGCAACTACCTCTACGTCTTCATCAACGTTCCCGATGTGCCCCCCAAATCGGCAGACATCAAACTCACAGAGAACAATGTTTCTTTTACCGGCACAAACCTGAAAGGCAACAAGTACAGCGTGTCTTTGGATCTCTATGCTGAAATCGACGTCGACAACAGTAAAGTACACCACAGCCCACGTGGCGTGGAGATGGTTCTCCGAAAGAAGAAGCTCGAATTGGAGTACTGGCCTCGTTTGTTGAAGGAAGCAAAGAAGGTGCACTTCGTCAAGACTGATTTTGACAAGGTTCGTTCCTCTCTTTTTCCCCCACTTTGTGGTAGCTACACATGTGCTAATATTGTGTCCGATAGTGGGTCGATGAGGATGAGCAAGACGAGGCTCAAGAAGATGACTATGCAGCCAACTTTGGTGGTTTCGGTGAGGACGGCGGTCTTGGTGGTATTGACTTCTCCAAGCTCGGCGGTGGAGCTGGCCTTGATATGGGCGGCGCAGAAGGCGCTGGCGACGAAGACGAAGAAGATGTATGACCACCCTCAATCATTATTGCAGTGGTGAATCAAACGTTTGCTAATAAAATATTCCTCTCAAACAGGACGACGACTTGCCCGAACTCGAAGGTGAAGAAAAGGGTGACAAGAAGATTCAGGAAATCTCATAATCAACCAAATCCCATCTACCTACACTTCCTAAAAAAGGGGGGGCCTGATCGTGTGTATGCTGAATCCTTTACGTTGCGAAATGAGTCCATGTGACACGTCATATCGCAACATTGATTTCTTGTATCTGTCACCTGCAACTACATCGAGGTCCGCCATACGTTGTTTTTGATAGCGAAATGAAATGAGATATACCATGAAAGTATTGACATGAATCTGTTTCAGTAAAAACTGGACTGTTGGTAGGTTGACTGGGTTTGAAATTTGAATAAGAAAATATAGCTTAAATATGTCGATATAGAAGAATAGCAAGTATGAATAGTGTTGATATTTATTGCACCGCATCTCGAGTCTCTCAAGAGCTATTTTCTAGCTAGAAGTATGGTGCTGTCTAATAGTCATGGTGACGGCCATGACCGTGCCCATGTCCATGTTCATGTTCATGTTGATGCTCATGGCCATGGCGATGCCCCGAGGCTTGATGCTCACGGTGTTCACGATACCCTTGTTCATGGCCATAGGCCCCAGACTCTGGTGGCTGATAATAACCACCTCCTTGTCCATACTGCTCATACCTCTCATTCCCAGTAAACGGTGGGGCTGGCGGTGCAGAATGTTGCTGATACTGAGCATAATCGGTTTGTTGATGTTGATACTGCTGATGCTGTGGCTGCTCATGCTGATATGATTGCTGCAGCGGTTCGTATCCTGTGTTGTGGCTCGGTGCTGGTGTTTCTTCGGGGGCATCCCGAGTTAAACCAGTTCCTGACAGGAATTTTGAGAATCCCCCGAGTTTGTTAGCAACATTAGTCACGCCAGACATTCCAGGAATGTTAATGTTCAGCTTCGATAGTTCCTCCCATGGAGCTCCTGAGGAGGAATGCTGTTGGTTCGAAGCAGCGCCAGCTCCATAGAGACCACCGCTGACAGCAGGAAAACCACCACCGCCGTGGGAATGGCCATGAGCACCGCCGGTAGTAGAAGAATGATTAGTCAAGTTCTTGCCTGCCCTAACACTCTCTGCGCTAAGTAGATCGTTCAAATTATGACCGCGGTCAGATCTGGAGTGAACCCAGTCCTCAACTGCCTTGAACATCGCGCTGTGGGCTTCATTACGCATATCTCTGGCAGCTGGATGGTGGAAGACCTGCAGACAGTCATGGGTGACTTGATCCACAGGGACATCGATGTGTTGCCATGCATACAAAATACGGGGTACGACGTATCTCAGGATAGCAGCAGCAACTTGACCGGCAGGCTGGTTAAGCATGTTGGCAAAGTGATCCTTGGACAGCATGGAGTGGGTGGGATCCGTGCACTGAGGATTGTCCCACACTTCGTATTGATGTTTTCCTGAGGATTCAACGACTCCCATCGAACCCGTTTGCAGAGACTTAGAAGCCACATTGATGAGAGGGCGGATAAAGGGTGCTAGGAGTGAAAAGACAAATAGCGTCACTGTTTCGGTGATCTTATCAATTAGCTTTTCCAAGCCGGGTATTTTCTCGACAATTGAGCTGATGCGTCGCACCACTTTATCCCTGAATTCGAGAATAGGGTAGATCTGATCAATGGTCTTTTGGGGATCGATATCTGGCAAGCCTGAGACTTTGCTCGGTTGAGTTGGTTTGGTTGGTTGATAGGCACCACCTGACGAGGCTCTGCTCTGGTCATAATGACCTGAATCGTAATTACCGCCTGCAGGTCCTCTTTCTCCATAGTGACTTGACTGGTAATCATCAACGGGTGCTCTGCTCTGCTCAAAACCCGTGGTAGAATAATCTTCTAGACCACGAGAACTGGGAAAGTCATCCACGCCTCGAGAAGAGGCATACCCAGTATGCACATTTCGACGACGATTAGCCTCAGCCTGCATATTAGATCGTTGCTGCAATTCTTCGGCTTCAGTAACAAGCTCCTTTGTACCCGGAATCTTGCCCAAAAGCCCCGTCAATGTGTTGATAGCAGGGGACTGTGTGTTTGACTCGGCCCCGAGCAAAGTGTTGTCCGCCTCGTTGAGTTCAGATTGGGTGAAATGATCATTTGCTTCGCCGAGGACAGAGTGGAAGAAATCCACCATTCCGAATGTGCCCGTCACAAGAGGAAAGACGCGCTTCCCGTGGAGGTGGATCTCTGTCGCAGCACCAACATGAGGAAAGACATTGTGGAAACCCATTTCTCGGAGGACGAGCTCACAGTAGTTGGAATGAGCGCCAAAGTCTTCGAGGGTGTGGAGACCTTGGCCCAGACACCTAAGAGCTTCGAAGAGATCATCTTCCTTGCCTTTACTAGACCCACCGCTTGTATATAGTCTGCCGTAGTGAATGCTTCGAGATATGCTGTACTTAATGTATGCTGCGCTTGTGGCCCAGTCACCTTTTTCGTTGGCAATGTAATTCTTCATGCCGGTTTCGGGGTCAATGTCGAGTTCAATTTGGCGGACAGGTGGACGCAAACGCTTATCAAATTGTCTGGCGTCTTGATTATCTGCGTAATCTTTGGGATTGCTATCGAACATTAGCCTGGGTAGCCGGAGAAGGAGGAACGGCTTACTCGATATGCTCTTCCGGACGATAAACACCGAGTCTGTCGGCAGTAACCTCAAATTCTCCGGTTGCATAGCCAAATGTCATAAATGAAAGGATCCAGACAAGAACCCGAATCGTATCAGCTTGCAGACTCTTGAGAGTGCCAACATCCATAGCCTGAGAGCTAACACCAATTCTATTAGTCATGCACGCGAATCGAATTTTGTCTGCACGTTACACTCCAACTCACTAATCTCGCAGCCAATTGCCAAAGTAGACACGCTTGATCATGGCCGAGGTCCATTTGTGCCCATGAATGAAAGCAAGTGCTTGAATAGTGTCCTCAATATCTCCATGACGCCAATTCTTGCCCTCGACGGTCGATATAGAAGCGATGTCTATATTATCAGCACCTAACTAGGACAGACATACAAAGGCTAGGAACTCACTTCCTGCACCGAATGCTTCAGCTTTGCCAGGCAGAGCGATAAGCATCAACAACACAATAAAGACGAACGCAGTCGTTGGACTGCTTGTGAATGTACCCATTGCCATGATTTCTGACGATGTTCTAATATCGATGGAGGATGCAGAAGAGAATGAATCAAGAAAGAGAGAAGGGAAAAGAAATTATAAAGGTTGGCATGTGGCTGTGTGTGGTTTCTCCTTTTTGGTTTGTGTTTGTCGAGTACCCCTCCGCCAAGAAGAAAGCGTCGTGATGCGATGCAGCGATTGGAATAGGATGGGGAGGCGTTGCMCCAGCCACAATGTATGAATTTTATATCTGTTCTAGATAAGAGAGGCTGCTCAAGAGGGCGAAGTAAAACATGAAGATGTCAGGGAGAAGAGGTTGTTGCCAGCTAAAGGAGAGAAAAGTAAACAATGAATGGCAGTGTTGTCGATGACGTAGTCCAAGACTGACAACACATGACAACACCGGAGGACATTCACACTACATCTCACGATCGATGGTGATAAAACGGAGATCAGATACGCAAAGGACCTAGTCAACGAGCTAAGCTAACATTCAGGCTATCGAGGAGTCGAGCCTCATATGGTCAGATAAATGTAGTGTCTTGGTGGGGCAGTCGATGCTACCTGCACAGACATTTTTATTGAAAGATTCATGTTTCCTTGAACTCATACGTATTGGTTCCTTGTACATCATATAAAAAGAAGTTGAACGCAAAACAGACAATGGCCATGGATACCGAGACATCACCATATCTAGACAGCCTCCAAAACGACGGCTTCGTCATCATCCCATCTCTCCTACACCCCTCAGAAATCAACACTCTTCGTGAAGCAGCAACAAAAGCCACAGCTCTCACAAGATCCGGTCAATGGCCTTTTTTCCGTACAGTACCTAAACAGTTTCCACCTTGGCCGAAAGATGTCCCTCCTGCTTCTGAGGGCGGAATATGGGGTGTGCAACATTTACTGCACCCGGATATGACTGGCCGCAACGAGTTTGCGAAACTCTATTTCTCGGAGAAGGTGCTCGGTATAGTCGAGGAGTTGCTAGGCGTGAAATACACGGGAAAAGAGGAAGAGGAAGAAGAAGAGACCCTAGTGATGGAACTCCTCAACCTCCTCGTCGCCCCGGAACGAAAAGACTTTGAACTTCGCTGGCACCGCGACGACATCCCTTCCACAGTCACCCCCGACGAAGAAATAAGACTCCTTGAATCCAAAAGTCCTCAAGGTCGTCAATCACATGCCCAGTACAATCTGGCTTTATGTCCCGATACGTCACTAATAGTCATCCCGGGTTCCCATCGACGAATACGAACAGAAACAGAGCAAAACGCTGATCCGTATGAAGCGTACTTACCGGGTCAGATAACCGTAAAACTTGAGCCGGGCGATGCGGTGTTCTACGATTCGAATATCTTGCATAGAGGCGTGTATAAACCGAAGCCTGAAGGTGGGAAGGAAACGAGGCTCACGTTGCATGGCAGTGTTGGTTTGAAAGAAAACACCAGCGCGACAGATGGAGATGACAAATCTGCGGACAGGGCGAAAGTTAGGGCTACTGCTGTTTTACAGCATAGTGTCGGAATGTGGATTGACAGGGATGATGCGGATTTGTCGTATATAAGTGAGCGAGCGGAGAGGATGAGGAGGAATCTAATTGCTATGGGGCGAGGGGAGGATGTAGGATATTCCTTGGAAGGGTGAAGAATAGTTAAAAAACGTAAATTCAAGTATGTACATACATATGGGTATAAATATATATAAATCAAGCCTCTCCAGAAGAACGCGATTGATCTGTCGGCGACACATACCTCCCAAATCTCATGGCAAAGTCATCATGACTATATGGCGCATAATCCATCTCCGCGGGCACCATCGACGAAGCCGAGTCCGGCGATCGTGAATGTGACGCAGTGGTAGTCGTACTCCTTGCTAGCACCGTTCCCCCATCATTGCTATTGTTGCTATTGCTATAACTATAGCCATTACTCTGGCTGCGACTGCCACTCCTCAACAACAACCGAATAGACACAATCGCGTCTTCAGGCGACGGACTGGTCCGAACAATCTCGATAATCGAAGGAACCCAATTTTCGTCGCAGTCGCAGACGATTTTGTAGATCGTTTCTAGCTGCTTTTGTTTTCCGCGCCAAAAGTCGGGTTGTGGGTGTTGTTGGATTTGGTGGAAGTTGTATTGCGGGGCATGAGCCGATTTTATGGTGGGATCATTGCCGTTGGGAGTCGAAAAATGTTGGTGGTATTCTTGCTGTTGCTCCGTTGGTATGAAATAACTCTGCTGTGACATCTCTGGTTGAGTAAATGAGATMCCCCCGCCGTAAGCCGTCGCTACTTTAGCGCTAGGTGCGACTGCATTCCATGATTCAGTGATATTTCCATCTTGATCGATCCTTCTCTTATTTGGCCTTTCTGTGAATGCTCCGGAACTATATCCGCCACCTTCGAGCGCAGGATCATACGGCTGCGGATGTGACTGCGTTTGCGGCTGCTGCTGCTCCCCATCCTCCAGTCTTCTTTTGAGCCTATTCAATTCCTTTCTCAGATTCTCAATCTCCTTGGCTTGACCGATATGATACCGATCTTCATCTGTCCTGGCATATTCGCATTCATCCTCGCAGCCGCGGAGTATGCATGCACTGCAGGGATTTTTGCGGTCACACTGTATTCCATCAGAATTTTCTCAATAGATCCAATAGTCAGGTAGAATTTTGAGAAAACTACCTTAATTTTCCGAGCTCGACATTTGGTACATGACTGTTGCAGGCGATAGTTCGTGGTACCTGTACTAGACTTGTCCGTTGATTCCATCTAGCAATATGTATGTATGCGCATGCACGCATGGAAATTACATACAGGATCCCTCGCGTTGCCTAATATGCGGTCGTTGTATACCTTCTAGGTGGTATATCAATGTAGCGAATGACGTAACGAGGTCGATGTCGATATATCTGATCAACATGAGATCGAGATGTGATGTGAATGTCATGCAGACTGATAACTCCAATGTGATGCATTTATTGATAAGTTCGCACTAAGTCCGTACCTAGGAACCTTGAGACGTAGATAGAAGGCTCAATGGCGTTCCCTTGGGGCAAAGGCCGAGAAAACAAAGCAGCTCTCTGTCTTCGGGATTGGGATTTACATGTGAATGGGTTTAGCGCCAAAGTCAATTAAATGCGATCAACAATCAGTGACAAATGCGTGATTGCGGATGAGTTGTAGAGCAACCACAAGGATTGCAAGGTCGGTCAGTTCAGCGTGTATGTGCAATGCTTTGATTTTTAAAGGTTAATGTCAACAATACGAGATTTGAGTAGTGCTGATCCAAACCCGTATTGTAACTTTGGTATTTGATACGTACTAGCATGTCTATTTATTACGCAAGGAATGGGAGCATAACCGATTTCATTGGGCTAGTGATAGCTCTTTCACGGCCTCGTTCGGCGTCAAATCGTTAGTTTAAACTACGCTTCCAAAATATCATCTAGTTTCCCATTTCTCCCAAAACTAGCCCAAGCTCCTCAGCTTGTCCTGCTCGCCAGGCGTAAGTGCCGCAAATAGTTCCTGGAATCCAGGTTTACCGGACGCCTCCTGGAAAAATTGTAACAAGAGCGCTTGCGTCTCGTCATCGCGCTTCCGAACGGCAAAGGAGCCTTCCGTGCCTCCTTCACCAAATGACATTAATTCCTGTTTTGTGACCCCCAGTCCAAGGTCTAGTGTATTGCTGGGCAAGTCCTCCCACTCATCATCTTCGCTGTCTGCTTCTTCAAGAGCTGCGGCTGTTGCTGCATCGATCTCCTTGTTGCCAGAAGCCCCTGCCAATTCCTCTACGAGGACCTTGATGATTTTTATATTGGCCGACACAGTCGTGAACTGATCCGGATTTTGACGAGCCTGAGACCGCGTCTTGATTCGTCCAGTCTCCTGAATGATCAGGTCGCCCTTGACCTGGACTTGCGCGACGCGAGGATCTTCTAAATTGTATAGCTTACACAGAGCGATAATGTTCTGTTTGATTTCATCATATCCAGCGAAGTTGACAGAGTTTTCCAGCCACTTGCTCAAGACAACGTTAAGTCCACTCTGTCCACCAAGATTAAGTTGAGCCAAAAAGTCGATAACTTCTCGAGCGCTAATCAGGGTTAAGCGTGCAAAAACAAGTATTAGGCTCTGAATGAACTGAGCTTGCTGTGCTGTAGCCAGACGTTGTGCCACAGCTTGAAGCAATTGCGGTAAATAAGGACCAAGCTTCTCAGAACCTGCCTTTTCAACCAAAACAGCCGCCAGTGAGCCCACTTCTGCTGCAGAAACGTCGTCGATGTTGGGGCTCAAGAGATGGTCGATAATCAATAACACCGTTTCAATAGCACCCTTGCCAGATTGCGGTTCATGCCAAGCAAGGAACTGGTCGAAATCATGGGTCAAAATATGACATACTGCTAGCGTGGCAGCGCGAACGAGTTCGCTGTCGTTGCCCTCGAGTAAGAGTCGGCTCAACTTTGGCATCACAGTCGCAACAAATCCATTTGGTAGAGGCTCAGAACCATGATCCGCCAAGGCTCGAAGTAAGTCTGCTGCCAGAACAGTGAGTGCACCCTCTTCTGTGATATTGCCAACATCGATAGCACCTGTCAATGATGGAAGTACTTTCTCGCACAATCGAACATAAGCATCTGCGCCCTGTTGTGAGACGTACTGCACAATATCCTCAAAGGTCTCGGTGACGACCATGACCAAATGAAAATTCTCCGCTCCATTGCTGGCCACGTTGAAGAGCACATCCAAGGCAGGTGAGTCCAAGACCACCTTGGGCTCGATCATGATAGTGTCACGAAGTGTTTCAGCCAGTGTTACCTTGAGATCGTCATTATCGGTGCCTTCTCTCAGATCATGGGCTGCTATGAACTCCGATATCGAGCCGATGATTGGTATTTGCATGGGTTGTGTGGTCGAGGATGGAAGAGCCGGCAAAAGATCTTGCAAGACTCGAATGCAGGCAACCTGGACAATTTCTGAAGAGTCCTGAGATATCGCTTTCATTGTGCTTTCCAAGTAGCTAGCGGCGATCGGTTGAAATTCTGAMCCCGCCGTTTGAGCAAGAACTCCTGCGACCAGATATCCTCGCGCGCGTAGGTAATCTTGCTCATTTTGAAGAGCAAATTGAATACTATTTGTAAAGCCGGAGGCCACATCCAATGGGATTTGTTGTTCGACTTCGTTAAAGTCTCGAAGCAGCTGATTGAGAATGAACAATGCAGCCTCTCGGTTTTTCCACCTTATTTTCTTATTAGCAGTCTACGATATAGCAAAGGTAGGATAACGTACGTCGAGGAGGTGTCGGCGAAAAGGTTGTTAATATGAATAACCAATGCCTGAACGACTGTAACTTTCAACCATTCCCCTAGCTTGATAATCAAATCACCTCCACATGTCCTCGGCGTGTAATTGGCTGTTACGGACGTTTCCTCCGACAAGAAGAGGTTGACATCGATTTCCCAGATACCCTCTTCCTCCGTAGTGATCTGTGCATAGGTCGCGGCTAGCTTGATGATCTCGGGGAGCCACCCAGAAGTCGTTGCCGCTTCATTGGCGTTTTGTAGCTGAGCCTGTAGCTCGGCCTTCACAGGGGGAGCTTTGATCAAGGCTTGCATCAAGTCGATCTCTTCCAGTACGAGGAAGTCGAGTGTGTATGGTAAGCCATCTGTATCCTCCAGTCGTCCCTGTCGCTCGTCTTGCACGAACATTTCGAAGTAGTGGCCCTGGATACTTGACAATTCTTCCCAAAGGGTGGTGAACAGCTGCGGGCTCTGCGTCGTCAATAGCGTAGGAAACACCATGCGGATTTTCATAACGGTCTATACAATTGATACATCAGTGACCGAGATCTTGCAATATTCGAAGGAGCGTACCTTGACTGCTTGCAATTTCAATGCAATGACTCCCCTCCATTGGGACGGCACCTCAGTATCCTTGCCCTCTTCCTCCTCTGTTGGGCGTTGAGGCAAGGGCAGCTTCATAACTGACAAGAAATACGGCGACCATCCACTCAGTGCTTCGTCCATGAACTGCTTCACAGCAGCCTTGTGCTGCTCAAGGACCATTTCCAAGGTGTCGAAACATGATCGGAAGACGGAAATAGCGAGTGCTCGGATAATTGTCTTTCGCGATTCATTGGTCGCAACGGCGAAAAGAGTAGACACCAAGTCTCGGGCAATACTGAAAAATTGTTCCTCACTGAAGCCGGTATCTACCAGATCTAACAAAACCTTCAATGCGCCGTGAAGAGCCCCATCGCTGCTGTTGGGGTCGTTGATAATATGAAGTAACGAGGGAAGGAGCTCGGGCCACTCTTCAGGAAAGTCGGCGGCGGCAATCTTACTGACAGCATAACTTGCGCCAGCCTTGATCTTGCGATTCGTCTCTGCGGTGGTTGCGAGATTGAGAAGGGCATTGCGTAGAGTTGCCTTGTTCGCGTCATTGAGCCAAACGCGGCCTTTAAACTCGTCGAGGAGGGGGGACCATGACGCTACGATAAAGGTTCGGAGCACGGAGATGGCGGACTGGCGCAGTGCAGCATCAACGGAGTCATGAGCAGCGATTGTCGCGAGGGATAACGGGAAGGCCTCATTGGAGTAAAGCTGCAGCAATTGTAGTTCTGCGGATTGGCGAGTCGGTGCTGCGGGGGACTGGGTCGCTGCGAGTAGCTGGAGGAGCTCCTGCTCCATTGTAGATGTGAGCAGTTCGTCTCCTGCCTGTATGTCGTGAGAGAAGGTAGGACAAGGGAAAATAACAAAAGAAAGATCACGATGAAGAGTGTCGATACACTGTTTTGAGTATATCTCGAGACGACGTGATGTGATATTATAGAGGGTTGATGCTAATTATTTTCCCCCGCTAGTTAGGAGGAAGCAATTCCATTTGCTGGGGTGGAGCGCGTTTTGCTGGCGCGTAATACGTATTGGCGTGTTTCTCACCTCTTCTTCGTTCTTTGTATGTATTATACCATCAATATTGTTGCGCGGCGTTTTTTAGTGCATATAGAGGAGGGTTCTTGCGTCTTTGCTGTCGGAGTAGAGAAAGATGGAAGTAGCAAACAACATTAAACCACTCGATACACAATACATACGATGATACGATGACAATACGGCGATACACAGATGGAGGATACTGAATACGTACAAAAATACAAACAGGCGGTAAGGTACAACAGCGATAGATGAATGTTCCTTCCTCATCCCTTCCCCMCCCGCCTCTTTTCTTCATGAAACGACATTCGTTGATGATGCTTTCTGTTCAGAGACAATGAATGGATTCGACATGGAATATGAGACACTGCTTGCTGGCTTGACAGACATCATCATGTCCATGAAGTGGAATGACTGGAAATGTCATGCACGTCCACGAGGGCAAAAATGCTGTGTTGTTGATTTCGCTACAGCGGGGCGGCGGGTTTTCATTCCACCACGGACGACTGCCATTAGTTGAACGCTCAACAGACAATTCGATAGTTACCTGCTTTATCAGCTCCTAGCTAGTCGCTGCTAGCTTCCCAAGTTCCTGATTTTTGGAGAAGGGCATGTATTCGGTATTCCCATTGCGGCAATTGAGGTCACCCTACGTTCAGCGCAGTTATTCTGAGGATGTTCACGACTGACTCATTATTAAGTACAGAGATGAATTAACTAGCCCACAGGCACATCGCAGGCGAATCCTGCACGATATGCAGGAAGTCAATACCCTATGACGCTGCTGTAGCGGGGCTCTTGCACGGCGCTCAACCGGAGGGGCTAGGATCGTCAGCAGCCAGTGCCAACCGCCAATCCGAGTGGATGCCTCAGCCCTCAACACTCACTTAATCTCGTCTCTGATATGCTAACCGATTCCCTGCCCGACTACGGAGGCCGATGCATACCCATATTATGGATCATGAGCTTCGTCGTGGGGTTCTTGCTTTCCGTTTTTTCGTCTGTGTGCACGAATTGAATTCGTTGTGGCAAGCGATGGCGAGGCAATGGCTTGCTCACACTATTCGTAGATTCTTGCGGCCGCCAATGCAAATCAACAGTGGTGTGGTGGAGGAGCGGATGGCGACGCTTAAAATTCGACATGATTCAGATGCGTCGGACAGTTAACCTGGAGACGAATATTCTCGATCTGCGTTACCACTCAAACTACGTACGTATCAACAATACATCACGTATCGAACGATAGGTAGAGATCAATGGCACTATCAGTATCAAAGATACCGCCGGAGCGGTCCCGAGGCTCCGTCCAAGGTTAGCGTGTCGTAGCGGCCAATTCCAGCTGCCGGAAGGTGAATTGGACGGATCCTGGCTGATATGTACTAACCTACTAGGTAGATATCGTCTTCTGGAGTGAATAATAATCTCCTATCGATAGTGATGTGGCTTTTTGCCTCAGCTGTGCGTATCTTGAGTAATGACCATATGTACGCAGGACTAATATCCCGCAAAAGACATGGATAAACCACCATGGAAATGTTTTCCAGTGCTATTTTCGACTATTTTCGAAGGCGACTGATATCATCGAAGCAGCCTTAGTCATGCAAAAGCGCACATCACCGATGATCGACATGGACAGCATATTTCGGAAGCAGCAAATTGGCTCTACACTGACCTAGCGGTACAGTAAACGCTCATCCCACTGTTTGGTGGAGCTGCTGCTGAACGGAGCACGGTGTACGTACTACGTGTGTAGAAATTTCTCCTCAGAAAAAGTCTGCGATTAGCGTACTATTCATTAAGCCAGTCAGCATTTATTCTCTCAGATGCAGCAATAATAAACACAATGCCATGTAGTTGTCGTTCGATTTCGCCATCTTATATGTTACACGATTACAAAATTCCATCGTAAGCGTAAGATACCGGCACCGTATGACGCAGACACGTGACGATTACCCTAACAAGTAAGCGTAATTATGCCAGGTTCTGCTGTAATTACGGCGTTGGTGCTTACCGTACATAGTACTCACGGCCTCCCCTCACTCTTTCCCTCTCTCACTCTCAACTTCTTCCTCTTCCTCTTTTCTCCATTCTTTCTCCCCCTGTCCCTCTCGATCAACCTCGTGATAATTGCACTTCTTCTTGCTTGGGTATTCCCCTCGCTACTCCGATTCCTCCATTTCTGGGACACAACCTTACCCTTATCTCCATCTCCCATCCCCGTTGTTGACTCGTGCTGAGAAGGTACATAGGGCACAAGTGACAACTCACTGGGCGAGAGTACATACAAAAAAGAAGCTACTATCTGCATCGGGAAAGGAAACTGCATCCCTGCTAGTCTCTGTGATAAGGACGTTGTTTATAATACTCGGTTTTGTCACTGCCGTTACTTAATTCTTTTTCTGTTTTATTTTATCATATCTTTGTCTGTTTACCTATTCTCCATCATCTATTCCGTCTTTTTGGTTCAACAGAAAGAAGCGCTCCTTGTCTCTCTCTTGCATATAGCACTTCGGGCGTTCCCTTTTGTCAGCTTCCAGGTACAACAACTGCAACAATAACAACAACAACAACAACAACAACAACAACAACAACAACAACAACAACGGCCCCGTTCCTCTGGAATTACTACCTAGAGTAATAAGCCGGCCTGTCCCGCCGTTGCGGAAAGCTTACAACTCATCTACAATCTGCTGCTGGACTTTCGGTTTCATTTATGCATCTCTTGCTCTGACTGCGGCTGTGTCTCTAGTCGTGGATTATTGACCGAGGCTGTTTTGTTGTTCGACGACGGAAACAGAGAAATGATTAGCCGTCGAGGGGAAGACCAGACAGATTCCCTCCGCAACTCCTCTACTACGACGACCACGAGATTCAATAACCAATCTCCTTTGATAACCTGAACATACGACGATCTCCTCAAAATCTCCGCTCATGGCTATGGCCAGTGAAAGCAGCACTACGGTGAACACTATGAGTGCGATAAACACTATGAATGCCATGAATACGATGGCCGCGGCTACAGCTACCGCTCCGATCGCCGCTGCCAAAGGCTTACCCAATACTCAGGCCGCTATTGCCGCCTCATTTACGAACTTTCTCGGTGTTGCCATGCATCAAATATTATTCCTTCGATCGGTCTATCCGSGAGCCACGTTTCTTCCCGTTCGAGCGTACAACTACCCGGTCCGGCAATCACGCCATCCGAAGGTATGTGACTACATCAGCGATGTATGCCTCGCCGTTGAAAGTGAAATTCTCAAAGGCACAATTACCGCCGTCACTGTGATTATCTCTTCGGTCCGCACAAATCAACCAATGGAGCGGTATGCATTTGACCTATCAGGCTTCCCGCACGTGCCCGTGGGGGAGATCTACACCACGTTCGAGGAACGGAATAAAGAAGAGGCCACGAGACCACCGACCACGGCACAGACAATAGATCTTGAAGCACAATTCCGTGCTTGCTTGGCTAGGTTAGCGTCTGCCTGCGCGCGCTTGACGCCTTTACCGCGTGATGACGAATTCGGATTTACCGTATGTATCGAAGTGCGAGAAGATGCTCTACCACCGGCCGGCACAACGAACGAAGAACAGACTTGGATTGTCGCTGAGCCGGGTCAGGTGCATGTTCGATCATGTACCGCTCCGTTTTCGGTCAGCAAATTAGGCAGTTATTCCCACCAACCTGCGATACCGAAGATCAATGGACGAGCCAAAACCGTGCCTGTACGACGAGTCGAGGCGGGCGAACTTCGCTTAGAGTTATGGGTCGAAGAAGCCAGGCAAAAGTTTGACGAACGGCTTCTTTAGTTGATTACATCGACGATTCGTCCAGCTCTACCTTTTCTTGTACACATTATTCTTGTTCTTTTATTCGACACGAACACAGACACGCCGCGTTGAACCCCCGAGGCAACCACTGAGCGACAGCCAGCTGGGCAGATAAATCTGACCAATATTTCAGAAGCACTTGCAGATCCGGATTGGCGAGGAAAGGAACGAAAGAAGTCACGGCCTTTTCTGCTTTATTTCTATACATTATTTTGTGACGCCTTTTATATCATCATCCATCATTTCATCATAGACTGGAAAGGGGCGGGCGTATTAACGATTGTCATTTTKGTTTCCTCTTTTTTTTGTTTTTCTCATGACTGTTCTTCCATGGATCATTGGAGAGTTGTCCCTTTTTCTTTTATTCCATCATATATCCCAGCAAGAAAATGCGAGCATCTCATTTGTGTCATACTCATCGTCATCATTCCTCCATTCAATCCATTGTACTGCAAATCCAAGTTTTCAATGGCCAAAATGTGACATATCACGTGAAACGCATTGCCTTCTTCTTTACTCAATTCTTTTCTTTTCCCTTCTTTTTATACTTCAATTGAAATATGACTGTTTCATCTGACTCGTTCTTGGCGCATATCATTGCTTACTTGTTTTGTTTTGCTATGGACGGAATCATGATTACATAGGAAAAAAAGAAAATAAACGGATAATGAAGATTAATATTCAAGATTCAATAGATGTGTTCAGTACAAGAAGTGGATAAACCCTGACCAAATGAAAAGCTGACTCTCATAAAAAAGAATAGTAATATACGCAATATGCAATGGAAATGATTCATCATGATGATAAGAAAAATTTTGCTGTATTAAGTTAAATGCAATGTCGTCAGCTGCGGAGAGAAATGCCAGTCTAGTATGATATGATCCAATGTAAATGCAGATAAAAGGAAAGAAAGAAAAGACAAGGGGGTATCTGGGTCGTTATCAAAAAAAGGCCGTTACGATAGTCGAGAAAACCGTGATTAAAACAGTAGAAGAGATGGAGGAGAGCAAGAAAGGAGAGAGACCACAATTAGTCTAGTTGTTACCGCTTCGTCGTCGGAGGAAGTGATGATGTTGATGATTCTGAATAAGCTGCGGCTGTGGTTGCGGCTGTGGTTGCGGCTGTTGTTGTTGACGGAATTGGGGCGGCTGCTGACGCGGTTKCTGACGAGACTGCGGAATTGGCATGGAATTGGTGCGTTGTAGCGGCGGTGGTATTATCTGTGGCTGCGGTACTTGTCTGTACAACTGCTGCTGCCGCATCTGTGTATACATTGATGCAGCAGGGGCAGTGAGTGTTCGTTGTGGTGTCGTCACTGGACGTCTAGCCGTGGATATCGCAGGTGTCGTAATTCGTGATGCGGTAGAGGCAGTCTGTTGTTGTATAGCGGTTGATGAAAGTCGAGCCGTGGACATTGCAGGCGTTGTAGTCCGTAGTATGGCAGAGGTATTAGATGGCCGTGGTTGTGTGATTGCTCCTGTGGGTTGAGCTGTTTGTGTAACAGGTGTCGTAGTCTGTATTGGGCGTCTTTGTGCCTGGGGATTGATGTTCCTTGGCATGGATACCTCAGGCATACGAGGGAATTGGGTCAATTGAGGCAATGGATTCAGTGTAGCAAGTCTGGGCATCTGAGGAAAGGCGTTCGATGGGATCTCTCGAGGGACTATAGGTGCGGCCACCTGAGGTATGCGATGTGCCTGATGTGCCTGGGCTGCATTTAGCAATTGAAACTGACTCATATGTGGAATTCGAGGCATCTGTGGCAACCGGGGAATATGAATTTGAGGCAGCTGGGGCATTTGAATCTGAGGCATCTGAGGCATCTGAGCTCGCCGCCGGTTCCCATTGACCGGCACGTGTTGAGCCGGAGCTTGCTCTCCAACACTCGCCTCATCCTTTGATGTAACACGCAGCATCTCAGGGTCAATCTTCCCCCCCTGAGCCAGTACCTCCGCCATGGCAGCCTGTTCAGCCTGCATGACTTCATTCATCCGTCGTCTGATCCCTGTGTCATTGTCATGAAGATTACAGGTACTTGAACGGACTTGAAAGTGCAAGTACCCATCCTTCGAGATGTCCTTTTTGCATACGTCGCAGATGAGAGCACCGCATCGGCATTTCAGCTTGTTACAACCGTCTTCTTTGACTATCGCTAAGCCACACTTGGGACATTTGCGGATCAAAGCTGCAGTCATTGCTTCCTCGACGGTGTGGCGTACTTCAAGACCACGTTCCTTTTTCGCTTCCTCGCAAGTTTGCGGAATATGGGTCTCTTCCTTGCAAAGGCGGCAGCTGACTTTCTCGCAGTCCGAGTTCAGGCAAGTAAATTCTTTGTTTTGTTCAACCGGAGGACAGATTGCTTTGAAATCACAGAATGGACACTCTTCAAGGCCATCGATGCTCGCCTTTGCAATTTCGTCTTGTTGTTGCAAGTCCTCCAACCGCTTCATCAGCTTGTCACCAATTACTTTCCTGATCAATTTGCTACTGAAGTGGGCTTGACATCCACTAGTATCAAAGCATTTCAATTCGTACTGCATCGAGCCAACCTGAACCTCGGCTTTCTGCTTGATACAGGAGTTGCAAAACAAATGAATCTCGTCTCCGTCACACGGCACGGTACGGTCTGGAAGCACTTCGGCAAAACAACACTGACATTCAACCAAAGTTCCGGCTAGTCGGTGCTCTTCCTCAACAAGCTTCTCGATCGCGTCTTCTTTCTTTTTCTTGAGTACACCTAAAAGCTCATAAGCAATTTATCATTGAGGATAAATTCGTCAAGAACAGAATAGCACACCTTCTTTCTCAGAGATCAATCTCTTCGCTTCCTGCAGCTCGTGATCCAACACTGCAGCGAAGAGTGCTGGATGCTTGTCTTTGGCGCTGTGTAAGCGTCTCCAGTATTCACTTGCATCTGATGCTGGACGCCCCAAGAAATGAAGAGCGATGTACGCTTTGAGAAAGGTTTTGTATCGTGTCAGCAGATCTTTTACTGTCGTAGAAGGCACAGACGGATAAGATTTAACGAGTAATTTGTAGCTGATTCGCAGATTAGTAAGAGGCCACTTGACATGTCCAAGATCATGTATACATACGCAACTGGAAAGTAGAAGATCTTGTCTTCTCGAATTCTCTGCATGTCGTTCTGGTCAAGATCTTCATCTCGCTTCCGCTTCTTCGAGACCTGTTTAGGGTAGGGTGACTTTGCAAGAATCTCATCAAGCGCGTCCTGAATTGCCACGAGGAACGATTGCCCGGTGCGATTATTGATATCATATTTGGCGTACAGCTTCTTGATATATTCCTCGCAAATGTCGGGGAAAACGTCTTGAATCTTAGTTTTGAACACATCTTCCTTCTCAGAACCCCTGGCCTTTTGGTCTTTAGTGAGATCAATGACTGAACTTCTGGGAGATATCTTGACAGTAACCGTATTCGATTGCTTTGCAGCGGTGATTGTTGGGGTTGAGGCTGGTTGTGAAAGCCTGCTTGTAGAATTACTCCTGTTCAATAGCTGTGGCGTTGACACTGTTCGGGAAATTGGGCTATTGTAGGAGGGCTGTGTTCTCCTGTCTAATATTTGGCTAGATGAACGACCGTAATCGAATAATCTGGGTCTTTTGCTAGACGGCTCCGTCAGATCTATGACTGGTGCATGAGGACCGGAAAGTGGTGTTGTGGTGTGGCCCATAGTGACTCGGCCTAGAATTGGGTAGCGCGGGATAGCCTATGATCCGATGTCAACGCTGATTGAGAGAAGAATGAGATGAACTCAGTGGTAATTCGGCATAACCACGGTTCACTAATCGACTTACCGTATTGCTATGAATGGCAGGTTGAGCGCTTCGGCCGGCTGACTGCGTAGGGCACTGTGTTGGGCCACGAGGGTCATTCTGATGTGTTTTACTTGTAGCATCAAGTAATGGGTTGACAGCGGCTGATAAATCCTGAACCCAGTTTCTGACCCTCGACACTTTGTGAGCTGCAGTCGGCTCCTTTGCATTACGCTCTAATTGAAGCAGGCTGTCCTGGGACAGCCGCGGCAGGAGTCTTTGTACTGCATCTGGTGGTCGTGATATAATAGGTTCTGTAGTCCAAGTAAGAACAATGCCGTGGATTTCAGACAATGAAATCAACGTACGGCGTGGGTAACCAAGTAGCCCATCCATCTCCCAGGAGACCGGGCGATGGATGTTGCGCAATGATAGAATCGCAGAATATCACAGATTTAATCACTCAGTATTCTATTACGCGTACATAAGCGATAGACATGACTTCTGAGCTCCTAGATGTCACTGGTGGAGATAATAATGGTCGTCGGTGATGTGACTAGAAATACTGATTCAGGTAGATCGAAATACACCAGTCCCATTCCATCAATGACTCGAAAGCTGCTTTAGGTATGAAGGATTCAATTAACAAGCAAACAATGCAACAAAACAATGCTCAACGTCAGTAAATAGACAGGCGTGGCAGTAGAATGTACGAGTAATCATGATCATATGTCGGAGGAAGGAAATGAAACAGATCAGTGTAGTTCATCAACTGCGCGGGCGGCTGACAGAACCTAGAAGCCACACTAGCGCCCGATTAGGCCTACCGTGGCTGGTGGAGTGGCTGCGATTGGCCGGTCCGATAAAGCTAATTCCCGCCGATATTGATTAGGCTTCGATGGTCGCTTGCCCGATCTGGTTAGCCGCTTTTTCTTGATGCCTGAGGCCGCTAATAACAGGACCTACACCCTAACCCTGATGAAGGATACTGACCGAGTCAAATGACAAAAGAAAGAATATATGTTCTCAGTACCCACGACAAAGAACACAATTAATACCAAGTACTTCAAAGACCTGATCACCAGCGGCGTCTATTTCCGCACCAACGACGTCAGTATTAGCCTCATGGTCTTGGAATCAGCGTAGATCCTGGAACAGCGAGTCGACCAAGTATATTTCCTTAGATAATCCATCGAGGCTCCAAAGGCATGACTCTTGACGGAAGGTCAGATGCAAGCCCTTCATGGCTCTGATTCGATGCCATGGATGACAGAATCGCCAATACGCGATAGTTACTGCAATACGATCTCAGTACATTCATACGACCATACCATACCGTAAGAAGAAGGTTGCCCTCGCTTGCCAACGGTTTTAGCCGGGCCGGTTTGGTGGTAATACCGGGATATACGTAATTAACATACCAACATCGAACTTACACGTATCACGATTTAAGATAATGCTGTGCCCTTGTACAATGTGCAATCCACTATTACTCTATCACAATGCATTGGATGGTTCTGATTTGACTTTGGTAGACATCACGTCGTATCCGAGTGATCTGTGAGTGGAGTCATTGTGGAACTTACTGTCAGGACTCAGTAGAAGGAAGTGGGAGCTATTCCGACCCTAAGTATTTGAGATGGGGCTTTCCCCGGAAGCCTCTCGAGAAACTTACCACTTTCATCAATTCGACCTGTTTGAGCCTGTTTCGCCAATTTCTTGTCAATGTATAATTGACCAGTTGGATAAAGAACACAATTATTTCTACTGTATTCTTCTACATTTCTAGCTTGCTTGTACCACGACCATGGGCTCCGTCGCTCCTCCCAAAAACGAGGATCTCCCTCCATCAGACTCGCCTCACCTCGACCTCGTTCCAGCTACTCCAGAGGAACATCTCGAAACCCTACGACTGAACAGTAAAGCCTGGCGAGGTTCACTAACTCTGGACCAGTACCTCGACCGTGAGAAACGACTTTCCAAGCAAAACCTCACCAAGAACGGATCTCTGACCTGCTGGGTTCTCGTGGATCGCAGACAAGAGCCAAACTCGCGATTGATTTTGAGTTCGTGCGAGACGTACCGAAAACCCGCATATCTTGCATACCGCGGTAAAGTAGAGGACATCATATGCCATGGAATCGGAAGTGTTTTTGCGCGCTCTGAGTTTAGAGGTCGTGGGTACGCCGGACGTATGATGGAGGAATTGGCTAAGAAGCTAGATAGCTGGCAATCGGAGAACCAGCCGCGGAGGCAAAATGTGTTCTCTGTGTTGTTCTCGGACATTGGCAAGAATTACTACGCAAAGTATGGATGGAAGCCATTCCCGTCATCCCACATCTCCCTGCCGCCGCTGTCAGAGAGCCAGTTCCAGATGTCTCTTGAAACGGCGAAATTGCCCAAGGCAAAGACATTGACTGCTGAAGATGTCCGCGAGTCCATGTGTAGCGAGATAAACGAAAAGAAGAATAGAAATTTCCTCCAGGTTGTCTCCGAAAAGTCACGTAACAGTGCCAAAGTGACCATTGCACCAGATTATGACCATATGACGTGGCACTGGGCGCGAGATGAATTCTATGAAAATGTCGGCGTTTTTGAGAAAACAAGTCCATCTGTGCGTGGCGCTGGCGTCGATCACCATCACGTGTACTGCTCATGGGTCCGAAATGTGGGCGACMCTCCCGSGAGCCATACCCTATACATCCTTCGATTAATATACGATGAGACGTCGTCACCGGCTGAAGAGCTGGCTACTATTGAAGCGATTGCAGCCGTCTTGCGTCAAGCGCAATTCGAGGCATATAAACTGAAAATGCACGATGTCAGTTTTTGGAATCCGTCGCCTTTGGTTGAGAAAGCGGCCAAGTTGCTCGATCAAAATGTCAAGGTGGTGCATCGTGAGGAGAGCAGTATCAGTAGCTTGAAATGGAATGGCGCTAGCCAGGGACTGGGTGATGATGTTGAGTGGTTGTGGAACGAAAAGTACAGCTGGTGCTGATTTGATGAATAAAGTGGTTGGGTTGTCAATCTCTTAACAGGGCTGCCGTTCTGTATAGTCGTATTGATAGCAACATATGTCATCAAGATTGGCCGGCGAAGATATTATCATCACTTTCTCTGACTTTTGAACCGTTCATGCCAGTTCCTCGAATTCCTAACTCGTGCACCGCTGCCCGCTGCATCCTGAGCTTCTTTCCCTGCCATGTCTCTCTCTGATTCCGGCAAGAAATGTATTGATACCGGGTCCGGTTGTTTGTATGAAGCCTCCTATCCATTGTTAGTTGATAACCGTTTATAAATAATTGATCTTCAAACGTACTGGTAAATTGCTTAAAGCTGCCGCATTACGCCATGTCTCTGGCAACAAATCCCTCCAGGCATTCAAAAACTCAGACCGACCGATAGCATGTTTCTCAGTTGGCGCGGTTGCTTCCAGGTAGGTCTCGCCTATCCACTTGATGCACACATCCTTGTCCATGTTCGACCCTATCCTAGATGTTAGCGGCTGGTAGCGAGTTGTCATTGGGGGTAATCAAAGAATGACAGACATTTCACCTCAGAGTCATCCTCAACCCAATCCTCACTACTCCGCTCCGCGAGTTTTTTAACAATCGCATCAAACAAAGATCGCGAAAACGTTTTCTCTTTAACGTCATCATCATCCTTATCACCCAGAACAGCTTTCCACAGATCTCGCACAAGAAACTGCTTCTCCACGTCAATGCTGTGCAATATGCATCCTTCAAGTATCCTTTTCCATATACCCAATTTGACTGCCGCCGATGGTCGGAAGGCCAGTCTTTCTCCGCTCAAAGCCTTGTAATTATTGTCCGGCACAAATGCGCAGAGCTCAATCCATGCTTTCCGGCATTGCGAATCTGCAAATGGGATATCATCAATAACCGCCTTCTTCACTAACAAACTCCTTGTGGCGTTAAGTTCCGCGTCTTCGCTTCCATCCATATCAACATCTCCATCATCATCATCATCGTTGTTAAAGGTCATCTTATCATCCCAAACCCTTAATATCCGCACAAGCATGCCCTTCGCCGCAGCAAAACTTTCCTCACTACTCAACCCTTGCATTTCCAGCGTCGAACCGCATTTCGCGATTGCCGTTATTGTCTCTGGCGCAATTTCTGTATCATTATTATCGTCATTCTGCCGCTTGATCAAAGGAATAACGTTGCTCTGACCATCACTTGGTTGAATGATATGTATCGAGTTGGAGGATTGGACTTGGCGGATTCGGAATGTTTTCGTTGGTGTGCACAGATTCACGTATGCGGCATTATTCTCTGTCGAGGGGTCCCCGCTTGCTGGGGATTTGAGGTATAACCTAAATCAGCCGAGATGGTTAACTTATTTTCTGATATTTCAATCAACCAATATCTCCGAAGAGACTTACGTCGGCGCATTCGGAGAAGATATTAGTTCCAGAAGATCAGGCGTCAATTCTATCAAGCGAAAGGCCTGTTGCGGAGAGCTGTGTGTAAAGCGAATGCTTCGTGCTGCTTGTGTTGACATTTTCCTTGTGTGATTTTATTGCGGAATATTCGGAAAGCTCATGAAGACTCGTATCTAAACTGCGAAATAGAAGAAAGTGATTGAAAGACAGATTATATTTCGGCTTGACAGTTTGACAAAATAATCTCACGACGCGAGAAACGCGATCTATGATACGCACGGACCATGGGCATGTTATCGATAAGCGATAACCGTTTAGGAATTCATAAACACCTCAACTGTAAACTACATGTATATTCTTCGCCACAAAATGCCCAACCCAAATATGCTTCATACGAAAGTCGAATCTATCATTGTAGTTTTTCGTTGTGGTTGCCTGAAGAATCTTGTCGAGTCTTCTCCTTTTGTGTGTTAGGTTTTGAGTCCTTCGGACCAGCACCAGCAGCTTCTTTTTCGCTCTTTGCTGGGATAGCAGGCCGTCTCTCGTTCTCGACATCGCTCTCTGCTCCTTCAACTGCTGCGGCTTTTGGCTGGCCTTTCCCTACTTTCTCGACTTTTTGTGTTTGTTCGGTTTTGTCTATCTTCTTCTTGACCTCAGCCCCGTCCTTTTCCCATTCCTCTGTGGAGTCTTTGAATCGGTCATTGAGTTTTTGCTGACGTTCAGCCTCGGCCTTTTCTTCCTTTTCCTTGGCCTCGCGTTGTTTTCTCTCTTGTTCCATTTCTTCCATGTGACGGAGATCGTCGACGCTGGGCTCGTAAAGATGCCAGATTGTGTAATGCGGAAGACCGACGACGGAGTATTGCATACGCTTGGCCATCTATAATAGTCAGATCGGTCAGTGATTATAGACTGTCTCTAAGTAAGGATGCCATACCTTGCCGAATGCCTCCGTTTCTGCATGCTTCTCAAAGCTGAAAGCGGGGAAATGAACACCTGATCGAAATACCTTGGCTTTAGCCAAGATACTGACACCACCCACTCCGTCAATTTCAAGCTCCATATCAGGGTCACCGTATGGATCTCTGAGATAGGCCAAATGCGGTCTCCAAGTCGCATACTCTGCATAACCTTCCACAATGACGGCGTCTTCGTCGAGGGAATCCGCCAAAGCAAGTGCTGTTTCAGATTCTTGCCAGGAATTCAGGTCATATGGTTGTTCCCCGCCGAGCCAGTCGGGAAGGGGTCGCCAGACATCTTCATCTAATTAGAAAGATGTCAAAATTGCAAGCACGGAAGTAACTTACTCGGAACGATGACATCTTTATTATGCCGCATCAGATCCTCTAATATAGTGAACGGCGCTGTCTCCACATCAGCGTCTCGCCAATACACCCAGCTATGAGTTGGTCGCAACGTTGCACTAAGAAGCCAGTTCCGTGCTTGAGCCATTAGCTTCCGTCTACTGGCCTGCGCAGCAAACCCATGTCGACTCTCCACATCTTGATTGACCTGCTGTCCAAAGTCCTTCTCAATCACCGAAATCTCTCCAAAGGGCATTTTGGGATCCTCATCATTTTGGAGATCAGTGAGTAGTGATGAGAGTAAGCTAAGTGTATTGTCTTTTGAGTCGGACACGAGGAAGGCCAGATCAATCAGATGATGTGGGTATGTCAGATTGCGCAAGTGCGAGAAAAACATAGGCAAATGGGCCTGCGCATCTCGTAGCGGCGTGCACATGAGAACTCGTTCTTCCCGATGCCAACCCATGGCGGTACCCTGTACGTCGGAAAGATCGTAGTACCGAACAGTTTCTAGCGAAAGATCGTCATGCGTTGTTGAGAACAAGCCGAGTGAAACTGTCGGTAGTATTATAGCGCGCCATGATGGAATGAGAAAAAACAAGACGAGGAGTGAAAGGCCGGCGATGGCGGATAATTTGATTAGGAGTTGTCGCCTTCGTAGTACGGCTGGTTGTGAACGTGGTTGAAATCTGTTCATATTACCCATCAATTAGATCGAACCCCATCTTGAAATAGAGATTTTCTATAAGCTCCTACCTGTGAGGTGATATAGAGAAGGTCCCGCCTCCTCCGCGAGGATAGGCACTGTAGCCTTTGGGATAGGCGAACTGCCTGTTCATCGCTCCAGCACCACCGGCATATGTCGATAAAATGAGATGTAGTCAAAAGACTACTCCGCAACTATATAGCTCGATTGCACTGTGCAGGGTGCCCCTTTTCCCCTTAATGTCCAGTCCGCGATGGAAGATGGTAAAACGACGCCGGAACGAAGTGAAAACGAAATCGATAGCGACGGAATTGGCTTGGGGTGAATTCTTCTGTATTTAGGTTTTCGAGTGTTGTTGATTTATGTGAAATAAACAGGCAATATACCTTGCACAATTGAAGCTTGGAATGCTGAAAGCGCAATGTGTCTTGAAACACCGTTAATTAACGATGGCAAGCTCCAGGCAGACTAAGCCTAGACCAGAGGGCAACGTAAGTCGTACAGGCCTTGCCAAGGAATCGGAAGATCTTCGGCCAGTAGCCCCCATTGCAACCTGAGACAGTTCTTTTACACCAAATCTATATGATCTGCACTTAAACCTTTCTTTACGTAGAATTAATCGTTAAAGACTTATTTTGATTTCATACAAGATAGCTAGCACTAATGAAATACATTTATCGGACGGTGGCTCCCTTGAGACTCTTCACAGTGCATACACCTCCAGACTTGGCAACAAGCTTTCCAAATGTAGCAGCAGTAGCAGCAGTCCCTACGCTCGATAAAGAAGGAACCTGTGTGCTATCGAATCCAACTTCCAAGCCGTCTGTAGTCGTAAATCCAGGCTGGAAGGTCTCCCAAATCTTCTTCTTAGGGTTGAGTTGCTTCTCGGGCTCACCGACACTCCAGCCCTCGAAGAACACGCGATCACCAGCAGGGGCATCTGCAGGAGGGTTGACCAACTCGACGGGACCGGCATGTGAATCTTCACCTTCAGCGACCTTGGGGGATGCAGCGAGCACCATGGCGGCGGACTTGATGCCACGCATAGTGACGGGCTTCAAATTGCAAACAACAACGACCTTGCGACCCTGCATTTCCTCCAATGGCACAAGACCGTTCAGACCAGAGCAAACTGTTCGGACGGTTTTGCCTGTCTCCTCGTCGACAGATGTATTGTCACTGCCGGGGGCATCGCCGCAGTCAATAGTCGACACATACAACGAATCGGCGTTGGGATGGTTGATGGCGCGGAGAATGTGGCCAACACGAAGGTCGATAAGGGATGGCGAGGGGGGAGCTGCGGGGGCGGGAGCTGCTTTGGGCTGTTTGGCTTGTTTCTCTTTCTTTTCCTTCTTCTCCTTTTTCTCTCTCTCGCGCTTTGCGGCGGGAGTCTCCTCTGTTGTAGTTTCGGGGGCTTGCTGTACACGCTCCTTGGTCAATCCAGTCACCACTGTAGACTCTTTCGCGGCAGCTTGAGCCTCAGCCTTTTCCTTCTTCTTGCGCTCTTTCTCTTCTTTAGGATCAGCCGCCTTGGGGAAGAAACGAACGTCGTCGAGGTCGATGACAACTTTCTCCTCTTCTGGAATTCTGAGCGCAAACAGAGATCCATTCTGCACGAAATCCACATGTCGCACGATGTAGTGATAGCCCTTCTCACCAGTGCGTTGTTCGACGTCCCATTTTTCAACTAGAGGAGCAAGTACAGCGTAGGCTGCGATATCGGCGACGGAAGGTTTGGCGCCCAGTAATGTCGTCTGTGTAGCCAAGTGTGTGTTAATCTCCTTCAAAATGGAATCAATGACGGCTGTGTCACCCTTCGTCGAGGCGTTGGTCAGTCCCTGTATCGTGGCTAGCCATTGCTGGATGGCTGCTTTCTCAGCATCGGTGTAGGTATAGTGCGAAAAGATCTTGGGGGTCGCTTGGGCGAGGTCGAGCTCAGTAGCATCAGGTGAGATGGCGGTGGGGTAGGAACGGTAGAGAAGTGAAAGCAGAGAGCTCTCGGGGAGCGCTGCAGTAGCCATGTTGCTGGTAAAAATAAAGGGCGGCCTATGAAAATGTACTGCGAATCGACTAGGAGCTAGAGGAAGTCGGTGGAGAGAGGTTGTATGTGTTGCAGACCAAAGAGGCGAAGATGAAATTTGAAGTTTTTGAAATTGATGAATGAGAGAGCGACGCGGGGCTCCTGCGGCCCGCAGAAAAAATTGGGCCAATGTGGGCAACCGTGAGGCCGATTACCTCACTAGAGATAACTAGGGTTATAGAATATAGGAGATTGCGAGCTCCTTAAGACTATATTGACGTGGTTCGACTGACAAAAGTGCTTCTGAAAGCTATGGCCAGCTTCCTCCATCTTTAATTTTCTATCGGAAATTAAGGAAAGCTGCCTGAGGCCGCAACTATGACCCACTTTTAACATACTCGACAACATTTCTTAGAGTCTGTCAGTCACTGTTATTTTATTCTATTCACAAGAATCTTTCATCATCGACATAGATACAGAAATTGTCTAAAGACTCATCGCTTCATTTGAATATGGTTATTCCTTAATCCATGATGAACTTGAGCTCATGTTTCAACGACTTCATGAGATTCCACACATACGCTCCGCAATATAAAACACACATCGAGCGTTATACATGCATTTAAGCTGCCGGGCTGGCAAGACCAAGAGAAGGGCCCCTCTGGTCAAAGACAACGAACATCGATTTCAAGAACACATCGCCGAAAATCTGGAATTGGCTACCTCCATTTGACTGAACACCACCGAAGCACACTATCGAACTGTTAGTAATTTGATCACACGCACTAAACGAATGGCTTGACTTACTAGTATTCGAGACCTTGGAGAAGTTAATAACTGATGCTGGCACGGTTGCCAGGTTGTTATCACCCACCGCAATGGAAAGGGTAGGCAGAGTGGCATCACAAGGGAAGATATAGCCGCCAACTTGATTGTTGAGCTGAGCACCTTGTACCTGCGCATAGTACGCAGTGGCAACCTCAGGGCTGACAAGCATCAAGGTGGTACCAGTGTCAGCAATAGCAGTGGGGGACTGTGTGATGGCCTGCATGGTTCCATTGTCACCAACACTAAAAGCAGCCGAGTTGAACTCCCAGAAGCCATTGGAATTGTCGATACTAACATTGGTCAGGCTACCGGTGAACTTGGTGGTGTCGATGGTTCCAAACTGGTAGCTTCCCGCGCTGCTATCGGATTTGAGGGAGGCAGCCATGACGGGTTCATCGAGCAGACTGGCGATGTTGTCGAAGAAGGTCTTTTGCTGTGTTGGTTTGACAGTGTTGAGGGATGAGAATGCAAGTCCTACAAGACCGTTGGAGGCAGTGTCTTGCACAAATGATGTGGAGACTTTGTTGGCGAGTTCGACGGCTTGGTTCTGGACTGTTGCGCCGCCAATGTCGACGGTGTCAGTACCTACGGTTCCAGATGCTCCAGATCCATCTCCGTAAGTGATGCTGAAGGTGGCGCCTTTTAGGGTTTGAAATGTTGTTGATTTGGCTGCATTAAAGACAGTATGGCCCGTTTGGTCAGCGGTGGCCAGATCAGTGCTAAACACCCATCTATAAAATCGTGTTAGCCGACCAGCTTGACCCTTCACAAGCAGCATGAACTTACAGGTCAGAAGATCCAGTATCAAAGTCCATCATCATGGTCTGACCGCCAACGGTCACAGCAGCCACGAATTCAGTGTCGCCGCTAGTCGCGACAGCAGCAACGGATCCATCTTCGTTGCCGGCTGTCGAGTTTGCCGCGTTAGCAGTACTGCTAGGATGATGCTTGACAGCCTGAAAGTCGAGAGCATCAAGACCAAGGTGTGTTGCAGTGATGTTGAATTTCCCGTATGCCTTTCTCAGCGCTGCAGGGCCATGGGGGATGTAATTCGCGCGACGAACACGAGGAATCTCAAATGACCTCCGCTTGAGACTTGCTTTGGGTGCTGTAGGTGCGCTGAGAACAGCTGTTGTGATTAATAGTAAGGTAAAGAAAGTTGATAAGAAAGACATTGTGTCGAGCTGTCTTTTTTCTCTGTGACTGATGAAAGCAAGAGTCTAGTTTTTCCAATGACTCAACTCAAGCGAATGAAGTCGAGATGGCCCACGTGTAGGATGAGCAAATAGTGAACGCTGAAAAGAAGACGAAAAAGATTATGACGCTGAACTCTCCTTTATGATGTGAGGAGTTGACCAAAAAAATATCGAGTCCAAGTCCAGCCCGGAAGTCGTAAGTAAAAGATAGCGTGGAAGTTAAGGCGAGGAAACAATGCAAAGAAGGATAATATTAATGGTGAGAAAGAAAACAAATCAAAAAGTAAGAGCCCGCTTAACTTAATGAATAGAATGGAAGAATACAGGAAAGATGCTTGTGGTGTGAATGGAATATTAGAACAAAGTTTGAGGAGAGCAAAGAGAGATTATGTAGTTAATGCAAAATACTGCGCTCTACCAAAAATGAATAATAGTCACCGTCTGATATGGAGTTTTAGGAGCTATCTGTAACAGACCTGACAATAGACTAGCCCTCGTAGGGGATCAAACATTTTCGGTGCCCTAGACCGTTTGATATTGGGGCGAGTCTGGATTGTCGGCAATGGGCATAAAGTTTATCATACTGGCCCATACTGTGTGTATGCTGTATGTACCTAGCCATACGATTGGGTAGGCCAAGCTACAAAAGGAGAGTCTTCTTTGTCTCTATTCTCAAATCATATAGCTCATACAGCTCACAGCAAACGAAAATACGCGGCCTTCCCCTTTACGTGTAATACGTATATTCGGGTTCCACTGCGGGTATGACTCCTTCTCGAGGTGACTGTTTGACAGGAGAATTCATCTCTAAATCCACCATACAAATTCAGTAGAGACGGTGCAAGCTGGGGATGTCAAGCGATCTAAGGCCGCTGAGTGGTTCGTCCTGAAACGCGGAGGTACATTTAGTGGCGGAGCCCTAGACCCTAGGCGCTTCTCCTACACGACACGCTTCAAAGCGATGTGCGGCCGCGCCATCTTTCTGAAACCGTCTATGCCTGGGCGGCTACATGTGAGGCGGTTGATTGGGGTTGGTGTTGTCAATCCTATGGGAGGTTAAATTGTGGCTGTTATGGCCAAGCAAATACTTACGTATTCCGGGGTGATAACCCTAAGTAGGGTAACCTTCATTCGGAAATACGGTAACTCACCTGCGACGTTCTACCGGAGAAAACACGGGCTTTAGTCTTAAAACTGTCTTAATTCTATTTCTGTTATGTGCAAGTAAAATGATGATCTTCCAAATGGATATCTATATAAAATTCAACGCCACAATGCAACCCGTCCAAACGCCTTAGACACGTTGCCCGTGAAACCCTAAGTAATGTCAATTGTAGCCAGTCGCACCAATACAGAAAACGTCAGCACATATGAAGAAAAGCGGTGTATCGGCGAAGAAGTAAATCACAGATCTGACGGGATGACCTTCTCCGGATCTTCACCAATTTGCTCGCTAACTGCTCGGACCACGCTCTGAATGGCCTTGGATGCCGGACTGTCCGGGTAACTCTCTAAGAAGCTTTCCCCATAGTCAMAAGCCATACCAACTCGGGGGTCTAGGGGCACAGAACCCAGAAATGGTATGCCCATCTTCCTAGCCAAACGTCGACCTCCACCCGTCGTTGGTCGGAAAACATACGATGTTGTCTGACAGTTCCCACAAACATATCCCGACATATTCTCCACTAGTCCCAAAATCTTGATACCGGCCTTTTTGCAGAAATCAATCTCTTTCCTGACGTCCAACAATGACACTTCTTGCGGTGTTGTCACGACCACGGCGCCATCTACCCCAGACTCTTTGAGTAATGAGTTGACGGACAAGTGTTCATCAGATGTGCCCGGAGGAGTGTCTACGATAAGATAGTCGGCTTCGCCCCATTCCACGTCTTTCAAGAATTGCTTGATGAGTCCGTTCTTCTTGGGACCTCTCCAGATCACGGCATCGTCTCGGTTCGGCAACATGAACTGAATGCTCATCGCTCCAAGATTGTCTGTAACCCACACAGGGCTCCAGCCCGCATTGCTCACGTGAATAGTCTCGGCTTCAACACCCATCATCTTCGGAATTGAGGGACCGCTTATATCGGTATCGCAGACATATACGGTCGATTCGGGATTTGACGCAAAGGCATGAGCGAGCAATGTTGAAAAGGTTGATTTCCCGACGCCTCCTTTGCCTGATAGAACGAGGATCTTGTGTTTAACTTGCGAAAGTCGTGCGGTGATCAGTGGGATATCTGGATCGGGGCCTTTCGGCGCGGAGGCACAGATGCTCTGGTTGGGGCATCCGGCGCAAGCATCACCTTGACCTGCTTGTTCTGATTCGGGGCCGGGACAGTGTTCTACGAGACATATCTAGGTCAGTATAACTGCTTGAAGCCTGCAGAAATTGCGTAAACACATACCAGGTTCTGGCGCAACCAGATTGGGTGTTTTTGTAGGCGCGGCTAAATATGCCGCAGTAGGGTCTGTCAGGGCGGGGGTCATATTTCCTTTGTCTGCCCTCGAAATGTAAAATTTCTTTCTCTAAGATTCTACCAATTCGAGAATGGCAGCAGACGGCCAGATGATCAAAGAGAAGTTGAAGAAAAGAGGGAGGGTGTCATGCTTAGAAATGCAGCAGAGGATGCGGCAAAGGCGGGGTGGCGAAATGTCAGAGGAAAAATAAAAAAATAAGCTCCAGATGAGCCAATCGAGTTGCGTCTACTATATCTGCTAATGCTATAGCCTGCTGCTTAAACCATGAAATTATTTAGTATACCATACACACTTAAAGACTCTCGAGAAACAAAACATCATTGTTTCTCCAAGTATATTAACAATTTGCGATGTTCTCTCTGCTTCCTAAAGCACCCGGCTAATATGTTAGGTAATTTGATGGTAAGTACGGTAAATTACACCACATCTCGTAACTGTTGGGGCAGTTCCCCGCCAAATCAAAAGTAACTGCCGTTACAATATGTATTTGGTAACAGCAAATGGTCCGTGCGAATCACAAGCCAAAATGTAAATTAGACAATAGAGTTGGGCTAGTCAGACCAAGACTCCATCTGCTCACACACAACACCCACCTTTCTTCTCATTCTTTTCTCCGATGTCTCGCTCAATTGCCAGGTAAATTATATTGAGAATTCATTTCAAATGGATTCTGCCAGTGCATCCGGTACCCAGCGGCAAGATGAGGGCCTGCGAGAGCGGGTGAGGCCCTCTCAACCTGTCGACGTCAACGCCGTCGACCAGGCGCTCGCGACTGCTGGCTACGGCGTGACCACCGACAACAGGACGAGTGACGACAAAAAAACCTTTGGAAGGACGCCAGATGGAACTAGTAAGTTTCTCTTTTCTCTCTTCTTCTCTGTTGTCCAGTGTCGACGTACTCTTCGATTGAGCGCAAGTTGACAATCATTAAATGACGTCTGTCCGCATGCTCACGTGTTCTTCCTCCAGTCTTTACCGTCCCCCAGACCCATGATATGGTCTCACAATTGCTCTCTCCAACCCAACCCAAGAATGTATCCGACCTTCTAGTCCTGGCAATCCTTGCCGCTCATATATTTATATTTTGGGTCCTTGCCCCAGAGGCCAGAATTCCCGTCTTCGCGGCGATTTATATGTTCTGGAGGACCTCATACAACGGCGGAATCGGATGGCTTCTACACAACCAGTCGCACCACAACACCATGGTAAGATGGGCTACCAAGTCCAAGATTTTTGTCAATCCATCGACGGGCAAGAATCCTCGTCCATTGCTCTATCGGCTGTTGAAAAAAGACATGGAAACCATGATACCTAAGGATTATTCGTTTGATGAGGCTCCCTTAGAATACAACACATGGCTCGTCTTCCGACGCTTTGTCGACGTTATTCTGATGTGTGATTTCACGTCATACTGCCTCTTTGCCATAGCATGTGGAAGCCGCCCAGAGAACGAGACTACCCTAATGACCACTCTCAGGTGGGCCGCAGGTTGGGTGTTGGTAATATTCAATCTTTGGGTCAAACTCGACGCTCATCGAGTCGTCAAGGACTTTGCATGGTACTGGGGTGATTTCTTTTTCCTCATTGACCAAGAACTTACATTCGACGGAGTCTTCGAAATGGCACCACACCCTATGTATTCTGTAGGCTACGCTGGTTATTATGGAATCTCGTTGATGGCCGCCAGCTATAAAGTGCTATTCATCTCAATTATCGCCCACGCAGCTCAGTTCGCATTCTTGATCCTGGTGGAAAACCCACACATTGACCGCGTCTATAACTCACCGCCACCTCGTAAGCGCTCTGACCAACACGACCTCAAGAACCTGAACGGTCTCAACACGCAGACATCCCCAATAAGCGACTCGTTTCCTACAACGCCCACGCCCAACGGAACTGACGACAAAGCCGCAATGCAACAACCTCCCTCATCCGTACATAATCTACTCGGGCTACATAATCTGGATCTTCATAGAGTAACAGACTCATCCGTCATCCTTATTCAACTTCTCGTCTTCGCCTTAACAGTCCTTACCCCATCTACTCCATTCTATCAATATCTATTCGTGGCAAACGCTGCGATCTGGAGATGCTGGTATTCCATAGGCATGGGATACATTCTCCATCGTCAATCCAAATATAAATCTTGGACCCGTCATTTTGTCAAGTATGGCGAGAACACGGATGAGGCATGGCGTCAGTGGAAAGGCTCATACCATCTTAGCATGACTATGTGCTATGCTAGTTTCATTGCCGCTACCTGGAAAATGTATAGTATGCCGTCTGACTGGAACCATGGCCTGGCTTTACTCAAGCACACGCTAGGCTTCAGTTTGGCAGCGTTGCAAATCTGGACATCCGTCAGTATCTATGAGTCCCTCGGTGAATTTGGATGGTTCTTTGGAGACTTTTTCTTCGATGCACAGTCCAAGTTGACCTACAGTGGTATCTATAGGTTCCTCAATAACCCCGAACGTGTCTTGGGACTTGCTGGTTTATGGGGCGCTGCTTTGATAACCAGCAAAGGTGCTATCATTTTCCTTGCTCTGCTCAGTCATATCCTTACACTCGCTTTCATCCAGTTGGTGGAACGTCCTCACATGCAGAAGCTCTACGGTAGAAGTTTACGAAAGGATGCAGGCTTGGTCAAGAACCTGAAACGATCATTGCCTCCCCCGCTGCAACAATTGGGTGGTAGCGTTGATCGCATGATGGATGAATCTTTCGAGTTTGTCGAAGAACTTTTAGACTCTGCTCGACCCAAACTGGCCACTGGTGTGAACACGTTCATGAAGGATGCCAAGTCCTTGTTCCGCCAGTATCCCGCACGAATTACGATTTCTCGCTTGGACGATGAAGTCGCGGCAGGTTACAATTTGGAGGACTACTCACTCGAAATCGAGGGAACGGAGTCTTCGCCGTCCGCACAGGTAGAACGAAGCAGCGGCAAAGAAGGCGCCAACGCTAGAGCTCCACCCGAGCGACGTGGTGATCTGAAAAGCCTGATATTCGAATACGGCGCCCCAATCCGAGTCAAGTGGACCGCACCTCTGAACCACAGCAAGAAAGATTGGGTAGGATTATACATGGTCACCGACAACACCCGGCGAGAAGTCACCCGCGTCTCCTCCCAGGGAAGATGGATAGCCACCAACGAAGGCGCCTACGACAGCTTAACCTGTGAAAAGGGCCTCGTCACAAGCGACATCGTTATATCCGCCTCGCGCCGCCGAGACGGCGAAAACCGCGATCTCGCATCCGGCGAAATGGTTTTTTCGGGCGACAAACTCTTCTGGACACAGGGTGTCTTTGAGTTCCGCTACCACCACAATGGTAAACACAACGTCATGGCCATTTCGCGACCTTTTGAGATCCGTATCGGCCGTTTTGATGAGGAGGATGTCGTCAATATGGATACCGCCACTGCCAAGAGCGATGGATTGATCCAGGCCGCTATTGAAGAGGCGTTACTACCGGTTGTGCGTAACTGTTTTGATAGAGATCCGGAGATTGCGCCGGAGACGTACGATGAGCATTTTGGGAGTTTGGTTGATCGGGATGGGAAGTATGCTAAGAGGGTCGTTTTTGCGGTTCATCAGATGTTAGTTCCAATCCTTTACCCATATGAACTCAGGCTATGGTGCTAACAGATTGATTGTGCAGGTTCGGCGTTGAACTCGCTCCCGAAGTCGTTCGCGCTGATGGAAATGTGCGAAATATGGCATGGAGAATCTGCAATGCAAAGAAAGTTTTGGTATGCCCCTTTTTCCTAGCTATACCATATCTATATCCCGCTAAAAAATTACTGCAGGCACCATATAGCATGTCCCGATCTAGAGGAACGACTACACCGATAACCCAAGAAAAGGAATCGTCATCATGATAGACAAGAGTGTATGATGTGACGTGTCTACGATGTACAGCATAGAGATGCAGAGGATGAAGTGCATTGAGAGCAGAAAATAAACACAAGGGGATATTTTTGCATTGAGGGTTACGTATTCTTAATTTTAATTATTGGTATACGAACGATTAATGATAGAACATTGCATTCATTTATATAGCTTAAGGATATATATATTTTTGTACCTGTTTCCAGATTAGTCAGTATACGCTACTAAATAAGATGTGTAAGTTGATATCGAAAAAAGGAAGAATGTAAAAATCAGCAAGCCGGTTTACTCATCCCATCCCCTGCCGACTCCACCCCAAGACACATCACCCAAAACGAATGAATGCATCCCAGAGCAGAAAAAATCGACACAAAGCCAAGCTTGCATGAGACAAGGGCACGAAGGGTAAATCTTCTTCCAAGAGCACTCTCATTAGCGGATAGAATACGAACAGCACTCCACAACCTATCCTTCCTGACCACCAGAGGTGAGTCAAGTCAGGTATCAGGGAGGTGGTCGAATAACTATCCTAAAAGAGGATGGAAATTTGAAGACTTGAACCAACGTGGTACCTCGATAACGCACAAGCTCGAGAGGCGGTAAATCGTTGAATGGATTGACTAGGTGTCATCATAAAAAAAGTTGGGGGAAGAGAAAGTAGGGCTAGCTAGCTAGGGAGGGTGGTAACATACACTTTCTACAATCTATAGTAATAGACCGGAAGCTGATCGTCGAGGCGAAATTCTATGATCTGTGCCAAACTTGTTAGTTCGACGTTTGATTCAAGATTGATTGGACAAAACAGAAACATGGGACATGACGATGATATCAGGAAACGTTTTGGTAAGGTATTTGTTATCTTCAATAGATTTGCAGAAGCAGAACTGAAAATATTTGTTTCATCATGAAATCGACATATCCCGGGGCACTAGAAGAAGAAAATTTTGACATACCATTTACTAAATTATGCCTCGACAGATTCTCGTCGGTATTTCTGGCCTGGTTCTTCAAGAATAATCAGCAAGAGTCCATATCGACAATCCGATTATATTGATGATTGAAGAGAATTCAATGGTTTTCAGATGGTGGTGCATGTTGTTCATGGCTCATGTTTTTTCGCCGAACAGAAGTTATTGGTAATAACATTCCTCCTGTGAATTGGGCTGGAAGTATGATTGGGGAGAACTCACAGTAGTTAGTCATAATGCTCGAGATGATTGTCCCATATCGAGCAATCGAGTCGCTGACATTGAAGGAATCGAATTGTTTTTCTTCTCGAGTTATGAGAGAAGGTGTGAGACAAGGTTAAGTGGGAAGAAAAAAAAGCAGAAGAAAAGGAAGAGAACAAGCTAGTACCCGCCCCACACGAAGCAAACAGAGCAAACATGCTTCGGAAATGGGACTTTTTGCGGTTGTTCGCCCAGTTAGGTCACGATAGAAAGTTGCTAGTCTCAATTGTTCTTCATTTCTACAGGTCACTCGATCAAACAAACATGGCTGATAGAAGAAGAAATAATGGTCCGCCCAGCGGTACCAGAGCGCCTGTATTTGCTTCCTTACTACGAAACGCAGCAGGCGAAGCAGCAGAAAGACCGCAGCGAGCGAGGAAACCTACAGAGCTGCGAAAAATATGTAAGATACTGACAATTCGACTCGATATATTTCGAAGCTGATTATGTATTCTAGTTCTGAAAACTGGCCTCATTCCCTCCGCAAGCGGATCCTCATACCTCGAAATCGAGCCCGCCAGACAGCCAACCAACACCCCCAAATCGTTGATAGCTCCTGCGACATCGTTAAAGATCGCATGCGCAGTACATGGTCCACGACCTCTGCCACGCTCAGCAAACTACTCCCCTAACCTGCTGCTCACAACCCACGTGAAATACGCACCGTTTGCCCACCGACGACGAAAAGGACATATACGCGACGCCAGCGAGCGTGATCTGGGCGTGCATCTTGAAACCGCCATTAGAGGAGCCATAATAGCCGAGCGCTGGCCCAAAAGTGCGCTGGATGTGACCATTACTGTTCTCGAAGCGGAGGATGATCGGTGGTGGGGTGATGCATCTGGTTCATCGGATGCATCTTGGGGAATGATGAATGTGCTTGCGGGCTGTATTACGGCTGCAGCGGCGGCTATTGCCGATGCGAGAATTGATTGCTTGGACTTGGTTGCTGGCGGTGTCGCAGCGCTGGTTGCTGATGAGGAGGAAGGTGATAGCAAAGATAACTCAACTGGACAAGGCTCTCGTCCGTCTCCCAGGTTATTGCTTGATCCGGATCCGTCTGAACATAAGAATATCATTGCTGCGTGTGTTGTTGGATATCTTCCTGGTCGTGACGAAATCACAGAGATATGGCTGAAAGGTGATACGTCTGAAGTAGCTTCGACTACAGCGGAGGATCAGAAGGTGTTTGGACATGATGTGTTGATCGATGGTGCTATTGATGCAGCACGTGCGGCTCGCTCTGTGCTTGCTGCTGCCGTCAGAGAGTCGGGKGAACGKTTTATTGCGCAGTCCATGGGTGTCTCGGATGCTACACAAGCAGGGACAAAAATCGAAATGAAGACTTGAGTGGTCTGGGCTCCACTTGTGGCTATTGATGTCTCTACTGAAGGCGCATTTCTTTGAGGGCTCGATACATTACGCAGATGATACCCTCCGCAGACTTAATCTCACATCTTCATCTACGCATCTCATGAGAAGAAAATTGTGTCGCCGGTCACGCTGAAACCTGACCAGTGCCAGTATACGCGCCTAAAAACGGCCAGCTGGTGAGCACCGGGGCTCTACAATTTCGCATCTCCGGGATCTCCATGCATCTTAGATATGTACGCACTCCGGAGTTACATATGTATATGAATCAATGAAGACGATGGGCCTAGGCTCGGCGATTTAGTCGATATCTGAAAATTATAGCACTAGTAACATTGAAATCAATGACAATCACAAAGAGAGTCATGTGCTATTGGCCGACATAATATTGAGAGGCCAGAAAGGGCATTGCAGAAATGTATAGATAATCTGACATCGCCCGGTAACACCCTGTATTGACACTTGCCGATTCATTAGGAGCTTGCGACTTTCTTGCGTTGATCTGAGTCAAAAGGTAGCCTGTTCTAATGTGATTATTACTGCAGTGAATTGTCCAAGCCGAAAAGTTCTCGATGTGAAAGACAGTCACTCGCTATTATTTAGTCGTATTCAAAATACTCGCCATGCTGTTTCTAGTACGCCGTATGCGGCCCATCTTTCATGGTTTCATTGTCTATTCAGATTTGAAATCGACAGAGTCTGAAAGTCAGGGGTGGACTCTATAATACATGTAGCTAAGCGTGCCTTCGAACCTTGATTTTTGGGTCTCCGCAGAGTCAACACGGTTGGTACCTCGCTAAGACGAGGACATACGTAGGCGCGTACGGAGAAGCACCCAACAGAGGGTATACTCTACGTACCACTATGTTTGTAAACGGCTGGCCGCTTCCCGGTGTTGACAGGTGACAAGAGGGTCAAAAGCGTTGCCAATAACGTTTAATATATTTAAGCACCTGTCCTGCTCCTACATGCCGAGTTGCTACGTACTTACTCCAATCTTGAAACATCTCCGTAGTTCATAACACCCTCGGCTTATAGTTCAGATTCGTCGATAAGGTTGACCAGATGAACAAAGATTATCTGCAAATCAATTAAGAGTACGTGCATGTTTCATCTCGAGAACTGCATCAGTGCATACTCATACTTATCGTGGAATAATCTGTACTGTATGATACCGGTACACACACGGAGGACGTATTGACAGCACGTTCTATGGTACTAGTCAGGAACGAATCCCGAAAGTAATTTATGCTAAGCTCGACTCAGCCATGATCTGCGTCATCGTCGCCAATAGGAGGTTTGTAAGGCCAAAGAAACTTCGATTGCCAACAGTTTTGCCGCAAAGAGAATATTCCAGACACCTGCATAGACACGCAATTTGCCTTCATACCAGTATTGTGAAGTGTCTCGGAAAGACTTGAAGGGTATACCGTCTTTGTGTAGTTGGATTACGTGCCCGGACAAGACGCCTCTAAGATTCAGTACCCAACCGCCTATGCTACATGTAGTATAAGCTGCGTAGCTCTCCTCTTATCCAGGCCAAGAGCACGAACCACATACCAACACTCCTTACGCCCGCTAATTAGACTAAGCGGAGTGGCACGAACTTCTTAACCTAGGCCGAGGGATGCCAGCGAATAAGCCGCTTTTAGGGGGCTATCCAGAAAGTTACTACGAGTAGACCTTGAACGCCTCGTGCGTGGGGATGTATCGTTTCAGGGATGCTCCGTCCACTGTCCCGCGCATGTACCTTACACAAGGATCAACATTAAAGGAAATGGTTGTACAAGGAGCTAATATATTTGCTGCGAACGTTAAATATATTGGACTGGAGAAAGAATATACAGCGTCCGATATGCCAGGCTCACAATCTCTTCTTTCTCAGATGGGAACGAAAGGCAGCACTGAGTAGGTAACAAACGTACGGACAGGGTAATTTCGGTAATTTACTGAGATTAGAGTAAGTGCGCTAAGAGCGCCCCGACCCATCGTTTCCACTGTGATGGGCAGAGATGAGCCAATAGGCTTGCTAGACTCGCCCCGCTCTGGTATCCATTCCCTAATCAGGCTTCGCCTCGTCCTTTTCCTCTGTATCTTTGTTTGCGTATTTCTATTTCTTTCGTACGTACTTGCCTCGTTGGGATGCAGAGCTAAGACAATGGTCATCCCATCCATCCATCACACGCCAACTGTGACTCTCTCCCTCTTCCGTACATACTCTTCCTCGATTGTGTTCTTATCGAATGTTTGCTCTCCAAAAGTCCAGTCGATGTTTTAATATCCATTGCATTGCATTGTGTTGAGTCCTTCCCGTTCATCAGAGTAGAGCTCTGTTCACTGTTCTTAGCCTCTATTTTACTTGTGCCGTCTCTGGCTGGGCCACGGCACTTTAGTTGGCTCACGCTTTCTCCGAGAAATTCATGCCACTGACTCTTTGAAGGCGGTTGGTATCCAATTATGGCAACCTTCAAGAAACTTTTCTCGCCCTCTTCTCCGCGGGGAGAAGTTCAAGGAATCAACAGCCAGCAATATGCCAACCAATACCCCAATTCACCTATTCGTGAGTCCAGGACGCCTGCATCCCCATATGCCTACCCGCCACAATCGCAAAGCAAGCAGGATGTGAGCCGACATTACGAGGGAATCGAGAGGCAATTCGAGCAATTACACGAGACGTTCTACTCCCGCACCCTCGCATCTCTCCGTCAGTTCCGATACACCGGGTCCAGTGACTCCTCAGATCAGAAAAACAGATATATTGATGTCGTCGAGGCCTTGTTCTCAAATCATCGCTACCAGATGTCATCAACCAGATCGATGTCGCCGATAACCCCCTACAACGAAGACGTTGCAGACCGAAATATAATCGCTCAACATTTCCCCCAGCTGAATCCTCAGTACTCCCGTTCGATATCCAGTTTGTACCAGGAAGACGTCGCAGACAGGAATATATCACGGTCGAAGAGCAATCCAATCTACAAGGGGCCCCGATCTAGCCGTCTGAGTGTAAGGTCCGATGACCATGAAGAGAAGGCGAGCAGCTCGAGATCCAAATCGCAAGGCCGTTCTCTTGAACCGCGAACTAGCTATCCTCCGGCGATTCCCGCCAAATCTCCAAGTAGAAACAGGGCTGCGAAATTCCCGATGCCGGAGAAGGATCAACAAAAGGATCAGTCCTTGTTAAGACCCCAGGCTTCGGCGCCTGATTTGACCATGGCGGAAATCAAAACTCCAGATCTAGCCAGTTTCCCGAGGCCTCCTACTTCAGGAGCGGACACGGCTGTTGAAGAACCTGTGAAGCAACTGGACAAGGTGCCTGAAAAGGTACCTCCTAATGCGTCTAAAAAACTGTCCAGCAAGGCAGAAAAGGCTATCGAGAGAGCATTAGCGGAAGAAGAAGCAGTCACAGACAATTCTCCTGTTTCAAGTAAAAGACTGAGCCCTGACATCGACAAGTCTGATAGCAGACGCACTTCGGGCGCGAAATCATCTACGAGCTCTCGCACAGGCAAGAAGAATGTGCGCGATCTCATTATCAATACGAATATAACTGCCATGGGCAAACCGAGCATAAGGATCGAACATTGCGCAATACAACCTCCAACTCCTCAGAACGCTGCACCGAACCCACAAAATGCCAGCATTGATGAAATTGTGCACACTCCGTTGCTCACAGTCAGCCCTAATCCTTTTACTACTCAACCTTCAGCCGCCCTTGATGTCAAGGAGATTATGAAAATCCTCAAACAAGCCTACAATACTACGAAACACAAGCCCAGCCCTCTATATCCTACATTTGAGACGCTGCAAGAGATCATTATTCGCGAAATCAATTCACATGACGCTTTTCGCAACGTCCCCATTCCGAGCGAACTTATAATTACACCTCCATCTTCTGAGACTTCGCTGGAAGATATCCTTCTACCCCCGCCAGGTCCTTCGAGAGTCAAACCGCTTCCAGAGAAGGAGAGTCCTTTATCCAGACTCATTCGCAGACGATCAAACAATGGGCTTCAAGGCAGAAATTCGCCACCTCCAAACACCTCCCCCGTCAAGGCTTCTCCCCACCAAAACTCACCACCAACCTATGCCAACTATAACAGCCAAGGCACGGAACCCGAGAGATACTTGTCACCAACAAAAAAGACTGCACCAAGAGATGCACCGCCGTTCATCCCTCGGCGACGGCGGCATACATACGGAGAACCACCCACTCCATCTTCAACCTCAGCCCCAACGTCACAGCAACAACCACAACCTCAGCCGCAACAACGAACTCAATCTCGACCTCCTCCACCCGCGCACACTTCCTCCTCAGCATCCATTTCCTCATCTTCCAGTTTCAGCCTCTTCCCCGCGTCAAGACCTCTCCCACAACCTCGATACAAATCTCATTTCAAGCGCAAGTCGGACCCAGTCCCTCCATCTCCTCATTTCACAGAATTCATCCCTACGGACGCTTCGACACCACCTATCTTTCCTAGCTATGTGCGACAGCATTAATGAGCGTCAGCGGGAAGACCTTAATTTTATGAACTCATGTACAGAAAACAGGGCACCTTGACCCTAAACTCCATCAGATCTATTCGCTCTGATATGTCTTTCTTTGATATATACATATGTATCCTTTACTTGATACTTCAAATGACGCATTTGCATCGGTGGTTGCGACTCTATCAATTATCCTATGTAGTTCTTGGACAAAAATACTCTTGTACATACGAACCTATTTTTCTTATTTCCCTTCTCTTAATTCCTCCTTAGAAGTTAGTACCACCTAGTTTTCTAGCTGCCTAGTTTCAATCGCTCAATTTTTTTTTCTCGTTTTTTTTCTCAGCTTTGAGGGGATTAGCTTTTCTTGAGGTGATACCCTTATGGGGGGAGATTTTGATGTTTTATAAGTATACTTCCCTAATCAATATTAAGGGGGTCTCTTGTTGATGATATCCTTAAGGTACCTGATCTTCCATGCATGTAAGCATACTATAATACCCGTTGTATATATCCTTTTTATCTGCATGTACACAACTACATGTACGATCAGGATTGGACACTCCACCGACATTCTCGACAAATGATTTAGTCTGAAGCTAATTCTAGAGTTGACAATGGAGAACACTCAACTGAATGATTTTAATATTTATTTGAACAATATCTCATGTTTGAGCATCCTATCAATCTCACGACATACATCACGATGTGGCAACCGCCAATTCTTGTACTTACTTGACAAGACTGGAGTATTTTATCTCGTTATTGATCGAATCGCGTACCTCATGAGGTGTAATTTTGTATTTCAAGACCTTGACGGCTATCTGGATATCCGAGTCTGTCCACATGCTTCTTGTGGCGTCCTCTCTTTGTTCATTATTTGATGTAATGGACGACTTAGACAAGGCTGCTGGTACTTGCGCTGATGGGGGGTTATCCTGCTTGAACTGGTGGAGGCTGTTGCCCTTGTGATGGCACTGGTTCAAACTATTCATTCATCAGTAGAGGTTCCTGAACAAATGACTAGTATGAGAGGATATTGCTAGCGAGGATGATCGTGGTGTACGCCGTGAGATAAGATAGCCAACATTGAACCTTTTGAAAAGATATATGATATTCTAAGCCATTAACATTTACCTAGATACTCTCAAACGAAAAACTGATTTGAACTTAGGGTAGCTTTCTAGTGCTCTGGTTATTTGATATTGCAATTCCCTAGCTGGTTCAAAGTTAGAATAGACACGTGATATCATATATGTGATTGTTAAAGGGAGTCGTCCAGGATACTTAATTACCTTGTTGCATGTTCGAAAGCATCGTATGAAAAGATATCAATAACCCATAAGTGAACTCCATCTATACAAACACTAGATACAAGAAAACCCATATTCAACATAATGACTTCACATCTATACACTCATAAACCAGACAAAATCAGATCTTTTTTGAGAAACGGTGCTATAACAATCGAACAAGATCCATATCCCGACTAATAGCCGGACTGTACGCAGCACAATAATCAAGAAACTCTACCATCTCATCATACCATCTTTCCCATCCAAGGGGTAAAGTCGCACGTAATCGTGGCTCGTCCGACTTTGATATTGCGTGAAAGATGAGTAATTGGCCGAAAAATCTACCATCGTTAGACTTGTCTTTGAATTTTAAAATGAGGAAGAAAAAGGAGATCATACTGCGAACAAAACGCAAATCTGATAGGGATGCAACTCCTCATCAGCCGAAACACGCCTCTGATCATAGGCCAATCCATAGCGAATCGTAATCCACTGCGGATCTGCTCATAGTCTTCGTCCGTCAATAAGGCTGGTGTTCGCAACGCTTTGTACAGGTATGGTCGACCGATATGAAATTTGCAGATTCGATAGCGGGCTCGAAGCATTGAGTCGGCCACAAGCATTGCTAATGAAGTTGGGGTTCGTGGATGGCCAGCCATGGAAGGCGAGCGGTCATCGTTCAGTGTAGTGTCTGAGTTTTTTTCAGAGAATTGAATTGCTGATGGGAGGTTTTTGCGCCATTCTTCGACTTGTTTGTGGAGCTCTATGCTGACGGCTGGGCGTGGGAGAGTTCCAGATTCGGCTGTATTCGTCAGAATGAGATAAATAAGAGTTTCAAGAGATTTGTGCTTACAAAATAAGTAAAGACTATGGCGGATGCGAGTGAGTATTATCCGATTGGCTATTTGTGCAAGGAAATGGCATTGATGGTAGTAGGAGTCGTCTGGATCTGGCATTGGAGTGATCTCCGATGACAGTTTAAATGGGATAAATTTTGGAATGGGAACGTTGTCTTCAAGAGACAACAGGCCACTTGGAGGTAGATCTAGCTCTTGTACGAGAATTGTCTCATACATCACTGTATTCCAGAAAACTCTGAAATGTATGTCAGTTAGTTCTTCGGATGTCGATCCAATCTTCATACCTGGACTTCATATCGCCTTCCCATTCATTGTAATTGATATCACGGTTCGCTAACATGAAGCATAAACAAGCAGCAGCTCTATTAAGCATTGCACCAGAATCAAGTGGACGGATAATTTGCGTATAGTACATGCTGTTGAACGTAGTGTTAGCCGTCGACCATCAGAAGCACGGAGATAGGCATACGCTGATAAAAGATAGTATTGGCAACTAGACAGGTTGTTCTTTTCCATAAGAAAACCCATCCGTTTTCGAGCTTCGTTGAAAAATGACAAGCCAGGAGGATCTTCCAATACCGCTTCAAACCAGGCTGGTCGTTCAAAATGATCTCCAATCGTCCCTGGTAGTGGGAAATCTGCTTCTTCGTATGCACGCACGGCTAGGCAGCCTAACGCCATCACGTTCAGAACCAGACACGTCTCGATTGTTGTAGAAAAGCCATGTTTGATGACCGTGCCGAGCGTAAGGGAGAAGAAGAAGTGTTTATCCATGAATGGAGTAAAGGGGTGAAAAAACGAGAAGAACGCCTCGCATAAACCTTTCACGAGCGCAAAAGGCAACTCCTCTAGCCAGTTTCCTGTATTCGGTAATCCGAATAGAGAATTCACCCACATTGAAAGAGGAAGTCTCTCCAACTCGACGTCGAGGACATAATTCCTTCCGATTTGATCATAAAGATCCCAGAATCTCCCCGGCAGACGGTCGATCATTCCCGGCCATGCCACAACTCCATGCTGGCTAAAGGAAATGACTTCTCTACCATCCGCAGGTCCCTGGATTTCCGCCTCGAGCGGGCCAGTTGCAGCCGGCGAGGTATTTTGTGATATTGAGAATTTATGCGATGATGTTCTCGCACTTGGCGTCCCGGCCATGGTAGTTGATGCAGATACTTGAATGGCTTCCACTGCCTGCAATACATGACCTGTGATGGGACGAATATCGTTTGAAATCACAGATGGAAGATTTTCTAGTTTCGTCTCGATGCGATGTAATGTGCTTATGATCATGCCGATAGATTGATCTTTTTTGGAGAGTTTGCGCTCACTGTACACGCAGTCCAGGTTCAAGGCTTTGCATAGCCCGCATTTTGGGCGTGATTCATCACATCTTGTCTTTTTTAGCCGACAGTTTTCGCAGGCCTATATATTGTGTTACTAAGATTTTCGACATTTTGAGTAGTGAAGGCAGGACATACCACAGAAGCGATATAATTTCTTGGCTTGCGCGCATGGGTCTCGGATTGATCTGCATCTAGCTCCTCGGAGTTGGATAGCAGCTCATTGATCGATATGCTATTTCCCGGCGTTGAAGCAGATCGCTCCAGGAAATTGGCAGTCTTTTGGAAGACAGAATCTTCGTGAGGACGCTTGCTCATCGTCGCATTGCTGGGCGCGGAACGGCCGCCCGCATCTCTTTTTTTCTCCTCTCTTTTCGCGAGCGATTACAGTTGTATGTTGCTTTTAGGTATTTAAAACGACTTAAATGATCACGATATTCGAATACGGCTCATCAATGGCATTCTATGCAAGACAATTGTAATCTTTTTCGACGGTCGAGTCATATCGCCGATGCGACTGCGGCCTTGGCGGGTCCGGTGACGGAATTGGCCAATCATGTTTGTCATCACCATCGTTTAGTCAGTGTCAATGTGTTCGCTGATATTCACGATACTCTCTGATATGATATTATATTCTTGAGTTCAAAGAGCATTGGTGATATAATAAATTGCACTGAAAATCTTGATCTTCCTACGGTACTGACGATCGGTGCGTTACACTGTCATACATATACGTTCATTGGTCGCCGTGACATCCATAACCAAATTTCGAGGATATATATAACCGAGACTTAACAGAGTGAGATGTATACTCGCATTGATCCAACATTGAAACAATCGGCTGTCTGGCGAGGATATGTAAGCCCATGGGTGGATTACTCCGAATAGTTATTATAGTCAGGGTTTTCTTCATCGGCTTGGACTATCGTAAATCGTCAATGCCTTGACTTTCTTCGGCCCTAGCCCTGATAAGATCCCTGGATTTTATCTTGTTGGCCAGTATTTCAATCGAGGTGATTTCAGTTGACACGGACAAATTCTGTAGTACGTGATGTACTACTTATAAAACATAAACTTGAACAAATTATATGATAAGCTGGCGGATCACCCACCAACCAAACGAGCTGGGGTTGATTTGCAGCCGTTCTTCAAATCAAATCGACCACTTTAATGATCGATAACGACGATACGAGACGTCGGGTCCAGAATGGCACACTAGCAGCATACACCAGATGGCTCAAAGCGACCACTTGCATCTCCCGATCAATGATGGAGGGAGGGGAAAGGGGGGGG